GGGTTTATGCGCCTATACCCTTAACCAAAATGGAAGCACATAATTTTCTCCTTTATTGTTTCTAAGTATAAATTGATCCCATGTTATGGAACAGAAGCATCATTGAATTCTGGCACGCACGGATGTCTCTTCCTCTATAACCTACGCAATACAGACATCGTTGTCATAAAGCATGACCACGTGCACTTTGAGAAGTTATGCATTGGCCTGAGGTCATCCATCAGGAATTGATAATGGTACTTGAGAGAATGATTTCCCCTTACCGTCTTCAGACTCACACATTCAGCAACTTCATTACAGAGTAATGCCAGGATTGTACAAGAGGTACAAACCCTGCTAATTCTGGCACAAGCCAAGAATAAGAGGATAGTGTGATATGATATTGAAAAATATGGGTGTGGGGTATGAGTGAAAAGACTGTAGAAAATGATTAATTAAATGATGAAAGTGGAGGGTATGTCTGGATGTGGAATGAAGGAACATTGATTGAAGGTGGATCTGGAATTAATGGATATTGAATGAGCCGGGGTAATAAAGTGTAAAGGTATGGAAGATGGACATGATATTAAGAGACCAAATAAAAGAGGGATACACAATGGGTTGATGAGGACTTGGAATGAGAAGACAAACAGTGAATAAAAGAAGTAATAGTTTGTGGTGGTAAAATATGTATTGATGTAGGGATATAGAATTGTGCATGGAATAAAAGGAGCAACCTGGTATGGGATAGAAAATTAAGATAAGGTCAAAAGACAAATGGTTTAGAGCAGTGGTAGTCAACCTTTTTCTACCTACCGCCCACTAATGCATCTTTTTGGTTGAAAAAAAATGTCCTTACCGCCCACCAGTTTTCGCGCAAGCGCAGAATACTTTTTCAAAAGGAGGGTGTTTTAAAAAAAATAAATGTATGTACATTTATCTTTTTATTTCTATTTAATGCATGTTTATAATGTTTTTAACTTTATAACGTTTATTGAGAAGACAAAGTAAATTGAAATTACCTTTACTAGTGATTAATGAGATCCTTGAGGTTGATGCTGCAAGACTAAATATTTGATATCTGGTTCGATTTTCGTAAGGAACAAACGAAGGTCTCCTCTTTCGGTGATATTCAGACGACCTCTCTGTTTGCGCATAATAGGATTTCTCATCAGTGCGTCAGCTCCCCTCCTCAATTCCCCTCCCCACCTTTTTAAAAAAATTTTTTTAAACCTTCCTTATAGCAATGCCCAGTAGGAAGGCTGAGCTAGGTATCCCACTTACTATTACTTACTACAGCCCACTATAACAGACAGGCACACATACATACACACACACACATACAAAGACAGATACACACACATACAAAGGCACATACACACACAAGACATACATACAAAGACAAGACACACATACATACACACATATATACAGACACACACAAGACACATACATACAGACAGAAACACACAAGACATACATACAAAGACAAAGACACATACACAAACAAACACACAAAATATTTTAGTCACCCTCCTGTTTCCTACCTTTTAGGTGCAGGAGAGTGACTTTCCCTGGGATCCAGTGGTGGCTCAGGTGGATGGGAGTCAGAGTTCCCACTCTGACTCCCTCTGCTTCCTCCGACACGGTCTGTGTGTTAGCTGGGAGGAGTGACATGCAGTCACTTCCTCCCAGCTCTGTGATGTAATAACAGGGGGCCCGGTTGCGCTGTTAAAGCGCCCAGCACTGACCGGGCCCCTTTACAACCCACATCCATTTTATAGATTTGGGCCTTGCGGTCGGTCAATTTCACACTGAAAAATGACTAAGTCCCATTCGAAAGCACGAACGGTGCCGTTCATGCATTTAGCTTAGTATAGCAGTGAGTTCAAACTGCCGAACGGGACTTAGTCTCTGCAGCTGAAAACTGAGTGTAGGAGATGGTAAGGGTCAGCGTTGTTCGTTGAAATGTGTAGCCGATTTCAGTTCCATGGATTTGGCTACACATACCGCTGACCTCGTTCGAATGAACAAAGACGGCCGCCGCCACTTGTTCGTTTGTCGAATGGCGGCCACGTCGACTACTTCGGCTGCATCCGAAGTGCCAATTTAAAGCTGCAGAACTGCTCCAATAAAATTTAAAGGGGCAGCAAGTCTTTTAAAATCCAATCTGCTAAAATAGTTTTTAACAGGCAATTTCTTCCAAGGGCCATAGTCTTAAAGGGGCATTGTTCCCAAAAGTCACTGTATGTCCCCAGATGGTTCTTAAAGGGCCAGCAGCAGCTTAATAAAATACAATATGCCCAAATGCTGTATTTAAAGGGCCAAATCTCCCAGGAGCCATAGTCAGCAGGCAGGCAAACAGGCTTCTCCAATGCCCAGTGGCGAGGTTGGTTTCGCCACAGAGGCGTTAAGAGGATATCCCGACAGAGGAACTACCGCACCTTTTGAGGCGTTTATTCCAGGCACGTATCACCCCCGAGACAAGGGAAGAAAGTGGGGCTGGATGGATTATTCTGTGTGCCCAAATCGTCCAGGGCTCCGGCTGCAGCACCCACGGACCTGGTGGTCCGATATCAGAATGGGAGGGATAAGGCAATCTTGGCAGCCATTAAAGACCGCACTCCCTACGACTTTGAGTCAATGTCACTGACTTTCTACCAAGACCTTTCAGGAGGCACCCTAGCATGGCGAAGGTTGCTACTACCCGTCACATCACTCCTTAGACAACACAACATACAGTACCGCTGGAGGATGGCACGCACACTTATGATCTGCAAGGGAGAAGAGAGCTACATGATCCACGACCTCACGGAAGCAACACAGCTGCTGCACACACTGATCCTCCCACAGGACTCCCTGACATCCTCGGGGCTCCGCATGGCAGAACAAGCACATCCTAGATTGGACCCAGCAACCACTATACCATTTGTGCCCTAAAAGTCCACGCCGGACTTGTATGCAACAAGCAGTACCCGACTTATATTGCAGGGGCACACTTTCAAGTATACCCAGACAGTTTTATTATAATTTCAGTGGTTTCACTCCTCCTCTCATTCCACCACCTGTCCGATTGATCCAGTACCTTCCCATCTTATCAGATCTCTCTCCCCTTGTCTTGTACCATCCTTAACACATCCTAAACTTTTTCATCTGGTGTTGTCCCTGCTCTCCTTAAGCATGCTACTGTCGCACCCATCCTAAAAAAGCCATTCCTAGACCCGTCTTCCCCTTCCAACTATCGATCCATATCCCTGCTTTCTTTTTCCTTTGAAGGACTCCCTTCCTAAATTCCAACGTCCTCCTCGATCCTCTTCAATCTGGCTTTCACTCCCTCTACTCTACTGAGACTGCTCTTATTAAAGTTACAAATGATCTGATCACAGCTAAATCCAAAGGCCACTACTCCATACTAATTCTTATTGACCTCTATGCCACCTTTGACACTGTTGATCATGTCCACCTCCTCCAAACTCTCCAATCCCTCGGCCTCTGTGACACTGTCCTCTCGTCATTCTCCTATCTCTCCCGTTTGTTCAGTGTCTCCTTTTGCAATGACACCTCCTCTTTTCGCCCTGTCTCGGTTGGAGTCCCCCAAGGATCTGTTCTTGGTCCCCTTCTGTTCTCTCTTTATACGGCCTCTCATTAACTTCTTTGGATTCCGCTACCATCTATATGCCGACGACACCCAGATATATCTCTCCTGCCCTGATATCTCCCCCATGACCCTGCAACGTGTCACTGCTTGCCTTTCTTCTATTTCTGATTCATTGTCCTCCCGCTTTCTGAAACTTAATCTCTCTAAAACTGGGCTTCTTATTTTTTTCCCCTTATAATGCTGATCATCCTCCTTCACTCTCCCAGCAAGTTGATGGTGCTTGCATCAGTCCATCCTTGCAAGCTTGTTGTCTTGGGGTTATCTTTGATCCGGGCCTCACCTTTGCCCCACATACCCAGTATGTTGCTAAAACCTGTAGATTCCACCTGTCGCATCCGCCCCTTTCTCATGCAAGATGCTGCCAAGGAGCTTGTTATTCTTATCCATAAGCCGCCTCAGTCATAGCTATTTATATTATATATATTTTACTATTCCCTAGCATGTCTCATGATTATAAACATCTCTACATGTTATGATTTACTGTTGTATCTGAATATTTACCTATACTCATCCATAGACATGCTTGTCTAGCTTGATTTGTTTGTTTTGTTATTTTAAAAAACAAAAGTGGCTGATCTGCTCAGGAGTAATTTTGATAGCACTCTGTTATTCATGATGTATGTACCAATGTCATACCTCTTTTTTTAATTTTCTGTATTGATTTTATTGCCACAATAAAAGAAAGATTAGCAAAAACATAAATTGCATCTAAAGTGTGTAATTAGTGAGCAGTATAGTGAAAAGTATGTGTACTCAACTCCCTGTCACTGAGGCATCTTATGCTCCTAACCCCCTTACATACCTTGCTGAATGTTATGCAGCACAATAAGAGGGCATGGGACACTCTGTTCTCGATACTTGATATTATCTTACTTTTAATTAACAAAATCTGCAATCCTAATGTTCAGCTGCCATACTCTCTAATCTACATTGTTGTTATGGCATCTCGTACAACTTTTTGCACATAATGTGATGTCTGTACTATTTTTGGATTGTGAAAGAAAGAAAGAAAAAAGAAAAATATGTGTAATGTGCACTAATGTAAGCGCATGGACATTAATATGCTTAAAGTATGTATGGAGATTTGATTATCTATTGATATTAATCAGATAGGGCAAAACTATCTGCACACGTGTATTTTTATATTCTAGTCTTATTTGACTCAGACCTTTATCCAGCATGTTGATTTTACATAATATAACGTTACACACACATTTTTAACAGCAATAATAGATATTAACAAGATTACCTACCTGCGAATGATATCCATAACTATATTATATACATTGATGTCCTGTGTTCAATTAACCATCTCAACTTCCATTTAAAATAATAAAGCAAACAACAACAACAACAACAACAATTATGTTCTCATTTCTTTATTTTCTTCTGAATATTTTTTTTTGTAGAAGCCCATTATTTTCTTTATGTAGAATGAGGCAGAGGAGAGCACACGGGACTCATATATGAGTGATAGCACTGTGGGCAGTTATTTTCATAGGCAAAACATTTTAAGAACAACAACAAAAAAAAGCACCATAAAAAAAAAAGCATGATCCCTGAATTCTAAATAAAATACTGTTTTGTTTTTATTATTGTTGTAACAAAAATGCTTGTGATACTTAGTGTCATTTTAGTCGGGTTGCAATTTAAGCAAGAATAAAATGCTAAATCAGAATTACAGCACTGTCAGAGAACTCAATGGCTCCCTCTTCTGGTCAAATTAAAGCACTACTAAGCTTGTAGTATATTAACAGCTTCTTTGGTAGAAAAAGGAAGGGGGTGTGTGTCTTTGCTACTTACATACATACTGTGTGCTGACTATGCTTGGCCCCTTAACCTCTGACTAGTATGATAATAAGGCTTAGCAGAAGTACCCAAATGACAATCAAATATTAGATTTATTTATGACAAGAGACAGATCTGTGATTGAAGTGTGTTGTTAAAAGAAAGTGTTACACTTCACTGCTGTAGACTGGAAGGGGCGACAATGCATTGCCCAGCAACACTTGACAAAGTTCCAGCACAGGACTACAGGCAGAAGTTATAAATACAGCTGTAACATAAAAATGCCCTGCATTGCCATGGAATACTTTTAGTAATCATTAAAAACAGACCAAACAAAAACCAAACAAAACACATTAAAACACTGCAATGCTGGTCTTGGGGGTCAGGGGAAATGATATAGATATATATAAAAAAAAAATATGCAGTATTCCTTGAGAAGAAAATATTTTACATCGGTACAAAAAAGTATGGCAACAAATTTAAGAGGTTTTTTTTAGCACAATTATCATAAAATTTTTCTACAAACTACAATAATGACTAAAGGTAATATTAAGCAAAATATGTTGAAAATAAAGCAGCCTTTCTTTATCTTACAAGTCAAATAATTATTTGTTGGTTTGGTTTTCTGAAGGACAGATCATGAATATGGTGGGATACTTATATTTTGTTTTTTTCCCCCCCCTAAACACAGCTGCATGGAATACACAAACAAAATGTCTGCCAATCATCGCCCAGAAGTGGTAAAGCTGACCAACATAAGTTACACAAATGTACCAAGAACAACACACATTTATATATTGTGCATGTGTTAAAATGAGTCTTGATAAATGCAGACCCTGACTTTTATTCTAAAGCACCACGAAAAAAAAAAAACGAAAAAGAAAACAATGGGAGGGACCTTTTAGTGTTATGCCCACACAATACAAAATTCCCTTTCCTTTTAGCACTCAAATAAAAATGACTTACTCCCCATATCATTCTATTGGTCAATAAATATAGAGACAACTGCACATAACAAGTCAAAACAATCTCTTTACATACAACATTTTGAGGTTAACAATGAAGATTGTATTACACATTGAAATTAATGTAACAGACAATTGGAAAGATAACAGGTGGAGTAGGAATTGAATAACCAAGTACAGTAGATTATAAATAAGCAGCATAGGCAAAGAGGTTTTAATAAAAGACGTATTGGCATGTACTTGAAGGTGTGAGGGGACAATGGCAGGGCTAGAATTGAACCTGAAATGAAGCTTACAGGCAGTGTTCATTAACTTTTTTTTATTAAGGCTCCCACTATGAAATATGACCATGATATATCAAGAATGTATTGTAAGCACTTCATGGTTGTATGTAATACAGTATTTCATAATATGAATCCGGCACATATAAATTGAGATGTCCATGTATCTCACTCATGATGGAACAACTGGCCAAATGCTCAGTATTCAGACTTTAACAATTGCTGAATAATGTTAATTTTTTTTAAAATAAAAAAATAAATAAAATACTATAACAAAGTAGTGTGTGTTTGTGATCTTCGGAAATCATCTGAAAACTACTTATATATAGCACCTTGTTACCCTTTACAGAAACTCAAAGCACACAATATTCAGCTGTGTAATAGTTCTGACTTTTACCCAAAAGGTACTTATATTTGTTGGAAGGATAAAGGACTATGTAGATTCTGGTAGCAACCAAGCCTGCGACTGAGGTCTAAACGATCACTGCAGTCAAAAGGAGTTGCAAGTAGAAAGTAAAAAAAAAAAAAAAAAAAATATCTCTCCAAAACCAATAAATACATATTAGTGTTTTTCTATTTACTGAAAATAATTCTGTAGACATTAACATTTTAAAAACACAAGGTGGGTTAAAAGCTGTAGAAGGTTACATTTCTAAACAAAAAGTAGAATTTCCTCAGGGAACATACATCACAAGTCAACATGACCACATGATGTCAGCATTGTACTACTGATGTATAAAGTGTTATTCATGTTTTAAATTCAATTATGTATTAAACTGAATATGGCACTATAATATGTTATATTGGAGTAGGCTACTTTTATAATGTGATTATTTTCTGGAAGGAAAAAAATCGTGAGTATATATTTTTTTAAATAACAGGTTAAAAAAAAAACATAGATCTCAAACAAATAATAAATACAAGATCATTTTACCTAGCTTGTCTTTAGCGAGAAAAAAAAAAAGAAAAAGGAAAAAAGGTCTACTTCCTATCTGCCGTTAGCTGGCTTGTAAACATTTTATTTTACACAGCAGAAGTTACAACTATGTACTTATGGAAACTTTATTTTAAACCCTAAAATATGAATCAATAAACCTTGACTGTGGTGAGGAATCAAGTGATATGTGTTAAAATAATCTTACAAACACTGGTCCCATTTGTCTGCTAATACAGCAGCTGAATTTTATAATTCTCAAAATGGGGTCCTCACAGCAATCTTGTGTTTCTTCAAGTCACTGAAAGGATATTAATGAACGATGGAACGTGTAAGCCCACCAATAGTTTGACAAAATAGTTATCAGACCTCTCTTAAGCAGTGTTGGTTGCACAATTTACACGGTTGTGTACTTTTTAACATTGTGTTCCATTAACAAAAATAAGATAAGAGCTTATGTATACACTCCCCAAACTAATTTGAATTCACAGTCTACCCGAGGTCCAGTAAATCATAAATCAAGGACTCAACTAATTTTAGGGTTTTGTTAACGAAAATGTTGTAAACATTAATTTAAATCCAGACATATTTATAATATGAAATATGATAAAAACTAGGCAAACTATTTCCAAAATCCATTAATTTTCATCAATGTAAGTGCAAATACTTAATTCTATGCATTCTGTGTAGTGTAAAAATGTATCGTAAACAATAATATATGGCTGTAGGCAGATAGACAAGATGCCCACTATGCATTGATGCTGAATAAATGAACACAATACAATGAAATTCACACAGCCTCTGTAAAGGTGTGTGTATAAATGTATCATATATATGGGCATTTAAAGAAACACTCCAAACTGCTAAAGAACTTTAGCTTTAGGAGTATCCCTTCATTACAAATTTATAAAAGTGCAGATAAAGTGGCACTTTTATAAAGTGTTTTGGTTGCACACCCAAACATGTTCTTCAGACAGCTGGAAGGGTGCTTTTCCTATCTGCTTTGTGCCCTGGCACAAAGTGGAAGACCATGCTTCCTATAGATAAGCTGTGGCAAGGGACTGTCTCGCCACTGGATTAGAGATACATTTTTTAGGACAGATAGAGGGGTCCTGATAAATTAAATGGGTTTTAAACATTAGAGCCTTACAAATGAAACACTTTTATCTTTTATTTGTAAAGGCTGTAGTGTTCCTTTCAGATGTTTAAATGGAATACCCATTGGTATGTTTTGTCAATCATCGTGCAATGTAAAATGCTTACATATCTTATGTGTATATATATATATATATATATATATATATAACATATATGTAAGCATTTTACAATGCATAATGAATGACAAGTATATAATGCATGTACTTGGCTGGGCAAATAATAATGAGAAGCTAATTTGACAAGCACACCTTTTAAGACACTGGCATGATATGACACGGTGTGATCTGCAAGAATGCTTGAATAGTAAATCAGTTACTATTCTGCTAGGTGATTAAAAGGTACATTACTGGCCTGAAGACTGCTTTTCATTTGCTAGTCTTCCTGCAGTAGGAAATAAAATTAAAATGTCTGTATAGGAAGCTAAAGCAAAATCAGTAGGAAAAAATAAAAATCCCCCTTGTCTCTGTCATAAGACTCATTGATCTAATTTTCCAAACCATTGCTAAGCGACTGAAAGACACTTTTAGATTTAAAGTAATGCATATGCAGAGAGACGAATATGAAACGGTCTATTTGCTTATTCTCTGTTGATAGTGCGAACAGTTTAGCAGTAAGGTTTGCTAAGCCACTGCAAGCACAAAACAAACTCTCACTGTTAGGCAGAATGAAAAGCTGGCTTAATTACAATCCCACCCTATATTGTCTTATCTGGAAGTGACAACACTCACAAAGCAAGGCTATTTCAGCAGCTGGCTAATCATTATTCATCATTGGGGTTAAAAATACAGGAGAAAAATAAAATAAAAACAACAAAGCACATAAAAAGACAAGTAGAGGGGGACATGTTAAATAAGAAGATCACACGCCAACTTACAGAAATAGGATGGGTTCACAGAGGCATACATTTAAATATGGTATGGCACAAGGCCTTTCGTAGAGCTCCACCTGCAAACAACATAAAGAAAATGTACATGTAGGGTCTTCCTAACTCAAAAACTGAGTAAACGCAGATACACAATTGAGGTTTGAATAAGTTAGTAGAGTGACAAGATATTGAGGATTATTTCTCATTGAAATATTTTTCTCCTCTAGAAAAATGTCATAGGAATAAAAATTATTTAACACTGAAAAAAACGTTCTTTTGTGACAAACAAAACAAAAAAAAGTGAAAAAATAATATTACTGCTCTTAGAGAAGCTGTTTAGGCTGTAAAGTGTATGGTATGCTTTCCATCGATCATCCTCCACTCAGTTTCTATCGAACCACTAGACAAGCTACACACAATTTTGAAGGGCCTATGCAGTCATCGTGACAAAAGGCCCCACAGCCTTTGCACACTATCATGGCTTTCAGCCTGCAAGAGCATTTCAGTTCCAGTTCGTCTGCACTGCTGCTGTCAGCAAATGTCTGCGCAGGCATTGCCGAGTTCTGGCTGCCCAGCCCAGAAACAGGCTTTGAGTTGCTCCCTAAAATTCCAATAGATTTTTCAATGGCAGACGCTGCCCTTTTGAAGCTTGTGCTACCAAACTGAATTGCTGGATAACTCCCACATTGCTGCTGCTGCTGCTGCAGCTGCTGTGTTTGTAATTTCTGCACAGCTAACTGAGTAAAAGGCTTTTGTGGCTCAGAAAGTAAATAGGAAGAAAAATCTGCATTTTTCAAGGCTAATGCTTTCAACTGTTCTTTGACTTCATTCTGCTCATAGGAAGCTTGTTTTATGGTCAGTTCACAGCTGTTGTTTAAACTGTCCTCAAAAGAGATGGGCTCTGACTTTATATTGCTACAGATGCTTGCAGGCTGAGGCCAACCAAGTCTTTTAGTGGTTTCCATGGTAACTGCTGGTTGCTTTTGATCAGAAGAGACTTCGGAATTAGATAAGGGAGGATGCAGTAAAAATTTATGTTGCAGAGTCTGTGGAGCATTGCTCAGTTCCTCTCCTTCTTTAATGTGAACGTTTGGTGAACACACATTCCCCATTCTGGACGGAAGGGATGATAAATGTGTTTCTCCCAAAACCTTCTGTTCTGGTTGCCTTCCAAAAGCAAAAGCATGGTTATTGGGGTGGGGCTTTACAGGACCTTGGGGCACATACACTGAAGAACTGGGGCCTCTCTGTGCCATAGGCATTTGGTAAAAATGCTGCTGCCTATGTGAAGTACTAGCGTCTGGATGATAGCTGCCATTTTTATCAACAGTAAATAGGTTTTGCTGGAAGCTACAAGAAGGAAGTGGTCTCTTTTGTTGTTTGATCTCAGGGCTGTGAGCAATCCTCACCTGTACAGGGTGTTTGTTCATCCACTCCTGTTTAAACGCCTGTGCTTGTCCCAGTAGGTTCATGTTAGAACCCATCATACAAGAGGACAGGTTTGCATCATTGTCCATTGAGAGCTTCCCTGGCTCGCACTTAATCTGAGTATGTTCCCCTACAGTCCTAGCCATCCTTTTTTTAGGATGGTTATCTCGTTTCCTCATTTGCAAAGGATTTATGTTCCCCAGAGGGTAATTCTTACCTTCAGGAGTAGGGGAACAGGAGTTGTTTTCAGAAATAATCCTCTCTGACCCACTTTTATACACTGAGGTAGCCTGCATGGGAAGTCTGTTGATTTCTAGCTTAGCTCCGAGTCTGGGCTGCGGTAAAACTTTTTCTAAAGGCAGGTTACCCTGCAGCAACTGAGTAACCAGTGGATTATTTGCCTCAACAGAAGAAAGGCGGCAGCTTGGATTCCCAGTGTTTGTAACCCTTTTCAGGTTTTCTGAAGACAAGGACAATGGCTCCTCTCTAGAAACATTAGGAACAATTGTCTTTGCGGAGTGCACACTAGGGTCCAGGTCATTAACTTTGGAAGTCATACTAGGAGCCGAAAGATCTACCCCATCAATTCCAAAGCACTTGCCAGGTTCACTCACTTCAGATTTCAGAGGGATCTGAATATTTGTAACAGTGCTGCGATTAGTAAGTTTTGACATATGTGGATAATTGCCAGGCTCACTTTTGACATGGTTTACCAAGCTTTCGTCAGAGAATTCCATGTGCTTGTTTGTAGTTAAGTGGTTGACAACTGTTTTGTCACTGTCTACATATTCTTTTTCAGTCCAGCATATTCTGTTAGGTATATACTCTGCATTAGAGATGTTATCTGAACCACACTTTAGAGAAGAGGGGCACCGAAGCTGTTCATTGAAGTTTTGCTGGCAACCAGCTAATTCATTGAATTTATCTTTCTGAGTAAAAGGGAATTCTGAAAGGCTAGTGCAGGTTAAGGGCTTGTTTCTTTCTTCTCTTGTTAGCCTTGCAGCAATGTTTGAGTTGGGAATGTGCTCAGTGCTTTCACTAAGAATGTTTTCCTGTCTGCTGATGACAGAGACTTGTGGACACGTCTTATTCTGCATTGAAAGATCTGCCTTACCATGCCAATTTTGAGGCTCCAAACTGTTATCTCCATTTTCTGTACTAAATGGGAAAGCTGAATTTGGAGTTGTACAGTGATCTACAATAACCTTGCATGGAATAGATCTGTTAGACAATGTTTGTGTTAAACCAGCGGGTTTACTGTGCATATCTGATAAATTACTACATGGGCTTTTTTCTAGATTATCTGCATGTACTTTGGCATGGCTGGAATCAGAACTTGAACTTCTCTTGTTAGAAAATAATGGAACAGGTGACCTCCCAAGAGAATCCACCATAGTGTCTTCATGGTTTGACATTCTTCTGGCAGGAGTGCAAATTGATACATGATCTCCTTCTTCATAATCAGGTACCACTAATTTATCAGGATGCCTGTTGCTTGTTCCCACTGAGGAGTTGAGGGATTTTAACAAATTACTACTAAGATGGGAATTTGGCAAACTACTCCCAATGGATGAAATTGGCACAGCGGTGTAAGGATTAATAATGGGATTAACATTACTGACTGATACTGGCACTCTCTTTTCATCTGCTGAGTTACACACAACTGAATTAACTACTGAGGTGTGACTGCTAGTGTCATCAGTGCATTTTGGTGCAAGAGCTATGCAAGGGATGTCAGTCTCCTTTAGCACATTAACGGTACAAACAGACCGTGTAGTATTTTCACTGTCAACAGACATCAGAACCGAAGATTGTTCAAGTGAATTTGTAAAAGGAGGCTCAGCAGAGCTGCAGATTGGCATTGGGCCAACATTTTTATAAAAATGCACTGGCACACTGCAATCTTCAGAGGAGGTAGATGAAACAGATTTGTCACTGGAATGTGGCACATGAATATTTTCATTAGAGTTGTGCACTGATACATCAGAGTCAGTTTCTGATGATGTTGCGTTGCTTAGCGATTTCTGTAGTGTAGATTCCCGATGCAGAGTAGACTTACTACTCGGAGATTTGCAGTTTGGATTAATAATGATAACTCCAGTGGAACCTTCAACTTTTGCATCAGATGAAGCTGGCAAATCCAATGTCTCTTTTATTTTCCCATCCTTAGTTTGTTGTGTATTTACTCTTGCCTGATGTTTAGCAAAAAGTTTAGCCTTTGTTTGCTCCTTGATATGTGCCAATGTTCTCGTCTTACTGCCTTCACAAGGGCTTCCAACACCTCCTGAAACTATGCTTGCAGCAGCTGCCACTGCAGCTGCAGCGGCTGCCTCTCTTTGGGCCCGTGCCTGTTGCGCTCTTGCCTTGATATCAGCAAGGGTTCTAGCTCCAGTGTTCCTCCCTCCACTGACAGATGTGCTGGAGGAGACTTTGGATTCAAGTTTGGGGGCCGGTTGACTTTTGATGATAAAAGGTGGCCCAATTTTGGAGAGTTGGATCTAGGAAAAGTCAAATAAAGCAAGTCATTAGCATAGGAAACCATGTATACAATTATGACATGCCCCTTTATATTTAAATAAATCTGAAATCATGTAAACTGGATCAACAAACTTCCAATGAATTATCAAAACTATAAATATTAGAAATGCAACTCTTTTTTTACAATCTGTGCCAATTTGGGTACAGTTCATATACAAGATGAAGGTGAAAGAAAAAAACAAGGAATCTCAACTTGAAAACACTACGTTTTACCACACTTCAACAAGTTTAAAAAAAAATTAAAAATGTTATTTAACTCCTGCAAACGAGACACGTAATTATGCACCATAAATGCCCAGTTCAGGTGCTACAAAAACATTTGTATGTTTCAAGACAATTAAATAATAAAAATATATATTTTCCCCATCTGATTGGAGAACATTCGATGTACCAGGAGAGATCTGTGGAACACATTGTCTTATAAACAAGTTGTATTCAGATGGTAGAAAACAAGTCCTTTAGCTGCAAACACTTTAGTACTTTGACGTGTACTACATATTGCTAAAGAGCAGGACTTGGAGATTTGCCCAGAATTTAGGACTCACTTACATCCCCAGATCATAAAAAGATACACCTCAGCCGGATTATTCTGTTCACCTCTGGTTGCTATGAGTTGAGAAAAGGAAAGCCGTAGTTCTACAGCAAGGTCCTTGTGGGGGCTGTGCAGAGGAGATTGTTTGATCACCCCATAGAGAAAAATTCTGTCTTATTAGAGATTTGTATATTTAGCTGAAAGTAGTAAGGTGAATTCTGAAAGAAGGACTTAAGGCTTGTTTTGACACTAACAGTTGAGCTAACACTTTAAAGTTTATTGGAAGGGTAGCAAAAACCTGTGTTTAATAAATAAATATAATTAATTGTAACTTATAACTTGGGGAACTCAGATTTATTAATATTTTTTTTTAATTTGGGTTTGAGGAAATATTAACAGTTTTGTATGTATACATTGTTTTTCACTGCATATATGATGTTCTCTTTAAAACTACTTAAAGGAACACTATAGGGTCAGGAATAAAAACATGTATTCCTGACCCTCTAGTGTTAAACTCACCATTTAGGCGGCTTGCCCCCCCCCCCACCTCCCCTCCCTCCCTCAGCACCGTTAAAAATAATTAAAACTTCAGTCAGGCCCTGCCATAGAGTGCAATTTCAAACAGCTGAAACACCCTTTTCTTCTAGTAAAAGAAACTTAAATAATACTCCGCATTTCACTTTACCTTGAGAGGTGGGACTCTAGGTTCCTCCCTAGGTGGATGATCTCTCTCAGAAGAACCTCTAAAAGAATGATCATCTATTCTTGGGCGTTTCTCCTTAAAAATTCCATAATTATGCTGCTCAGCAGTTTTTCTCTTAGAAATTTCAGGCTCACGACTTTCAGTTCTTATTGTCTCAGTTTGTTTACTAAACTCATATGACTTTGGATGAGAATTTTCTGTCCTATTTTGTGAGCTCCCTTGCTGTTTATGGGTTTTACTTCTGGAGGATTCATAAAACCCTGCTGTCTCTAATGTATTCGCATACAGTTTATCATGAGACTTGATTTGATGTGGTTCATTTTTTTTAGGAAATAATTCTTCAGGTTCTTCATGTGATGGAGACAAATATTTTTTATCAACAATACAATAATGAGGTGAATTATTTTTTATTGTTATAGGTTCAGGTGGCGATAATTCTGATGCTGTGGTTTCATATACTTTTTCATTGTCTACTTCAGATTTATTACTTGAGACATCTCCTGAAATTGAGGTTTCAGAATTAAGGGATATTGTATGGTGATATTTTATATCTTCAGCACTTTCTTGGTCAATAGCACATGTGTCCACTTGGGATGCCTCTGAGAAGCCATCTGTTTCATCCTTAGATGGTGACTGTGATTCATCAGAAGAAGTTGGGGAGGTTCCTTCTTGAAGCATGAGATGATCATTTGTAGGAGGGCTATATATAGAAGATGCTTCTGAAGTTGGAGGTATGTTTGTTGCAAGTCCAGTTTCAGGGGCCAGAGCTGCAGGAGACATAGAAGATGTTTCTGATGTTAAAGGTGCATCTGACATAGGAGAGGCTTCAGAAGTTAACGGCAAATTAGATGAAGGAGATGCCTCTGATATCAAAGGATGATTAGAAGATGGAGATGCTTCTGACCTCACAGGTGAAGTGGATATTAGAGAAACATCTGAGGCAACAGATGTAGAAGGACTTTCATCTAAGGGTTTTTGCTCAGTATTTTCAAAGCTGGAAACTTCAGAAAGAAAAGCAGCTTCAACTGATGCAGGGGTATAGGGCTCCTCTGAAGCAGACTGAGTATCTCCTCCTGGAGATGCACTGCTAATGCACACCCCCTCCGGACTCTCTGCTGAAAATGATGCTTCAGAAATGCACGCAGTTTCGGAAAACTGTTCATCTGGTTCACTATTGAACTCCATCTCTACAGCACTAGCCTCTCCCGCACAAACTGAATCCACAGAAGTGGAGGAGTTCCCAATCTCCTCCAAGGCACGTATATCCTCTGGAGGAGGCTCTTCCTTTTCAACTGTCTCACTTGTTGAACTGTGAGGAGAAACAGAAGAAATTGGGGATATGCATTCATTCGGCTGACTAACTTCTTCTAACATGTCACCTTCAAGGCCATCCGATCTTTCATCTTCTTCTTTAACATCCAACGGAGATAACATTTCATCTTCCATCACTACACATGAGTCCACATTTTCAACTATGACTTCTTTTTCCACATTCTTAGTTGTTTGATTTTCATGCTCCTCGGATAATTCAATCTCGGTCTTCTGATTATCTTCCTCACATTCACAAATGGTGGTCTCTACCTCCTCCGCAATCTCCTCCTGGATTACAGCTTCTTCTGTTATTAATAATTCTTCAAGTATGGTTTCCCCTACAAGGTCCTTAGAAGGAACTTGTTCCATGTTACAGTAGGGTTCTTCAATTAAGTCCTTTTCCAGTACCTGTGGTGTTTCATTGGTGGACTGTGTGCTGCTGTCAAATTGTGCTGATGGGCCAGGCAAGCTCTGAGATGTTTCTAAAGAACTACTCTCATCTTCACTGCTATTTTGAACTGATGTTAACTGGAGAGATTCTTCTCTTGACATTCCAGATCTGATCATAAAAACAAACAAAGCAAATGAGCAGTAGTAAATAATCTCTACTTCACAACAGGTACTTATTATAAAACTGTAGTAACAAATTGAATATTTTGCTTTTTTAAACTCAGTTCCAAATTCCCATGGGGAAAAAAAAAAGTACCTGTATGTTCCATAATACATCAGTTCTCTACTGATACTGCAAACACGTGTAATTTGAATATTTAATGTCCAAACACATATGCCAGCATAAGGCAGATGAGCCTCACTGTTACTTTGACGTGTTTCTTATTATATCAAATTATTTTACTGCAACAGCATTAAACCCACACTGAAAATGTAAACTGAAAAAAAATTCCATATAATCAAAGAACAAAACAAATGTAGAACAAAAATACTTGTTCAATGTTCATTCTTTTTCCCTTTTTGTTTTTTAACTTTATTACTTACTTTTCTCCATAAAATCTCTCAAAGAATCTTTCTTTCCAAACTTCTGTTTTCTTTTCTTTTTCAATTTCTTGTCGAATGCGCATTTGCATTTCTGGTGTAAATTCTCCTGGAAAAGTAAACAAAATTATAGAGTTAATTTAGCGGAAAAAATAAATGTAAAATAAAATGGATGTACGAAACAACATATTACAAAACAGTGGCATGCATAACTATGTGGGTTACAGTATTTTGCCTCTCTTGTGGTCATATTTTGTATAGTAGACTAGAGGCAGATCATTGACATGAATCTATAACATACAAATTTGATGGTGAAGCTTATTACCAGAGCATGGGAAAATGACCATGCCGCTATAAAATTCTCAAGTATTCGAGAAGGCCAAGTTCAGCTGTCCAGGAGACCGGCTCAAGCTTAAATTCCAGGACTTGCTGGAGGTGATGTATACTGGTAAGGACAGGCCCACCGATGTGAGAAATTTCTCAGAAATGGACACATGGGAGGTGTGTATTCAATTTCCGTCATGCAGCACTGAAAGCCTGCGGCCCAGTCCCCAGCAATATGGGATGTCATTGTCACTCAGGAGCAGTGTCACAGGTTTCATTGATTGTACAGTAGATATGGAGAGATAATTGTAAAATGATAGGTCAAATCCCTCAAACTTATAGATGGGTGACTCAGAGGTAGCTGCTTGCGTCAGTTGTTTGCACATGTGCAATTGGAAGCAAATCATTAGGTGCTTTGGGTGACCAAATATTCAAGAAGCTTGGTCTTGGCTTTAGCTGATGAAAGCAAAGAAGGCAGCAGCCTTCTTATATAATAAGAAACTTCAGTGTCAAGCACTTTTTAGAAGACACCCCTAATTCAGAGGTTAGGCTGATGCAGTGGCACCACTTTGTCTAATTGCATTGGCTTGCTTAAACTGGGTTACAAATTATGTTTTAAAGGCAGTCATTTTTTTACATTAACCTTTCATGATGAAACAGCTCCAGTTTTCCTCAACTGATTTGTTATTGATGTAATGGCTAATTTACATTTTTTTAATTTTTAATTCTTACTTTTGCAGGTCAATAAAGAATATACAATAAAATCAAACTCAAGTTTAAATAAGTATTCCCACGCGTAAAAATAATAAAACTTGAAACACATGAGAAAGACCTTACTTTAAGTTAAACAAACAACTTCCAAACCTACATAGCACCCAAAAAACTGTGGAAAACACAGGCATTGAAATGTATGTGCAAGCACTAATATTAATTTTGCAAGGAGCAAAGATCCAACTGATGGCATGTATGGAAGGTATACGGGGTGCCTTAATAGCCTCCAGCGGTTTGCCAACACAACCGTACACAGCTAGCAGATAATAGGTCTTAAAGGACCACTATAGTGCCAGGAAAACAAACTCGTTTTCCTTGCTCTATAGGGTCTTTGGGTCCCCCCCCCACCCTCATGGTCCCCCTCCTGTCTGGCTCTAGGGGGAGGAAGGGGTTAAAGGCTTACCTTTCTCCAGCGCCGAGAGAGTTGGGGACTCTCCTCCCTCTTCTGACATCACCGGCTGAATGTGCATGCGTGGCAAGAGCCGCACGCGCATTCAGTCAGTCCATAGGAAAGCATTCTCTGAAACTGCTATGTTTACATCAGGCAGGGTTAACCCTAGATGGACCTGGCACCCAGACCACTTAATTGAGCTAAAGTGGTCTGGGTGCCTATAGTTGTCCTTTAAGAGCAAGTTTGACAGATTAATTTTAAATGATTGCACAGAAGTTAATGTCCAATTACTTGCCTGACAATACTTACATATTGTGCAGCAACCCACACATAAAATCACCAAACTTCCCTATTGTAATTCACATACTGACATGAGTCCATAATCAGATAAAATAAATGTAATTACAGAAAAATGGTAGCTCTTTATCACCTTCAGATAGTCGCTGTTTCCAACCTTGAGCTGCATATGCAAAGAACTCATTATTCAGAGCAGAATTACTAAGACGTAAAGCTCCATCACTTCCCATCTAGAAAACAGTTCAAAGAAAAAGAAAAAAAAATTAATAACTGAAAAATAAAAGTGTTAAAGCACTACAGCTTGCAGTCCTGGTACTGGGGCAAACAGTTTTACAATGGTTTGCCCTGCCTCTTCTGTAGGCAGGTTTAAAAAAAGAGCTGCAAAAGACAGATGTTGATCCTACAGGTAATTAATTGGCTGAGCGATCCTATTGCATGCACAATAGCCTCCCAGTGCTTTCCTATAGGAAAGCACTGGGTTGGCTGAGATCATCAAGACTGAACAGCTGTGTTACTTACATGTTACATCTCATATCTATGCTAACAGAATATAGAATGTTTTAAATAAAATTACACTACAGTCACCAAAACAAATTTAACTAAATTAAGCAGTATTGGTGAATAGATCATGCCCCTGCTCAATTCTCTGCCATTTAGGAGTAAAATCACTTTGTTTATGCAGTTTCATTCAAACCTCCCTACATGTGACATGTACAGCCTTCTTAAACACTTCCTGTAAAGACGTATCTAATATTTATAAATACATTTATTGCAAATGCGGTTTAATTCAGAATTTCTCAACTCAGCCATGAGGGCAGGGTCAGCTGTGGTGAGGTAGAAACGGTGAATAAACTCATATTTGAACTCCACAGAGAGGGTGGGTGGTCACCTAAACAAAGTCCAGCAAAATAAAGTTAGGAATACATGTTTGCATTCCTGACACTATAGTGTTCCTATAATATGATCATTGAATGTGATTTGATATTTTCCCGAAGCTTCGTATGGGACAATCTATAATTGCTTACTGGTAATAAAGACTTTGTGGATTAAAGTGGATTGAGGTTTACATGAAAAATAACACCCCTTCTACATTGCTACAGTGCATTATTAAGAAATCTTCTCTTAATGCAGCAGCGGTAACATTGCAACTGAGCAGAACAGTGAAATTCATACAGTTTTAAAATGTCCCATACACATTATTAACCTTCATTTATTAACCTTCATTTATTATTAGTATGATTCTCTAATTTTTTGCATACACGGATTCATTCTTTTAAAGAGTGTTTGTTCACCTTAAATGATGGTTTATTGATGCTGCTCTTGTTACAAGGGGTCCACAGCCCAATTTTATTAATCTACCTGTGGCATAAAACGGTGGCATGAAGTCAAGAGTCCCTCAACTCGGAACAGGTTTATTGAGGTTTGTTTAGAATCTTGCTCGTTTTATTTGGTTCACGCAGCATGAGCAGATAGTATCTATGAGTAAGTATGCCGTTTTCTAGTACATTTGTTGTAGAACTCCAAACTTTTGTATTTTTAAAGCAGTTCTGTCATAAAAAAAAAATGGTTATCTAATCTGCTTCTACAAAGCTCCCTTTTTCTGAATTTCTTTATTTTTCACCGAACGGTCTAGTTGTCATAAAATACATAAAAATAAGTCACCTACTCTAGATGCATAGCAGTAAGCCTAAAGCTCAATGTTCTATTTCAGTTTTCCAATCAAATATCTTTCTATGGACACAAAGCTCCAGAAATGGTGGGATTACCCTTAGTTCATGAAATTAGGGAGATGGTACATTTTAACATTCGCCTTTTATATGAGTAGGGTATGTATTGTACAGCTGACATATCTTCTGCTTCATGTTAATGCACATGCTAATGGCTTCTGGTGCGCAATTTCCTGCTGCAGAATAACTGCAGCGATATCACCACAGCCTTCGAGAGTGGGTGTCACACACCAAGTAGCAGGGATCAAGAGACTTCTTGCATCTTTAAGCATGCGTGGGATAGGCATAAGGCTATCCTAGACTCAAGATAAGGCTAGGGACTAATGAAATTTTTAGAAAATTGGGCAGACTAGATGGGCCGAATGGGTCTTATCTGCCATCACATTCTATGTTTCAATCGTCAAAGGACTTTTGGTCTTCTCGCACTACTACAGTCCCTTACCTTCGTCATGCTTCTCTATCTTTCCTTTTTCTCTTTCCACTCTTGGACTTTCTACCCTACCATCTCTGAATTTAATACCTTCCTGATTTAGCTTTCTTTTTTTACTCTCTTTAGAACTCCCTGCCATTAATCTGTCATCAGATTCCGTTTTTTGTTTACATTACTCCTATTCTCTATATATGAACTTTATTAAATTATTGCATGATGAAAGGAAAGAAAAATGTGAATGCAAGCGAGAGCATTGTTGAGACTACTTACCTGCCTATCTACTTCTGGGAGTAACAGGAGAAGGTACTGCTGAAAATGTTGTGGTAAAGAGGCAAATGTATGCTTGTTGATTAAAGCCCTCAGATTAGTGTTTACTAAAATTGATCCTGGAGTTTCAATGTCAATATCTTCTGCTTTGGTCCATTTCAAATGCCCTAGAATACAGTAAATAAGATCAACATTTATGTCACTGTTTCACATTGTTAGAAGCATTATCAGTGTTTTTATTTGTAGAAACGGTGTACACTCGAAAGCAAAAATTAAACCATAGCAAAAGCAAATTAACAGCCATTCATTTTAATTTGCAGCAGCGTTTTATATCTCTCTACCGAAAGAAAAACACCCAAAACAAAAATAAAAAAAACATTCTCAATCACAGTAACAATCTTGTAATTCTACAAAGAACACAGATATATATATATATACATATATATATATATATATATACATATATATATATATATATATATATATATATATATATATATAAATACTGCATTACGATAAACATTACACATATACTTATAATAAATCTAGGTTTATTTACATACCAATATTTATGAAGAAGTTCTTTTCAGTATATCAAACGCTTTCTCTCTCTAAACAAATGCATACACACATGCACAGAAAATTCTAATAATTTTTGTGTTATGTCTGACGAGAAAACAGTGTACTCTGTCATCCATAGTGGCCCTGTCATCCACCAACTGTTTCAATGACAAGATCAGCTTCTTGTAAGCTTTAAAATTTAATGCATAGATTATGCTAGCAGAACTGCCAGTAAATGTATATATTAAATGTCCTGCTTTCCTGAAGTTTCACATAGCGTGGAGCTCAAGCCCACGGCACTATGTGAGCAGCTGTGTTACTTAAATGTTACATCTCAAATATATGCTAAAAGAATATAGAATTTTTTAAATTAACACTATAGTCACCAAAACAAATGTAGCTTAATTAAGCAGTATTGGTGAATAGACCATGCCCCTACTCAATTATTTGCCATTTAAGAGTAAAATCACTTTGTTTATGCAGTCTTATTCACACCTCCCTGCATGTGACTTGTACAGCCTTCTTAAACACTTCCTGTAAAGACTCATCTAATGTTTATACACCCTTTATTGCAAATGCTGTTTAACCCCTTAAGGACTGGACTGTTTTTGCGATGTTGTACATTTGCGACCAAGCCTCTTTTTACACTTTTGTGGTGTTTGTGTTTAGCTGTAATTTTCCGCTCTCATTTACTGTTCCCATACAAATTATATATTGTTTTTTTTCAGGACAAAAGGGACTTTCTTTACATACCATTATTTATATAATCTCATGTAATTTAATAAAAAATAAAATAAAATAAAAATATGATGAAAAATTGAAAAAAATACATGTTTTTTTACTTTTACTTGAAAAATCTTTTACTCATCTACAAATGAAAAAAACTGCTAAATAGATTAAAATTTTGTCCTGAGTTTAAAAATACCCAGTGTTTACATGATTTTTTGCAAGTTATAGGGCTATAGGTACAAGTAGGATATTGCGGTTTCAAAACATACATTTTTAAAATTTATCAATAGTGACATTGTAACACTATTATCTGTCATAAATCTCTGAATAACACCCCACATGTACATATTTTTTTTAAAGTAGACAACCCAGGGTATTCAATATGGGGTATGTCCAGTCTTTTTTAGTAGCCACTTAGTCAAAAACACTGGCCAAAGTAAGCATTCATATTTGTTTGTGTGTGAAAAAAGTAAAAAAACTAAATTGAACGCTAATTTTGGCCAGTGTTTGTGACCAAGTGGTTACTAAAAAAGACTGACATACCCCATTTGCAATACCTTGGGTTGTCTTCTTTTGCAAATGGTATGCCATCATGAGGGTAATTCTCATTCCTGGGCTACCATACGCTCTCAAAGGCAACGTAACCAACCTGGCCATTTTCAATGTAAAAATATTTGACCCATATATTTGACCCTGTAACTTTCAAAAACGCTATAAAATCTGTACATGGGGGGTACTGTTATACTCGGGAGACTTTGCTGAACACAAATATTAGTGTTTCAAAACAGGAAAACGTATCACAACAATCAGTAAAAGTGCTGTTTGTGTGTGAAAAATGCAAAAAAAAGTTACTTTCACTGACAATATCATCGCTGTGATATGTTTTACTGTTTTGAATCACTAATATTTGTGTTCAGCGAAGTCTCCCGAGTAAAACAGTACCCCTCATGTACAGGTTTTAGGGTAAAATATAGTGCTAGCAAATTAAATTCTCTGGACTTTCGACCTGGGTTGGCAGGCAGGTCCCTCAAATTGCAATCAATAAAATTACTTAATTATGTAAAAATATTACAGAAATACGCATGTAGAATTTAAATATATATGCATATTTATATATTTGAAGTCTACGTGTATATTTATATAATTATTTATGTAATTTTGTATATGGACATTTGCATATTTCGTATTTTTATTTATTTATATATACATATATATACAATTTCATTCTAAGTGTATTTTGATATAAATATATATATTACATATATATATTTTTTAAATTTTTATTATTTTTACATGTTTTTATTTAATTTAAATTACTTATTATTTGTATTTTATAATATTTATATGCAATATATATAATTATATACATACGTGTGTAATTTAATTATAAGTATTTTTATATTAATATATGTACATATTAATCTAAAAATACACTTAGTATGACATTATATATATGATATATAGACATATTATACAATAATATATGTCTATATCATTTATATACACATAATTATTATTTTTTTATTAACATTAACAGGTTTTTTATTTTTTATGATTTTACACATGCAGGGAGACTGCCTGTCAGCACAGGCAATCCCCCTGCAGGCAGACACATGGACACCTATTGTGACCATGAGATCGCTCTGTTGAGCGATCACATGGCCACAGGGGTCCTAATTCGCCATGGGGAGACTGTCTGGGCTGCAGGCAGTCTCCCCACAACAGGAGCAATACTGATCATCGCCGGGGGAACGACGGCGATCGGGTAAGTACATTGGACTGTTAGGACGGTTCAGGACCGTCACCGGTCGGCAATGGAAAAATGCCGATGACGGTCCTGAACCGTCCTCGGTCCTGAAGGGGTTAATTCAACATTTCTTATCTCCTGCTCTGTTAGTAGCTTGCTAGACCCTGCAGGAGCTTACAGTGTGTGATTAAAGTTCAATTTACAGAGAAGGAGATAAAAGAAAAACTTTTAAAGCAAGTTACATCTGATTGAAATTAAAACATTTTTGTTTACCTGTGGGCTGTGTCAGTCACAACCAGTGGAGGTGTGGCTGGTGCTGCATAAACAGAAACAAAAGTGATTTCACTCCTAAATGGCAGTGAATTGAGCAGTGGAACTTCAGAGATAGGATCTATACCAGGGGTTCCCGAATAATTTTTCCCATAGTACCCTTTCACATAATACTCTAACAACGTGGAACCCCAAAAAACGTTTGGCGCCGTAGCATAGATAGTAAACAGATAGTAGTACTTAGGAGCAGGTGTGCTTTTGTGTGTACAGTTGGTGTTTGTATATATGTTAGCGTTTTGATACAGGTGTGTGTTTGTATGTAATGTTTGCATTTGCGTGCAGGGATGTGTTTGTATGTAATGTTTGCATTTGCGTGCAGGCGTGTGTTTGGATGTAGTGTTAGCTTTTAAATGTGCGTGTACATTTGTGTGTAGTATTAGTGTTTGAGTGAAAGGTGTGTTTGAATGCTTGTATATAAATTTGAATCCAGGGTTTTTTGTATGTTATGTTTGTGTTTGCATGTTGTGATGGTGTTTGATTGCTGGGATGTATGTACATATACGTGTTTGTTTGCTGAGATGTATGCCACGTACATACATACACAAACAAATTAACACACAAACGCATAAAAACATTGACACATACACACACATTCATATACACATAAACACAAAGATACACACCTTGACACACAAATACACACTGGCACATACACACATATAATCTTTGACAGATAAACATATACTCTCACTGACAAACACACATACTCTTTGACAGACACACATCCAAACACACATATTCTTTGACAGACACACATCCAAATACACACACTCTTTGACAGATTCCTTAACCCCAAAAGGAATCTGGTCTGAATTCCAAATATACAGTGTACAGAGAAAGGATTGGGGGCACACCCAAGACCTGCATTTTGCATGAAAGGTGCTGCCTCTTTTTTTTTTTTATGTATGATGTTTGGTCACTGCGGCAGCACCTTTCATGCAAAATGCAGGTCTTGGGTGTCCAATCCTTTCTCTGTACACTGTATATTTGGAATTCAGACCAGATTCCTTTTGGGGTTAAGCACCCTGCCCAGGCCCCCCCCAGCTTCATAGGCCCCTTTAGAGGTGGCCACAGGTGTGTGTATATATAGGAGGAGTTTTCAATAGTCAAGTCACTCTTATTATTTTCTCCATTCAACACAGATATCGTCTGCAATAGTGAGTATATTCATTCTAGCACTAACACTTTAATTGTTTAGTTTTAACACTGTTTTTAATTGCTTTCATCACTATTTTTGTATACTCACTTTGCTCTTACAAGGATTTAATAATACACTTTATTTTTAACACTAGTACTATTTAATTTGTCCCCCACAATTTAGCGTAGGACCCACCAACACTGGTTGGTATTTATGCTTAGATAGGCAATTTAGAAGCCTTTTTGTGTTGTATTTTTTTGTAGTCTGAGTGCGCCTCAACTATTTTTTTCATGGCTTCATTATCAAACATGAAAATCTGGAGGAAGCACGTGACACAAAGAACTTGAAAAAGTGAAATCAATTTTGGGGTAAATTGCAATTTTACTTGCCATTTAAAATTTTTGTTAAAGGTAAACACAACTTAAGTGCACATAGCTGTAGAATAACTATACAAATTACAAAATATTTAGATCATATTCTTTAAATAGAAATATTAATAGACAAAGTGAAATTAAAACAATAGTCTGCAGCATATTAATCCCAAGGTTAACAAACATTTATTTATTTATTTTAGCGGAAACTTCTTGATTCTGATTTATACATGAATGAAAGAACGTTTCAGCCACAAATAAGTGTTATGGGAAAGCTAGATTTAAAAAAAACAAACAAACAAAACGTCTCACAATATATTAACTTGTATACAAAATGACCAGCCTGATGAATGTGTGAAACAGTCTATTGGTTACAACGTAGAAATTTTGTAATATTATTAAAACACTGAGTAAATGGTTTATTTACAAAAGACGCTATGGGTAGACACTATGTGAATTAAAATAAGCAGCCATAAAACACAACACACAAGCTGTTTACAAACATTATCATTTTCACACGGACACATTCAAAAGCTTGTTCTGTTTCACCTAGCCAAGCACGGTGGATCTACCACTACATGAGAAACAAACTACATCAGAAATTTGGGACATATACAACTTGTGGAACAGGAATGCGTGTGAATCTACTCAGAAAGGCGTCACACAGAAAACACCTGTCCTACAATACTTACTGACAAGCTAATAATCTTATAATCGCAAAGCATTTTGCAAAAGAGTAGAAATTGCCTTTGTTTAGACTGAAACTTGAACTTTTTATATCACAATTTGATTATAGACCTAATCCAATACAATAGCTAGAAATAACACTATGCAACCTGTAATCATACTTTAATATCAACAGGGAAGCATTAATATGATAATAAACATGTGCAGCACTTGGAGAATAATCTGTTCATTAATGATACCTATAGAAGGATATTTGGTTTCTCATTAGCAGATCATCTCATGGTCTTGATAACAGATGCAAAATCCATAATCAGATTAAAATACACACTTTAGCATATGTAACTAGCAGAACACACTCCATTTTATTTATTAAACAGTATCTATTCTACATATAATGACCATACCCAAGAGACAAGAACATATAATGACCATACCCAAGAACAAAAAAACATGATAAACCATTTCAAGTTTTAGCAGATAAACAGATACAATGTTTTTCTCTTAAACTGTGGTTGCAATCTGACAGATTACATGTTGTGGAAAATGAAACCTCACCTCTATTCCCAACAAGGAAAACCTACACAATGCAATTGTTCTAAATGATGAATTCAGGGGGAAAATGATATAAAATCTGTTCTTGCTTATTTGCCAATAATAAAACACACTTCACAAGGGAAATGCTTTAAACTGAACCATTGTTCTTACTGAAGGGATAAAATAATAGAACACTAAGGCAAGCAGACATTGCGAACTGTAAGCAGTCAGTTTATAGCCATTACAGATGAGCCCTATCGACGACCCTTTTCTTAATAAAATTCAAAAGTCTCCAGGAAAGTTAGTTACTTAGCAAGTTTAAAATATATTTTTAAGACTAACACATTATATTGTAGTTCCTGCACATAGCATCCTGAGGGCATGGTGGCTGGTGCTGCAGGAACCAAAAAGTGTCATACTATGCACAATAAGAACTTTGCATCAATGTCAGGAAGGCATTGTCTGTCGAAGGGGTTGCTTTAATAATGTGAAAACAAGGACGGACCGACAACATATTAGGTCCTGGGTCCTTGGAAAACAAATAAATGTAGACGGTGTAAATGTTAACCACACTTTTTACATAGTGTTAAGCATGCATGTGCTTATTTTTGCATAACATGCCAGCATGAATGCATACACATATTTGTGCAGAGTGTCAGTGTGTGAATACAGGAATTCATTTGACCACAGTCAAAATGTGAGTTAATGGAGGGGGTACATGTTCTACTGCAAAAAATGTTAATCTGAAATTGCATACAAATACACAATTGATTTAGCAGTTTGTGTGTCAAAGTAGGGATATATTTGCGTATAATGTTTGTGTGTATGTATCTAAGTCTGCTTTATGTAGTGCCAGAGAGTAAAAAATAAATCATATATTATTCTGAATGCAGTGTACATGTGTGAATGTAGTGTTCTAGTAATGAGAAGAACAGATGTGTGAATGCAAAAGTGTATTTGTGCGGAATGCTGCTGTGTCAGTAAATGCAGGGGTATGTTTGTGTAGGGAATGTGTGTGTGTCTATATATAAACTTTGCTTAGAAGCACACACAGACACACACAGGGGCATCTAAGCAAAGTGTAAGCGTTTGTGTAAAAGCTGTGTGTTGCGTGTTTGTTTAATTTTTAATGCATTTTTTTCTTTGAAAACCATCAGACCTCTCAATACCTGTGTCTGTTTTCTACAGACAGTAAGTTTTTCATCTCCTACCTCTGTTGTCTTTACCTAACCAACCTGTCTTATTCTTCATCAACCCTCCATTCATGTCTTTCCCATCATCCTTCTCTTCTGTCTACCAGTAACCCCATAATACATTTTAGGACTCTCCATGCCCTCACCCATTCGACCTCTGCCACATCTTCACGTCCTTTTTAATCTAGCTCAACCACATCAATTTTCTAATCAACCTATATCACCCACATATATGTGCCCTTTTCACTGGTGTCTTTCCTCATAACTATCCTCACACTCAGTATGTGCATGGTAGAAAGATTATGAAATCTAATAGTCTTTCATTCACATCAGCACACAACAGTTATTGATAGGTAAAGGAGTGTTCATTAAGCAGACACCACTTTCATCAACCTAATTCAAAAATTCATTAACAGGGATCTAGAAGTTGTATCATCCTACAGTCGGAACATCCAGGGTTTTTTGTGTGTGCGCTTTTCTTTTTACTTTAGCCCTGTTGCTGGCAAGTGGAAGGGCTTCTACAGGTAGGACAAAGCTAGGATGCAAGTGTGAGGTTTGTACCTCTGTTGGGTTAGATCACAGTAAATACTTCATCGTGGTCTGGCACACCCTAGTGAGTCCGAGAGCATCTGTCAGGATTCCCAGCATGAACTTTGAGTCACTGAGCGTCGGAACTGCAAGAAACTATTAATAAGGTCTGAACCCACCGGAGGTACAGACCTTACACTCACAGCCCTGACAGCAGACCTCTTAGATGTTTAGTGGACAAGAGAGGATATAATTTTGCCTTCACAGAACATAATACAGATTTACAATTTTATATGCCAATGACGCCAACAATACACTCATTTCAACAACTTGTTGTACAATTTTCACATGGACTGGTTTTACACCATTAAAACCAAAGAATAGTTAACCAAAATGTTATTCCAACAATAGAAGCCTTGCATTGCCACCTTGCACCCTCAACTGCAGGAGTGACAAAAATAGGGGACTACACACTGCCAGCAAGCTACATACGTTACACAATAGAAAGTAAAAATAAATAAATCAAACCTAAAATAAGCACCACATGATGTTTTATACACCAGTGAGAAAATATAAAGAATACGTTTTTGTTTTTTACCCCTTCCTTTTTCAATTTGTTTGTATCAAAAAGGGCTCCTTCCACATTTCCAACAACTTAAATGTACAATGCAATTCCACAGATGAAGACAACATGTACTACATACATTACATACAGCCAGCATACACCACACACTCAATACACGTAGTCAACACACACACACACACACACACACTAGGGGAGGGGACGAGACACTAAACGCCATTTTTTTTGCAAATTAAATCAGAATGGCAAACATAATGGAGAAGTAGCTAGTTGTGACTATAACGGAGTTGGAGATAGTTCTCCAAATCAGCAATTTTTCTCCATTCAGATTTAATTTTGGAAAATTCAGAGTTTAGTAAATAACCCTGCAGATGTCCAGGTATAAGCACTGCCACTTTCTAATTTTAATAATTTTTTCGTCAGGACAAGTAGATTGCCGTAACAGACAAGTAGATTGGGTTACTACATTAGCCCTTTGAACAAGTATTAAAAAAATAATAATAATTTTTCACACTCCTGCATAAATATGTAAATTGTTACTCCTTGTCAATAAATATATATATATTTTTATAAGGCATAAGGCTCATACAGTTTCAGTAGTTTCCATTTTACAATCAGAGTCAAAGATAATATAAGTAATATATATGCTATGCCCATTCCTGTTTTGAAATTATGCAAAAAAAGGGTGAAGTCCCCCGTCTAAGGAGGAATAGCGCCTCTCTCCTTCCTACGTTCCTCGCGGGGTGGTTGTGCGCGCGGTCAGATATGTGAGAGTAGACATTGGCTATGTGTGTCATACGCCGGTGGGTTTGTCTGGAACCCAGTGTGAGAATAGTTTAAACTTAAGTAGGCAGGAGACAAACAAACACAAAATGAAAATATAATTTTGCCTCTTTATAAATCGCTGGTAAGAGCACACCTTGAATATGCTGTGCAATTTTGGGCACCTGTTCTAAAGAAGGATATCAAGGCACTAGAAAAAGTGCAGAGACGAGCAACAAAATTGATAAAAGGAATGGAGCATTTTAGTTACGAAGAGGGGACATGGTAACATTGTAAAAATATATTACTTTGCTGCAGAGGGATTTAGATAGACTGGGGGAATGGGCACTCAAATGGCAGATGAAATTTAATGTTGAAAAATGCAAAGTTATGCACTTCGGCATAAATAATGCACAAGCAACATATACCCTTAATGGAAGCGAATTAGGGATAACAACACACGGAAAGGACTTGGGAATTGACAAAGACAACAAACTATGCAACAATGTGCAATGTCAATCAGCAGTGGCTAGGGCCAGTAAGGTATTGTCATGCATGAAAAAGGGGCATTCATTCTCGGGATGAGAATATCATTTTGCCTCTTTATAAATCACTGGTAAGACCACATATTGAATATGCTGTGCAATTATGGGCACCTGTTCTAAAGAAGGATATTATGGCACTAGAAAAAGTGCAGATGCGGGCTACAAATTAATAAAAGAAATGGAACATATCAGCTATGAAGAAAGTTTAACAAATTTAAACCTATTTAGTTTAGAAAAACGTTGCCTGAGAGGGAATATGATAACATTACACAAATATATTTGGGTCCAATACAAACCATTTTTGTGGAAATCTATTCACAAACCGGACTTTACATAGGACACGAGGTCATGCGTTTAGACTGGAAGAAAGAAGATTTCATTTAAGGCAAAGGAAAGGTTTTGTTTTTTTACTGTAAGAACAATAAGGATGTGGAATTCTCTGCCTGAAGAAGTGGTTTTATCAGAGTTCATACAGATGTTCAAACTGATACCAGATGCATACTTGCAAAAACAGAATATTCAAGGATATAATTTTTCAATGTAGGGTAATACCTGCTTGATCCAATGATAAATCTGACTACCATTCTGGGGTCAGGAAGGAATTTTTTTCCTAGCTTGTTGCAAAATTGGAAGTGCTTCAGACTGTTTTTTTTTGCCTTCTTTTGGATCAACAGCAAAAAACAAATGTGAGGAAGGCTGAACGCAAGTCTCTTTTCAGCTATGTAACTATATCTGGTGCCAGTACAAACCATCTGGAAATATATTCATGAACAGGGCTATACATAGGACACAAGGTCATGCATTTAGGCTGGAAGATCCTTATTGCAATAAGGATATGGAATTCTCTGCCTGAAGAGGTGGTTTTATTAGAGTCCATACAGATGTTTAAACTGCAATTGGATAAATATTTGCAAAAACATAACATACAGGGATATAATTTCTAGTTAGTGGGGTAATAGCTGCTTGATCCAAGAAGATATCTGACTGCTATTTTGGGGTAAAGAAGGAATTTTTACCTTGTTTGTTGCAAATTTGATAGCGCTTTCAGACTAGTTTTTTTGCCTTCTTTTGGATCAACACTAAAAACATGTGAGGAAGGCTGATCTTGATGGACGCAAGTCTCTTTTCAGCTATGTAAAATCAAATAAAAACAAAAGCAAATAAAAACAAACTCAGGGGTAAATTGAATGAACAGTCCTTTCGCCAGATTCTATACATTCCCTTCAGAGTCTCAGGTGCCCGTTAGCCTTTTGCGCTTTGAATGCGGTAGAGGGTGGGGTGGTGGGTCCGGCTGGCTGGAACGGTTTTACTTTGGACACGTCCCAGGTGTGTGGGAGCTTTTGTCTCGTTATGTGGGTAGTCGGTTCCAAATTTGGTGACAGCCCTAGTGCTGTCAGCACTGAGTCTATTTCCGATGTGTCGGTTATGCGGGATGTTGCACCACCATGCGTGATGACCTGGCTCCTGTGGAATGCCCAGCGGTATAGGATAGAGTATTGGCGGAGCACGGTGGTCAGCAGTCTGAACAGGCTTCTCTATACCAAGGTAGGCCTGGAAAAGTCTTGGTAAAAAGACAGAGCGGCATTTTCTAAGGAGTGAGTAGATATTCCTCGCACTACTGCCATGAAGTTTAGTTGGGCTGACCTTGTTTGGAGCTGTAGTAGGACATCCCCTGGGGAGTCTGCTGGGGCTCTGGTATCACTCGGGATGCGATACACCCCGTTGATCACGGCTTGTTTCGCCTGTTGTGGCAATGAGTAGTGAGGTGAGAAGCCTCCTGGTATATTGCTTCAGTTCGTCCAGGGTCACAGTCTCCGGGATACCCCATACTTTGACATTCCAGCTCCTGTGCTGATCTTCCATTGCGTCCAAGCGATTGGTAAGCAAGGACTGGGTGTGTTGTTGCTCTGCAGTTTGTGCTTCTATCTCTATGCATCGTGTAGTGAGGCCCTGCGTTTTCCTTGTCCGATGAGCGGTGGTGTAATCTGTCTGTGTTTGGGAACTCTTCTACGCTTGTTGTTTGGAGGAGGACAAGGTTGTGCCGCCATTTTCTTCTGGCGCAGGGATTCCTGTGGCCTTTGCGGGACCGAGAAAAAGGTCCCAGATATCGCGGACCCTTGCTGGTTTGACGGTTCCCTGGTGCTTAGATTTCTTCCCCATCTTGTAATCGCTTTGTTTGGGTCGAAGTTAGTATAATTTGGATAGTGAAATTGCTTATTTTAGCAGAGTTCCCTATCGATAAATATTTAAAGTTAACATGCCATGACAGATACATGTTTGCAGCTTTCAATCCATCTAGCTTGACTCATGTTATACAATTATGTGTTTCTTCCCTTTATACTATAAAAAGTTCACATTTCCAGTGTTTCCAATCCCCCAGTCTACTCTTGAGAGCATCTATCATGTTTTCAGTGGATGTTACACAAACCTCTGCTGCAGACCCATGTTTGGGAAGCACAGATTTGATTCCCATAACAGGTTAAAAAGTCCCCAACACTTTATGTTGATTGTAAGTATGTAAATAAAACATATGTTATCTCATGTTCTCCTTCTCTCCATTCTCAGACTGCCTGCCCAATGCTCCCCTGCAATAAATCATTGACTCTTTCTCTCCCTGATGCTGCAGCTATTACAAAGAGCCTGCCCCACCTCCCTCTTGCAGGCATTGCTTTCCCTTAGTCTGAAGGCAAGCAGGAGAAATGGCCTGAGGAGGGTTTCCCTGGTAAGAGACATGCAGAGCACGAGCCTTCTTATCTCTGTGCCGATTGGCATAGATTGAACTGAATAATAGGAAAGGCAAAATGCTGTTTTTTAAATCTCAGATTTTAGAGAAATCTCAACATTTGTTATAGATGAGATTTGACTCTCTATAATTTCAGTTTAAGTTGCATTTGTCATGATAGGTACCCTTTAATGTGATACTTTGGCGTCATACCTTCTAGTGTTAAACCTTTTTCAAATGGCTTAACGCAGATGTGGCATCCCCAAGTGCCTGTTGTGTTGCCCCTAAGCTGGTGCTTGGCTAACGTGGAAGCATGTGCTTGAGCACTGATGAGCGGCAGCAATAGGTGATAAGTGTTAGATAGCACAATCATTCTTAAATTGTACTCATGACAGGCGGCCAGTGATAGAGTTTTCTCCGATTGCCAAAGATCACACTCACCATACGAAAAAATGGCCCCTTATCTTTTCTATTCATAAAAAGAAAAAGGTGAACTAGGGAAAAAAATGGGGGAAATAAAGGGACAAAAAAGATTAACCCATCCACACCCAAAACAAATAAACTAACAAACCTCACTCCCCCCCACCCCAAAAAAAAACCCAACAAATCTGTAAAGTGACAATGCTATTTTAAACAGATAGACTTTACTAGGGAAGTAAGCTGGTTAAAATGTAAAGCATTAAAACACGGTAATCACAACAATGCACTACCAATCCTCATACCCTTAAACCATTTTAGAACAGTTTGAGTGGGAGCTGCTTGCTCGCTGGCAAAAATAGTGCAGGCATAGAGCAGCCTCCGGCAGACTTCAGGTAAGAAATCAATCCATTTTACTACAGTTTAGCTATTTACAAGGGGGGAGGGGGGAAGAAGAGTTGTAGTGGTTATGGTCCATTAAATGTTCCTTTAAAAAGTGCATGGTTTTATTTTATTGTTTTAGTTTTTATAATACACGTAAAAGGAAAAAGGTAAAATAAGGTCCAAATATGAACCTTAATGTAACAGCATATAATGTGGCTTAAAGAAAAAACCCCTTCAACTGAAAAAAGGGTTCCACTATGAAGTCCCTTTAAATGCAATGAGAAAATAAAATATCAGATAAAATCTAATAAATTTCAGGAGTGGTTTTCCTTTAAATTGGTGATATATGGAGCAAATATTAATAGCTTATCAAAAACAATAATAATTGAATCCAATGCAAATTGTGCAATATTTCACCTATGGTTTGTTACCATGCATTCAAAAAAAAAAAAAAAAGTATCTGAATTACATAGAAAGCAAGTGTAACTTTGTAATAGAAATGTCTCTATATGGATACAATAGTCTCTTTCAGAATGACACCATGGTCTGTGATATGTTAGCTGTTACAGCTTTTCTCCAGTTATGATCGAACTGGAATGAATTAGCTGAAATAAGCTGAGTTAATATAGTACAAAATTATATATATAGGCAAATGTGCAGTGTAATATATAATTATATGTACTTGATATAAAGTGTAGTGATAGCTAACAGATCATAGTTAGTGATCTGTAGTTTAGTAGATAAGTTCCGTATTTTTCACAGTGAGTGAAGCAAAATCCGAGGTGCTATGTGCATTAGAATCCATTTATTGAATCAAATAAAAGAGAAAAATGTGTGCACTTACAATTATTGCAAAGAGTCTAAGTGCTTAACTGGAGTCTGGGGAGTCCGGTGTTTGCAGCTTGTTCTTTTCGGTCCGCCGGCAGATGAATGGACCTGTTGATAGCCGCATGCGTGTCACCGATCTCCTGTGTTCCAAGTGAAGCCCGGTCTTCTTTGCGATAGGTGCCACAAAGTGATAGAGTCCTTACGCGTTTCGTCAGTCTAATGCACACTTCATCAGAGGATATTGAGCAAGGGGAGCCCACGGGTTTAAATAGCCGATTGCTACTTTAGTTTATGTTAACCCTTTCAGGCTTGTGGTCATACTTGCTCTAGTGATTAAAATTATTTTGATGGTGTACACATACATTCTTTTGATAAATTTAATCTCTAAAGAATATATTTCATAATCTAAAACAAATACTTATAAAACAAAAATTCTAAGAAATTATTATAGGAAAAATTAACACATTATTAAAAGGTATTTCATAAGAAAATGAACACATCATTAAAAAGTATTACATAAGAAAATAACATATATTGAAAAATAATAATATCATTAAAAAATAATAAATAATATATGATGATATAACAACATATTCAAAATAATGTAGCAACATATTAAAATGATAATATAGATACCTTAAAAAAATATTATTTATTCAATATATCAATGTACAAATGGAGATGAAGACTTTTAATATGGAGAAAAAATTTCATCAATAGTATGGGGATGAACAATAGAGATGTTTGAAAATTGATATATTTGTATGAATATGAATAATTGAAGTGAGAAGATAAGAACATGTTGAAGAATAAAAATAAAAAGATAAATGTATTACAGAATACTATAGAAATGCTCGCAGCTCAAAATCTACATTAAGTCCTTTTGGTTCTAATGTGTCTAGTTTGAATATCCAACTTGCTTCTGCTTTATCTAATTCTTTATTTAAATCCCCTCCTCTCCATGGGATGTTTACTTTTTGTATTGCCATAAATGTAAGGCCTCCAGGATTTCTCGTATGTTTAACATCAAAGTGCTTTGAGAGATTATGTGAATGAAGTCCATTTCTAATATTCCTAATGTGTTCTCCCATTCTTGTTTTAAATGCTCTTTTAGTGCGCCCTATGTATAGTTTCTCACAGGGGCATTTTAGCAGATAAATTACACCAGTGGTGTTACATGTTAGTTGTGATTTAATTTTAAATAAATCTTGTGTTTGGGGATGAGCAAATTGTGTTGTTTTAGTAGGTTGATTTGGATTATTTTTGCAAGCTTTATATCTTCCACATTTCCAAAAACCTGAAGATTTATTTGGAATGATGGTGGTATTTTCTTGTGGTTTTTCTTGTCTGGTGGTAGGGGCTAGTAGTAGACTTAGATTTGGAGCTCTAGAGTATATTATCCTAGGTTTATTTTCTAATATTAGATCTAATTGGGGATCACCTTTTAGTATGCTCCAATTTTTTTGTAAAATGTTTTTGAATTCCTGTGTATGATTATTATATCTGGTTATAAATGCTGGAGCTTCTAAATTGATGTTAGTAGTTTTTGATTTTGTTGCCAAAATTTGCTCTCTTGTCAAGCTTGACGTTTTGGATAAGGCTTCATTGAGTATGTTTGTTGAATAGCCTTTAGCTTGAAATTGTGATAACATATTTGTAGTTTGTTCATCACAAACATTAGGTTCTGAGCAATTTCTTTTGATTCTCCTAAATTGGCTGAATGGAATATTGTTAAGCCAACTTTTTTTTATGAAAACTGTTGTGAGGGATAAAACTATTACATGCTACTACTTTCCTAAAAGTTTTGGTTTCTAATTGGTTGTTCTTGACATAGATTTCTAGGTCCAAAAATTCCAGTTTTTCCGTGGATTGATTAAAAGTGAATTTGAGATTATAAGGGTTAAAATTTAGGTATTCTTTAAAATGTTCAAGTGTTGCAGTGTCTCCTTTCCAAATAAAAATACAATCGTCTATGTAGCGATGCCATGAGACCAGATTTGCGCCATATGGGTTATTGGACCATATATGTTCGTCTTCCCATTTACCCATGAATAAGTTTGCATAACTTGGCGCAAATCTGGTCCCCATGGCTGTACCCTCAATCTGGAGGTAAAAACGTTGATTGCCCGAAAAATAGTTGTGGCTGAGTATAAAGGCTACACATTTGACAATGTATTCGATTTGATCATTTTTTAGTTCTGAATAGGTTGCCAGCGCATATTGGATGGCCTCACATCCCTGTAGATGTTCAATGACAGTATAGAGGGATGTGACATCCGCTGTAACTAAAATAAAATCTTTATCCCATTGGGTATCTGATAGAATTTTAATTATATGAGTTGTATCTCTCAAATGGGATGGTAATTTTAATATGTTGCTACATTATTTTTAATATGTTGTTATATCATCATATTATATTATTTATTAGTTTTTAATGATATTATTTTTCAATATATGTTATTTTCTTATGTAATACTTTTTAATGATGTGTTCATTTTCTTATGAAATACCTTTTAATAATGTGTTAATTTTTCCTATAATAATTTCTTAGAATTTTTGTTTTATAAGTATTTGTTTTAGATTATGAAATATATTCTTTAGAGATTAAATTTATCAAAAGAATGTATGTGTACACCATCAAAATAATTTTAATCACTAGAGCAAGTATGACCACAAGCCTGAAAGGGTTAACATAAACTAAAGTAGCAATCGGCTATTTAAACCCGTGGGCTCCCCTTGCTCAATATCCTCTGATGAAGTGAGCATTAGACTGACGAAACGCGTAAGGACTCTATCACTTTGTGGCACCTATCGCAAAGAAGACCGGGCTTCACTTGGAACACAGGAGATCGGTGACACGCATGCGGCTATCAACAGGTCCATTCATCTGCCGGCGGACCGAAAAGAACAAGCTGCAAACACCGGACTCCCCAGACTCCAGTTAAGCACTTAGACTCTTTGCAATAATTGTAAGTGCACACATTTTTCTCTTTTATTTGATTCAATAAATGGATTCTAATGCACATAGCACCTCGGATTTTGCTTCACTCACTGTGAAAAATACGGAACTTATCTACTAAACTACAGATCACTAACTATGATCTGTTAGCTATCACTACACTTTATATCAAGTACATATAATTATATATTACACTGCACATTTTGCCAATATATATAATTTTGTACTATATTAACTCAGCTTATTTCAGCTAATTCATTCCAGTTCGATCATAACTGGAGAAAAGCTGTAACAGCTAACATATCACAGACCATGGTGTCATTCTGAAAGAGACTATTGTATCCATATAGAGACATTTATATTACAAAGTTACACTTGCTTTCAATGTAATTCAGATACTTTTCTTTTTTTTTTTTTTTTAATGCATGGTAACAAACCATAGGTGAAATATTGCACAATTTGCATTGGATTCAATTATTATTGTTTTTGATAAGCTATTAATATTTGCTCCATATATCACCAATTTAAAGGAAAACCACTCCTGAAATTTATTAGATTTTATCTGATATTTTATTTTATAATACACGTGTCTGAATTTTTTTCAAAATGTAGCAATTTTAAATTGTCAATGGGTTATGAAACTCTTACCATTGTTTGCTTGGAGTGTTTATGCACCAAAATCCTTACAGATCACAATGGTGGTTATGGTGGTTTGAGTGCCCATTTAAGCATAACCAAGTCTACTTATCAAAGCAAAGTAAAATCAATCCAGCCAGCTCCCTTTCAGGTTTGTCTTAAAGGAAACATTTTGGAAGACTCTGAATGACCACTCACAACTCAGAAATGTGGTAGTCCACACAAAAACTTACCTAAACCCGATTTCTTTAGCCGTTTCAAGTGTTGGCTTGTGTGTTTTCCAGGGGGTGATTTTTGCCCTTGCTTAGTTTCCTTATCAGAACTATCTGCTTCCCCGTTTTTGGACTCAGACCCTTTAAGAAAGAAACAAAAATATGTTTAATATTTTAATGTGTATGGTTGTAATGCCAACAAACATGTCCCATCTAGCAATACACACAGTTTTGTTTTTCAATATTTTCACTTAAGTTATAGCAAACGTTTCCTTCATCTTTTGCTATTATTAGAAATATAAGAACGTTCTTTTTTTCAGCCGCATTTCTTCTTTTTTCCTATCAACACACTGGAGACAACAGAGACAAGAGGATGCTGAATCAGACAGGAATGCAATCAATAACTTGCTGAGCGCTACAATAGATAAGAGAGATACAGCTTTGGTAATGCAGAGCTTTGAAGAGAAACCCCAAAGTGGATGTACCTTCTCTTGAAATCGCCCACAATAAGTACAACAGCAGAGTTAACTCAATCAGTGGTTATCAATGATAGCATGGTGCATCTTCCTGACATGTGGTTAGGGCTTAGGTCAAATCTGCCAATGTACCTAAAAAGTGTTGTTATGAAAACAAAGCATTCCAATAATAATGAGTGTCATCTTTCTGATGTATTCCTTTTTGTTTCCTTTGAGTTCACATACTAACACCAGTAAATGAAATGTAACTTTTTAACCCATTCACAACGAAAGGGAGGCTAGGGTGAGATTACTGAAACCTTTTCAATCCAGAGGGGGTAAAAGCAGGCTGCCCTTTAAAAAGGCAAACCAAAAGACAAGTATAAAGGGTTTAAAAGACTTCAGAGATTAAATATTAAAACATGGTGTTCTCTAGTACTGTTTTTCACTCCAGTTGTGACTGAGGTACAACTCCCAGAATTCAATAGCACCCAATAGAATTGTAGTCCAAAACACCTGGAGGATCACGTTTGCACACTCCTGTTAATAGTTACGTAGTAATGTAGGTTGAAAAAAGACTTGTGTCGATCAAGCTCAGCCTATTAACGAAGAACAAACACATAGCACCTTTACCAAAATGGATACCATCTTATCCAACACATCACCAGTACAACAAACCCTGAATATTTCATTATTATTATTATATTTTAATCAAAAAAGGTGTGTTCCTACCCTTCCAAAAAGACAGCTATTAACTATTACTTTAGGGCTGTCTTTGTCTTTTTAATCATAACTATCATGACTTGCTGTTGGTCCTAAAGGGTTAAGAAGGTCCAACAAAATAAACACTTTATATGAGTTCTATAAGCTTCAAAATACAACCCCAAGTCCTATACAGCATTTGGAAGTTATATAGACAAATGTCTGTTCATAAAAAAAAAAAAAAAGAAAATACAAGATGCAGCTGAACTTTCTAGAATTATAACTAGCCCCAAAACCTCCATTTAATAGAGACCATAAAGAACCTTGATCTGACAGATTTCCAACTTTACATTTTTTAGAACAAGATGACAAACTACAACAGGAAAACAAAACAACAAAAATAAAGCCCAAACTAACAATACTAGTAATGGCTTTCTACAGCCATGTATTCTGTCTGTATCTTAAGAAATCTATGCATATAATGAAATGTGTATATAACATCATAAGTGCAATTCAAAACAACATAAATAAAGTCAGTGCAATGCTTCATTACAACACATTATCTTGCTACTAAAAAAAAAACAACGCACAAATATTTAGTCTGTTTTGAACTCCAAGGCAAGTGACTAAATAACATTGTGTAACTGAGCTACATTTGCAGGCATTTAGCGCCAGCATGTGGTCCCCATTAGATTTCTGAAGCACGGCTACAATGATTTGATTCCCCTATCTTTCTGCAGCAGCCGTTTTATCCTGTCATGCACCCTGCATTCTAACACACAACAGCAGGCTTCGATTTACAAATATACATCTTTACGTAACTGTATATATATGATAATATTACAGCACAAGGCAGAGAGATGCTGAAAGAGGCTGACTTATGCAGGTCTCCCAACAATTCACAGTCCTCCATCAAAAAAAGGATCGGTATGTAGGATTTCTCTTAAAATGCTTAGCCCTTTCGATCATTACCTGAAGGTGAATCCGACTGCTCGTCAGACACCTTGAGAGGCGTCAGGACAACACGAGGGACGGTCTTGTTTACCATCATAGAGACCCCATTTCTCCTCTTCTGCTGCTGCCTCAAAGCCTAAACAAAGAAAAAGAATACAGTATAAGGTTAACCAGCTAGCACTACGTTAAAACAACCACTATGCCAGAAGCACATTCAATTCAAGAGCTTCATAACCCATTCTGATTTATGGCTGCTTTACACAAATTATATGCTGCTTATCCTTAGACACTGCACAAATTAAACAAAATAATAATTAAAAAAAAAACACACACACTCGACAAAATAAAGAACTTGTACTTGCAAAGCCCAACATACTGCACCTAACTGCATTTATATCATAGCGTATAACAACAAAGGCATCTGTAACAGAATGTACTACCTCACATTCCCCACAACAGGGATCACACCATGATTTCCAAGTCAAATAAAAAGAGGTAAGTGTTGGAAATACATATATATATATAAATACACGTCTGCACATCTCTTGCAGGTGCATCTGCTTCAGTATCCTGCTCAGTCAATCAAGTTAAACAGAGAGTGTCATCAGTATGTACAGCATGTAAGGACTACAGTATTGATGCACTCGCTCAGCCGTGTGGAGTGCTACACAAAAATCACTGAACATGGCAGGAATCGTTTATTTCTGGGAAGACGAGGAATCGGTCCTAATCTTAGAATATGTGCAGCAGTTCATCTTCTGTCTACTTGACTTTAGGGATTAACCTTCAAGGCACCCATAGGACAAGATTTAGAAGAATCCAGTAACTGTGAACAAAATGTGATTTAAAAAATAAAATTAAAAAAAATAAAAACCTACGAAAAATAGAATACTAAACCATTAAGACAACCATATGGGGTGTGTTTTGTACCTTTGTGTTTTTTTAAACACATTACAGAAGTCCTACGGGTGAATTAACCACTGTTAATAAAGGAGACTATTCATGTGAATAAAGAGAATTAGTCAGGCATTCTGTGTTTGCTCCGACACATTGTATAAAAGTCGCCACTTTCTCTGACATCTTTCTATGAAATGGTTAAATTGGTATTTCCATGTTACACAGCTCTAATCAGTCCTTGTAAAGATGAAAAGACAAACACATGGCAAAATAAAGAGACCAAAGGTTTATTGCTTTTAAATAAACACTTGACGGGTCATTCAAAGGTATAACCTTTAGACAGCCATCAATACACAATAGCTGATTTTTATGTAACTGCTCTTATTCAAAAGTAAACAACTCTTCAATAAACACAAAGCAATTCATGGCTATAACACCAATTATTCACATCATTAAATAAAAGCATTTGGCAAATGTGTGCATTTATAATACAGTGATCCAACTCAGGTACGAAGGCCAATAATTTTTTGTTTTGAACCCTTAAGGAAATGTTCTGTAAATACACGAAAAAGGTCATCGCAAATACAGAGAAAAACATAAAAATTCTCAGCATCCTAAAAATAAAAATAAAAATGGGAAACTCCCCTCCCCACCACAACAATGTGCTTAGGCTAAACGGTAACAACGATGCAGCCTTAACTATTCTGTAAAGTCAAAAAGAATTCTAAAATACATGTATTAGCCATTTTCTTTTCCCAGCTAAAAAAAACAAATGAAAAGGCAGTAAGAGTAGATGTAAAATCCTCAGGCGATATTCCTGACTACCACTTGTTATGGTAATATGTAACAATTCTTCTCTCAATTTTGCCAGACAATGGTATGGGTGATTGAGTAAGCAAATACATGAAAACATTCAGTTTTCCATTACCTCAACAAACAATGTTTATTGCTCGTGTAAAACACGGTATAAAAGAGCTAAGCGCTACGGAATCTGATGGTGCTATATAAATAATAAAATAATAATAGTGAAAAGGTAAACAAACAGTACACTGTGGAAATAACATACAAAATATATAATTGCCTTCAGGACACTTGACATGTCTGGATGGTCACTACAGAAAGTAACGTGCCATGGCCCAATGCTGAAGTGGTAATTATTTTTTATTTTTTTTAAATAAATCTTTTTATTTATTGAGAATAGGTTAACATTAGTGTTAGGCTCGCAGGCCTTCATGAAAAACATTTGTAAAGACACAATACAAATCCAATGTCAATCTTTTTGAATACAAAATAACATTCTGTGGAGCAGTGCTTGATTACATTGTTGCCTTTTATATATATACATACATATATACACACATACATATATACACACACACATATATATATATATATGATAACAGAAAAGTTAGGCTTGCAGGCCTTCAGTAAAGACAGATTAATATAGAACAACAGTATTCTGACATATTGTTTAATATCAATTTGCCGTTATTCGTGGGATCTAGTGGCCGTTTCTGTAGGAATACTTTGGGGTCTTTATAGAAACAAGTGTTCATTGCATTGTGTACGGATAAACATAGATTCCTTGATCCCAGGTTTAGGGTATGTCATCGCATAGGTGAGTTCCTGTTTCCCTCAGGTTAGTGTGTGCGTGGTAATTTCAGTGTCAGGTCTTTTTTCGGAAGAGAAATCAGAATGGTGTGTAGAGAAAGAAAAGGGAGATTAGAGTAGTAGTTGTATGAGGGTCCCCCTCCCGTGTCCCAATAGTGCGTCCTGCGTGGCATGTGAGTTCTACGGTTATGCGAGATACGGTGTGTCCTGGTTGGGTTAGGTGTCTCTAGTTGCGTGATGTGTGTGTGGGGAGATTGAGTTATTGGTCTGATGTTGGTTTCACTATCCTTGGAGATGTTCCCCAAGTATGGGGGTGAAGCACATCTCCGGAAGTGCTGATGGAGGGTGTCATGATCCGCCTCCCGGCCCTCCGCCCCCGAGCCGCGCACGAGGTGCTCATTACCCTCTAGCCTTATATGCGAACTACGGCTGCCATGTCTCCGCGTGCCTGGCCTCCCGACCTGTTATGGATGCCTGCAGTGCCTCCGCCATTTGTATGTCTCCGATTCTACGGAGCCATTCCTCGATCGTGGGGGTCTCAGCTGAAGTGGTAATTACTCTTCCTTTGTCTACTGTAAATGTGTTAAAAGTATACAATAGCAACCTTCACAAGACATGTAAGGAGCTGAGGGGGTTAACTTCAGAAGGACCCTTTCTGTAGTATTGTATATCTGTTCCCAGGGACTGTCATTCAAATAACTTTCATAATATCAACTGGTTGTTCCTTGGGGCAAAATGACATGCTTCATCTCAAAAACGGTACTGAATTCAACGTGAATATTCATAAATCATTCCCTGCAACCAAAATCTCATGAGCAGGAAAAAAGCTGTGTAGGTGGACCTTTAAATATTCATTCAAAATTAACAATTGTTCTGATGAAGACAATAATTCTATATATTTAAGCTGAATGGATTTCTATACCATTCAGCTGACCCTTGTTTGGAAGGACACTCGTTCCATATATACATATCTCCCCTTGTTGCTCATTTACCTCTCCCTGAATGTTCAATGTTTAGAAAAATATCACAGACCAAAGCAACAAAGCTCTCAACACACTTTAAAAAATTAACAATTTAGACAATGAAGCCCCTTAGAATTTCTCTGATACCCATCAGAAACACCCCCCCCTCCCCACCCCCCTCCCCCCAAAAATAATTAAATAAATAAAAGTATCCGTCATTAGCCATTAAAAATGCCGGGTGGTAAAATATAAAAATCTTTTACAAAGAGTAAATGTTACATAACTATTGTTTTGCAACAATTTTCGAAAGATCTGAATATCTACATTAGAAAGGGAAGCTGAGATAGATCTTTCAGGAATATAAAATGAATGGAAGGTGAAATGTGATGTGTATAAGTGAACAATGTCAAAGATGCCGAACATAATTTTAAAATCGCTGTATAAGTGCTCGCTGATCCTACAAAGCTATGGGGCATACATAATAGAAGCCTATCAAAAGCATCATGGGAGATGTAGTCCACACTCTAATACGAACTGCCAAACTTTATCTATGTCTAAGCAGAAGGGATAAAGTTGCTCTATATTACCAAAACGACTGGCAGAGCTGCCAATTTCATTTATAGAGTGAGTAAATACTGCGGGACAGCAGGTTGACTGCCATAAATTGGCTGACCCAGCTTTCTATGCTTGCGTATACAAAATGTGAGCAAACGTTACAACAGAAATTATATATAAAAAAAGGTTTTTACATAGAAGGAAGAAAACAAATAAAGCGTATCTGTGAAACATTATTAAAAACACCACTGATATTTGTTCTCAAGGCAGAAACTCGTAAATTCTACTTGTACTGATGGAGATGGATTCAATAGCAGTTTAAATGCACACTATAAACCAAAACATGGTTTGTAATAAAGAAAGAAAATATCGCCTGATAGAAACGCTCACATTTTAAGGCTCATACCTGCTTTATTACAATAATAAAACATGCAGAAAACATTATCATTTTCAGAAACATATCACGACAGTTAAATATAGGTAATAAAACCACTTTGCCAACAACACTCCACCATAACCAACATTCTGAATGTCAGATAATGATGCCAGACATTGGCAAGCAATGCATCTGCTGCTTGCCCAGTGTGACTCAATAGGATTGTTATTATTGTTATTTATTTAGCTTGAACATATTCTGCAGCGCATTACAATTATAGAATAACAACTGACAACATGTAATTGAGATACAGAATATTGACAGACAAGAGAGCACTGTTCAAACAATGTTTCAGACTATGAAGAAGAGACATAGCCACACATAGAATAAGAGCATGTCAGAGGGGAGATTGATGGATAAGATGCCTATGTTAAAATAAGCTAGTCAAATTGGTGTGTGGAAAGACCGAACAGGTAGAGAGGGCAGGATAGGCACTAGGAGTTTTGCCGCCCTAGGTAAAAAAAAAAAAAAAATCCACCCCATTTGTTTCACAGTGGTCCTGTAGGTTTAACCCCACAAGATAAATCATTACCTTACCTTGAAGGGTTAAATGAGACTCTAGTAGCTGTCACAGTGACATCCACTAGAGCCGACTTCGATACAATGCCATGTTTACATACAAACACAGGCTCATACTCAATCACTCACTCACACTCAATGGTCCACACAATCACAATCAGTGACCAATGCACGCATAAATTCACTGATTCACGCAGAGTGACACACACACTCAAGCAGACATACACTGACTTATGTAGACTGACATACACACGCTGGCCCAAGCATATACACACACACACTGACTGATGCAGACTGACACACACACACTGACCCAAGCAAACACACACATTGACCCAAGCAGACATACACACTGACCCAAGCAGACACACACATTGATCCAGACTCAAGCAGACACACATACTGATCCAGGCACACAAACACAGACCCAAGCAGATACACACACTGACCCAGACACACACACACACACACAAACTGATCCAGAAAGACAAACACACACACACTGACCCTCTAACACACATACTGACTGGAACAGGCTGACACACACCATGAAGTCTCCCACTTGCCTTCATTTCATGTTTGCTCTCCGTGGATCCCAGTCCAGGCCTGGCTGCCTCCACGCTATCTTAGCTCTGCTGCCGCAATCCTCCTGCCCACTTGACCCAGAGTACAGGGGAAGGGGTGGGAGTGATCTTGGGCTGCCGTGATATGAGGTATGTAGGGGGAGCATCTCTCAGTGCTCTTTGCATGCTGAGGTTTATGGCACCGGGCGCTAGTTTGCTCCCTAGCCCAGGTGCCATGACCTCCGTCACGCAATACAGAATGTGTCCCACATAGAGGGGGTGGCCCAAACCAGCAGTAAAGCTGCTGCCAGTGCCCCGCTTTAAGAAGTGCCCTAGGCCCGAATCGGCATATAGGATGCGGCAGTCCTGGATGAGGGTAAACGGAGCGATGGAGGCAAAGCAATTGATATTGAAAGAAGGAGCACACAGGAAGATGGTAAGCTTTCCTAAAATGTGTGTTTTCAGCCACTTTGTAAAACATTTGAGATTAGGGGAGAGTCTGATTGCATGGGGTAGGGAATTCCATAGGAATAGTGCAGCTCTTGAAAAATCCTGAAGATGAGAGTTGGTGGTATTTGTTAAGCCAATGAATAGTGAGTTGCAGTAGTCAAGTCAGTGAATGATGAGTGCAAGGACAAGTACCTTGGTTGTAAAAAAAGGTAAATGTTGGCAATTTGGAGACTGACTGGATGTAAGAAGAAAGGGTAGGACGTGAGAGAAAATAAAAATTACTCCAGGGCAGAGAGCTTGAGGAGATGGAGTCACAGGAGTCCCCCATTGATGTGCATAGTTAGATGGAGGAGGGCAATTGGGGTAATGTGTCAACTTGACCTCTATGTATAAGGAAAAGTAGTTCATACTATGAAAACTAGAGCACTCAGGAAATAAATAAGATCAGATTCAGACACAGCTATATAGAAGTAGACTGGATGAAGTTTATTTTTGGTGACTGAGTCACTTTAAATATAAACAGATAACAAATAATTCAGCATAATTCAGCCACAAATCACTAGCTAAAGATTTAGGTGACAAAGTATTCAGCAATTTTTAGACAAATGACTGTGATGTGTACTTAAAATAAATCTGTATTCCTGTAAGTCATTTTGCATATAACTTCTGAATGAAATTATAAATACTGCTGAAATAACCTAATTTATCTTCTGTTATTAGCTATTCATGCTCCAATACTGTAACCTGCCTATAGCATATACTGGTCAAAGCCAATATGTAGTATGTGTGCATGCAACACAAAATGTGCAAAATTATAAAGAAAAGTAAAGAAATTAAGGTTCCTAAGCACTAGCAGCAAAGATATCCAAGCTTCTGTATTGTGCTCTCCTCAATTTAGAGACTATTTCTCACCAGTTCCCACACCTCCATAGCCCTGCTCACTCCCCTGTCACTGTACGGTTCTTCCACACACTGCTTTTACCAACTAATTTCAACACAGGTTATCTTATCCATCAATCCATTTTCTTCTCTGACATGCTGTTACTTCTCTTGTGTGTCCTTTACCCTCTCCCCATAGATTGTAAGCTTGTTTGAGCAGGGCCTCCTTCACCTGTCTCTATTAAATTCCATATGTACATTACTTGTCAAATATTTCAATTTTATAATTGCAAAGCGCTGGGGAATATGTTGGCATTATATAGATCATAATAATAATAAGTCCCAATATAATGGACCGGAAAAAGTGATCAAGAGATATGGACTGACCAAAGTAGTGGGCACTCCAATACTATGTACACATCATAAAAGCTCCTATACAGGCAATGCAAAGCATTTCTTCTGAAACCGATTACTTGGCAAGATTATAAACTGTAATGATTTATTTTTTCAAATTTGCTGTTACTAAGCAACAGACTGAAGGGGAGGAACGCTGCTAGTACCGAAGCTTATGCAAAAGGCATGGTTAATCTGGCGCTTGGAGTGATCATTTTGCCGCCATTTCAATGATGGAATATGCCAGTAGTAGGCAAACTTCAGCACTCCACATGTTGTGGACTATATCTCCTCTAATGCTATGACCGTAATTTAGCTGTAAGAGCATTATAAGATATGTAAATCGGATGCATGGTCACCATGAATGCCAAACCACCCACATGTCATATACCTGAGAATACCCAAAGGTTTAAAAAGACTGCTAATCAAACAGTTCTCTTTTTCCTGAAACATAGTATGAATTGTTCCTCTTTACTGTTGTTACCGAAGATGGCAAAATTATTAGCTATACCTCTGTGGCTAAAACAGTAGGTATTATGCAAATGAAAAAAAAAATATAAAACAATTTGTTCTGCGTGTACACTTATATAGTGTTCATTGAGACAGTTTTAATTTAATGCTACAATTAACAAAGCTATACTTCTTCTAATGTCAATAATCAAACAGACTATGCTACGAAGATATTGCATTGATGTCCAACAGAGAACATGTATGGCCATCTTCCAAATTAATGGATAAAGATCAAGCAATGTTAATAGATCAATTATAATCTGTCAAAGTGATTCATGCTGAATGATGGATGTCAAGCATTTGGACAGGAAAGTCCTAGAGATAAAATCTGTATATAAATGCAAGAGGTAGTTCTGCAAGTAGAGATTAACCAATACTGCATTAATACATGTGGAAGTGATTAGGTAGCTCTGCAGTTACTATGAAAATGCAATGTTAACTGTTACATACTTGACCGGACACACTCAGCCACAGTTTTTGTGCTGCATGCTCGTGAAGAGAGACCCCCCTGGGTCTGACCAGACCCAGACAGGGTATCCCTGCTGTTTCCCAGGTTGATTGTGATCTGTGCTAAGCTCTGCCATCTGCTCAGCACCGATCACAGCATAATCAACTGGGGGAAAAAAGCTCTATTCATAATTACATAAAATGTAAATATGGAAACAGGCAGTCACAAACCACTGGGAAACCCATTTTCTGATATCACAATTCATATTAGCAAGGGTCTCCTTAGTGTTAGCTGTAGGGTTAGTGTAAGGATAAGGTAAGGGTTAATGCTGGGTTTAGTTTAATGCTATTTTAGAAGATTAGGTTAGAGTTAGTGTTAACATTGGGTAAGGGGTACGGTTGATATAGCATTGGGAGATTTATATCGGATTAGAGTTAAAAAATATCACAAAAATGTTTTTGTTCTTTCTTTCTAGATCCTAGATGTATTAGGCATTTAAAGGACCACTATAGGCACCGAGACCACTTCAGCTTAGTGAAGTGGTCTGGGTGCCAGGTCCATCTGGGGTTAACCCTGCTGCTTTAAACATAGCAGTTTCAGAGAATTTCCACCGCAGTGTTCCAACCACGAGGTGGCGGCCATCTTGTTCACATGACCGCAGGCAGGGGTGTTTGGGTATGAATCTCATGGAACTGAAAACGGACACAGAAACTATCAAACATCGCTGGACTTCCCGCATCACCTGCGGTCGGTTCCACAACACAAGAAAAGTGCTGTTCGGTGGAAACGTTCCCACATTTTCACATGGTTTGTTGCATGTTTGTGAATTTTGTTTTATGAACAACAAAAAAATAGAATTTATATATGTATATGCCCCATCAAACTAAAGTCCCATTTGTCCTTTAAAAACAGTATATAATGTGTGTTGGTGCAAGATGGAAATTGCGGTTGAAAACACAAAGGGGAAAAAAATTTAAAAATTGCTTTGTTTCTTAAGTAAAAAAACAAACAAATTACCATATATACTCGAGTATAAGCCGACCCAAATATAAGCAGAGGCATCTAATTTTACCACAAAAAAAAACTGGGAAAACGTATTGACTCGAGTAAAAGCCTAGGGTGGGAAATGCAGCAGCGACTGGTAAATTTCAAAATAAAATTAGATCCCAATAAAATTACATTAAATATTTACTGTGTGTGTATATAATGAATGCAGTGTGTGTGTGTGTGTGTGTGTTTGTGTGTATATAATGAATGCAGTGTGTGTGTGTGTGTGTGTGTTTGTGTGTATATAATGAATGCAGTGTGTGTGTGTGTGTTTGTGTGTATATAATGAATGCAGAATGTGCATATATAATGAATGCAGAATGTGCATATATAATGAAAAGTGTGTGTGCGTATAGAATGAAAAGTGTGTGTGCGTATAGAATGAAAAGTGTGTGTGCGTATAGAATGAAAAGTGTGTGTGCGTATAGAATGAAAAGTGTGTGTGCGTATAGAATGAAAAGTGTGTGTGTGTGTGTGTGTGTGTGTGTGTGTGTATAAACTGGGTGGGGGGAGGGCATTTTTAATATTTTTATTTAATATTTAATTGTTTTACTTTTTTTTGGCCCCCCTCCCTGCTTGTTACCTGGCCAGGGAGGGGGGCTATGGCATTCCCTGGTGGTCCAGTGGTATGTACTGAGCAGTGGGGGGCCGGCAGAAAGATGTTACTTACTTTCCCAGCAGCTCCCTTCATCTCCCTTTGTAATTATCGCGGTCTGTGTGCCGTGCGGAGCGATGCCACGGTAACCCCGTGGCAACATTCTGACGGCCGCTGGACTCGCAAGATTTACACAGGGAGATGAAGGGAGCTGCTGGGAAGGTAACAGCTTTCTGCCGCCCCCCCCAGGACCGCCGGGCTTATAATGAGCCCGGCGGTCCTGGTCTGTATTACGGCAATGTAAGTTGCCATAATACAGACCCTGACTCGAGTATAAGCCGAAAAAAATATGTGCTGAAAAACTCTGCTTTTACTAGAGTATATACGGTAAGCTTGTTTCTTAAGGGGTTATAATAAAGGGGTGGAAATTTTTTTTTTAACTCATTACACAGAGTTTGTAAAGAGTATGTCTGCACAAAGAGTTGGTGAGGAAAACACTATACAGTGGGACCTCTGTTTACAAACTACTCGGTTAACATAATTTTCGGTTTACAAATGAAAATCCATTGAAAATAATGCCTCGGTTTACAATTTGTTTTTGCAATACAGAGCAAGTTTCCCCAGGATGCATTGCACCCGGGAGGTTTATAGCACCGCCCCCTGCATGCTGGAGCCTGTGGGTAGCACGTGGCATTGAGTGTGGAGATGTTGGAGCGGCTTTTGCATCCAGTTTTGGAGCCATTCTGGAAATTGTTTGCAGTTGGTTTGGGACTTTTTGGTGCATTTCTCAAGCTGTGGAAAGGCTCATTTTGACTTTTTTTCAGACCTCCAGAACGGATGAATTGGTTTTCAATTCAATCCTATGGGAAACCGCATTTCCGTTTACAAATTTTTTGCAAGAAGAAACGTCCCGGAGAATACATTAAATTCGTAAACCGAGGTCCCACTGTACATGCACTCAGATTCACCTGACCCCACTTGAAGTCATTTCTAATATAAACAGTCACATTGTTACATTGATGGCCAAATAAGCTATACTCTAGCCTTTTATGATGGCAGTAATATATCCTTCATACAGGGCTGAAACTCCAAGAATGTTCATTTTGTACGCGTATCCAGTATTTGTACAATAGTGACCAAGGTGGCCTTGACATTTTGTGGATTATTTTGATTAAAAACATGGCCTGCATATTCAGCTACCCATCCATATATTATACAATATATTGTGTGATCGTAAGGTTATGCATTGTAAGTGACTCTAGTATGCACCGTTGAGTTTGATGACTTTAGGTCAGTGACTCTGGATATTTCAGAAAAAGCAATGAAGACTTGATTTAAACTGCCACAACGTGTCAGCCATGTAGTGTCACAAAGATGTGTACCATTTGTTTTCCTACAACAAATACAAAAAATGTAAAGGGACACTACAAACCATAACAACTAGGGCTCAAAGAATATCACTACTTTTTAAGCGTCTGCAATATCAGACACCACGCTTTTGGTTCCAGTGAGAAATCTGGTTTATGTAAATCACTTAAAAACAGATTAATGAAAAAGTGCATTGTGCCACTCTAGGCACTAGTCACAGGATGTTGCCAATCCTGCCTGCTATGGTATAACGAACTGCCAAAATTGTAAATGCACACACTTTAAAATGTTACTTTGCAGGTTTTGCTTTTCAGTTAAATGTTCATCAATTTCTCTTTGTTTTTGTTTAAAATTCATCTTAGATATTTAGTTATACATAAGGATAATTTTTCTTATGGGGAGGAAAAAATTAAAAAGATAGCACCACTTTAAATCTCTTTGTTAATCTGTGACATAAGTAGCACTGCATAGGGGAAATGGAGATGGACTGGATTTAATATTTAAAGGAAGATTAACATGTATTCCTGACCCTATAGAGTTAAAACCACCATCTAGCCCCCCTGCCCTCCCTAAATATAGTAAAATCTTACTTTTAAGTCTGCAGCTTCTGCCTATGGCTCTGATCTGTCTGCTTGGTTGACATAATCAAAAGTGATTATCTGAGCCAATCACAATGCTGTCACATAGGATTGTCTGAGGCTGTCAATGAGGCAGATCGGGGCAGAGCCAGCACAAGCCAAACATAGCCCTGGCCAATCAGCATCTGCTACTATGATGTATTGAATCAATGCATTTCTATGAGTAAAGTTCAGTGTCTCCATGCAGTGGGTGGAGACACAATGACATTGCTACACAGAGTGAAGTATTGCCCCAGCAAGCACCTCTAGCAGCCATCTGAGGAGTGGCCAGTGACGTTATCCCTAGGCTGTAATGTAAACACTGCATTTTCTCTGAAAATACAGTGTTTACTGCAAAACGCCTGAAGGGAATGTTTTTACTCACCAGAACAAATACAATAAGCTGTAGTTGTTCTGGTGACTATAGTGTCCCTTTAAATACAGCTACTTCATACAGTATAGACAAAATTGGAAACAATTTGACATATACGAGGATATGCTTGGTTCACATATAAAACATTCTATAAATAGAGAGGGAAAGCCCACCATTAAATAGATAATAAACCAGTACCAATATAATGGGGGGAGGAAGGCAGGTAAGTCAGCATCCTTTAAGTATCATGCACTATGGGAGGGCCATTGAAGAAATGTTTTTACAGATATACCAATTGCTACTCCGTTAAAGACATCATTTCAAACATTTTCTTGCAGTGTCTCATTTTGTTACTACTATTCCAAAATGTCAATTTAATGTCCTGAAAAACCCAGCATGTCAGATAACCTTTGAAATTTCACACAATACTGATCAAAGACAAAAAGGCAAAGCATGACGGTAGGAACTCAACCACTCTGCCATAGGAAAAAAGGCTCACTCTAGCTCAGGAGATTCTTCCATGCTAAATAAATAATTGTAAACACAGTGCTGCGTACTTTGATATTAAATCACTGCAAAAAATATATATTATAATAATAAAAAAAGTTGTAATAAATGCACTGCTGATAGTTTGCATTCATTTTATAACATCATAAAATATGGCTGCAAATTCAATCATGTATCTGTTATTATTTGCTCTGCAAAGGCTTCTCTTTTATTGCACATTTCTGTAAACTCTGAACCAATTTTACCCAGAACAGAATAGTAAATTACAAAAGAATCATTTTCAATGAAAACCGTTTTATAGCACAGCGTAGAATGTCTATTAAAATCAGGAGTGCAAAATATCATAAAGAATTATGGCAACAAAACACAAACAATTTGGAAACATGATTAGTACACACAGACTTGACATGAAAAGTCACATTATAGTAAAACCGAGTAACAGCCAGACAACCAACAGGAATACACTACATCCAGAATCTCCCGTATACAGTTCTTGCCAGCTTGCCCTGTGTAACAATAAGACATGAGGCAATTTTGGTTGGTTTTGAACTTAAAGAGCAGTAGAAGGTAAGCATCCTACTTGGGATGTTGGCCAAGTTATAGCTTCTATATAACCGATCAAAAGCCAATAACTTTATACTGCACAAAGGAGGTTTAGAAACAATGTAACAAGTGTTTGATAGAGTAAGACCTTTTGGGAGAAACAATGACACAACAAATGAGTTCATGGTCATGAATGACAGTAAATAGCCAATTGTTTTTGCCAGTTAAAAGCACTGTGCCAGTGTAGGATGCATTGCAAGGGATTTTAAATGATTTTAGTAACCTTCTGTTGAGAACAAAGTAGTGGAATAATAATCAGTAAAGGAGCAATTCTTTCTGATAATTGGTGTCCCTAGGTAAAAACATTTATGACCAATAATTTTTACATTAACCTGGCTCTACAAGAATAATGTGCATCTGCTTGTCAAATAACATTTCAAATATCTGGTTTTAAGTAGCTATTAACTATTACTACCAATTTAATCACTTAATGACATTAGAACGTGTCATTATGCCCTAACTCTACAGAGCTTTCATAGAACGCATTAAACAGGTCTTAACGGTGCTAGCTCTTTAGTTGCCCCAGACTGTCAGATGCTATGTATAGGGTGCTTAAACTGAGCACTGCCTACAGTTATTTTAATGGGAATTTAAATCCCCTTTGAAGGCAATGCTGTGTAAAAAAGGGTTAAATCCCTTCTTACACCAGAAAACCTAGTTCTCAATAGACACATGGGGCTCCCCTTTGCCGACTGGGACCATTTTTAGTGATCCTAGATGGACAGGTGTGATTCATGCAGTGCTCAAAGTAAGTGCTACTACAGCCATTTAATTGCATATATTGGCAATGAGATGTGAATATTGTTTAATGATTGCTCACACCAGGGATACCAGAGTATCAGGTGGGTGGCTCACTCGTCAGCTGGGGTCATATTCAGTGGCGCCCAGGCTGACCGATGGGCTGTAAGCAACACTTAAAGTGAGTGCTGCATACCGCCCTAAAATTATTTGAGAACATCACGACTGAGCAGATCGCACTCAACCATGGTAAATCGTTTTGTTCCAGACTGGATTATGACATACTAATGATGCTAATATATATCAGCAATATATATCTGTATGTGCAGCATTTCATAATTCAAGCACCATACCCACTTCAAAATACTGAAGTAGTAGTACTTGTTCATACACTAGCACTGATAATTCATTGCCTACCCTGGAATCAATATTTATTAATGTTCTAAATGCTGTTCGCAGATTTTATTTAATTTTTTTTGAATCAGTGAATATTTACACACCTGCCGTAATTGTAGGTACACATACACACATCTTTGTCTGTTGGAATACCTATGCCCCTTTAGTCTATGTAGAAATAAAGCTAGCTTGGCAAAACCTGGTCTTTTAGAGGGTTTTTTTCACTGTAAAAATACACTAAATTTTTAGCTTTATAATACGAAAGTAATATTTTCTATTAGTTTTGTGGTCAATATTACTTGCAGGAACAGGTATTTTGTTTGAAATGTGTAATGTGTATCCACATTTGTAGTTATTTCTTCATTGTCAAAAACATTCCAGCAAAAGAATATATATATATATATATATATATATATATATATATATATATATATATATATATATATATATATATATATATATATTTTTTTTTTATTATTTTTTTTTCTGTATTTTTGTTGTGCAAAAGAAGGTACAAACATATTTACAATGCCACAATAGCGGTTACAGACAATTTAAAGCTGACAGTATTGTGACATAAGATTAAACTGCACATTTTTTAAATTAAGAGTAATGCTAATTAGGTAAGGAGATTAGTAGGTGTGAATAACAATAGCTAGAAGTAGGTTTACAAGAAATAGGTTTACATGACTGACATAGATTAGTAACATGCTTTATAGCTAAACTAGGTGCTGTACGTATAGCGCTACAGGCATCTAGGAAGTAATGAGACACTACACCCTCTTGTGCTAAACATAGGTCATGAATAAATATGTTAAAGCAGGCATATAACTTACAATACAAACTTGTCAACAGAAAAATAACTATGCTTCAACAGTTTGACTCCCAGTCTGCCGCCCCCTTACATAGAATAAAGTTCTGGATGTGTGCTCAAGTAATAGATCAGCCGATCCCGGAAGGGCAAGTGATGTGTAGGAGAGATTAGGCTTGGATCAGCTGTAGCGTAGCAGGGCGAGGGATATCTCCAACCCCAGGCTTGTGAGAGGGTGTGCAGCCTTGGACAGCTGTCTCAGGAGCCCCTGATAGCCAAGTTCATGGATCTCATGTTGAGCCAAAACATGGTGGTGTGCTTGTAGGTGGCTTGTTCATGTGTGAGAAAGTGGCCGTCTGTGGTCACAGCCACGTGGGTATGTTCTCATGCTGTAGGTGTCGCTGTCATGTTCTACTAGAGCATGTGCCCCAGCTTGCCGTTTTGCCAGTTTCATCTAGAAGGCTGCAAATATGGCATCCAGCCGTGTTAGAATGTCAGGCCTCCGTGCTGTGTCTCGTGACCCAGTGGCGTTTGGCGCCATTTTGGGTTTGGTAAGCATTGCTTGAGGATGCTTCCCCCGAGCCTGTAGGGGTCTTTCTGGGAACGGGATAACCCCTTCTGGTACATGGGTGCCAACTTTTTTCTTTTGGGGGCAATCGGGGAGCAGCCGTCTCCCCCGCGCCGACCAAGCTTCTAGACTGCAAATGTCGCTCCGGTGATTCCTGCAGGGATGGCAGCATATTTGGTGTCAGTGTGTGCCTCTCGATTGGTGACCCATTTGCGTTGTTTGAGAGCTGTTTGTGGCTTGTATGTAGCGATTATTGCCTGGAAGAGCAGGAGCAGGTCTGTTCTGCATCCTCTCAGCTGGTAAGACCCCGTCCCCTCCAGCAAAATAGTATTTTATACACATGGTTAATTAGAAAATAGGCTCACATTTATTGAAAAATCTATACAAGTGTGACATTGTTTTATTAAAGTACAATATCACAATGAGTAAATAAACGTTTTGAGTAAGTGACTAAAGGCAACTCCAAAAGTTACATTATATTCAGTGTCTAAACAAAAGGTTTTATTTGAAACATGCCAATCAGAAAACTCATTCATTACATCCTAGTTTTTGGTACAGCTGCTTATAGAAAGGAATGAGGACTACCGTATATTTATATAAGATGATAAATTTGAGGAAACTTCATGGAAAAACTCAGGGTCGACTTATACACGCGGCAGTGCTAGTTTCCATAGAATTCCCGGTGGGCCGCGCAGTACTCATTCTTCCCTCCTATAGAGAGGAAGCCCGTCGCCCAGGGGGACGGCCACATCAAATGTAATTAACGGTGGTGCCGCTGGGCGGCCGCCTAGCCGGTCCGGCGGCACACTCACTACCGTAATACTAACAGCAGTGCAGCTGTTAGAAAGCACTAACTTAAGGAGGGAGCAGACCTGACTATCATGCTCCCTCGCGGCTTCCACAATTCCCAGCACAGCCACATTACTGACTTATACATGAGTATATACACAGTAATAACCCAGAGGTATTTGTTCTGGTACTTGGTATGGTTATTAAAATACACTAGAAGTAATCGTGTTCCTATTGCTGCAATCAAACTACAAGTCTATATAGAGTATCTGGAAACATACATACTACAGACAAACAGGAGAATCCTTCCTAGTATCGAATAAAAATAATTCCACTGAAATTATAATTTTTTAAAGCTTTGCCCCTCTAATTTAAAGGACCACTATAGTGCCAGGAAAACATACTCGTTTTCCTGGCACTATAGTGCCCTGAGGGTGCCCCCACCCTCAGGGTCCCCCTCCCGCCCGGCTCTGGAAGGGGAAAGGGGTTAAAAACTTACCTTTTTCCAGCGCTGGGCGGGGAGCTCTCCTCCTTCTCTCCTCCTCCGTTCCTCCTCCTGGGCTGAATGTGCACGCGCGGCAAGCGCTGCGCGCGCATTCAGCCCGTCGCATAGGAAAGCATTTACAATGTTTTCCTATGGACGCTGGCGTGCTCTCACTGTGAAAATCACAGTGAGAAGCACGCAAGCGCCTCTAGTGGCTGTCAATGAGACAGCCACTAGAGGAGATAGGGGAAGGCTTAACCCATTCACAAACATAGCAGTTTCTCTGAAACTGCTATGTTTATAAAAAAAATGGGTTAACCCTAGAAGGACCTGGCACCCAGACCACTTCATTAAGCTGAAGTGGTCTGGGTGCCTAGAGTGGTCCTTTAAGACTATGTCCTCTTGTTGTGGTAGTTTTTCTTCTTTTAAATATAGATTCCCTTTATGTATTTAGATGTTTCTGCTCTGTTTGATCCTGTGCTGGGTTTTTTCTGAAACAATGAATCTAATTTTTCAAAATGTCCATCTTCATAAATCTTCCAACTACAACTCTAAAATAATACAAAGGCTGGTCTACAGACAAACATCAATCAAATATAAACACATATAAAAGAAAATAGCAAAATATACAGGTAAAATGAAAACTCATTCCCTGTGAAAAATGAAAATGCAGTTTGAAATAATGGTGAGCACTGACATGCTGTATATGGCGTGTACTTTATCTTTCCCAAAATATGCTCTTATATTTTCAGACATAAAAAGTACTTACTGCCATTAATCTTGCAGCTTGTCATTTCCCGCTCTGAACTAATTCCCTTCCAGTATTTAGGATAACATATAAAAGCCAAAGCAACAGAAATTTGATTTCATTCAATATCCCCCAGTTAGTTTAAATGCATCTAATAATACATAAAACAAACACTGCGCTACATATTTGTCAATTGCATTGCCTTGCTGGACAGCCTGCAGCAATGTATACATTACAAAGCAAAATTAAAAAAATAAAAAAGGGACAGATCAACAAACATAGGAAGAACACACTGACCTCAATTCATGTTTTGTCTAAAATGAAGGCACAATAAGAGTGATAATAATAATAATAATAATATATATTTTTTTAATTAGTAAATTTTAGGATGACTGAAATAAGTTTAAATCAGAAAAGCCCAGGGTAAATAAAAATGTTCAGAAATTAATCTTCCATTTCACCAAGTAAATTACATTTCCATTTTCAATTCACAGGTACTTCATGCTATGAAACACGTTCTCATGCAGTTATAAAACATTTATTTCTCAATAAATATATTCTTCTTTAGTGAGGATTTCCATTCTCTGTTTAAAGGTAGGGTGTTCCACATAACACTAATTAGATTAGTTGGATGATGCCATATTATGTTAAATATGTACATATTTCTTTTGTTTTTCCAATATATCAACTGCTGTTAAGACATCAATGAGAAAATAATTATAATTTGAAAAAACACATTTATAATCTCATTTAGTTGTGTTTCAAGCTGTGTCCAATTAATTTTAAGACTAAATAATAAGAAAATTAAAATTAAATTGACACTATTGTCACCAAAACAGCTTAATGTAGTTGCTATTGTGAGTATAGTCAGTCCCTGCAGGCATTTTTCTGTAAACCCAGAGTTTACACCTCCAGTGGAAGTCATTTAGATGGCAACTAAAGATGCTTCCTAGGTTAGTGTTGCACAATGTGCAGCGATGATGTTCAGCATCTCCACACTTTCCCCATTCAATGCATCTCTCTGAGAAGATGCTGATTGGCTGAGGTGGTGTTTGGCCTCGCTTCCGCCCTGCTTCCTTGGCTAAGATCATCAGAATTGATGCCAGCGCAAGCAGACCCGACACCCACGCGGTGCTGGAATAAGATATGTTTTAAACCTTTTTAGGGGGGTACGGCCAGGGGGGCTAATCTGTTTTTATTTTTTACACCATATGGTCAGGAATACATATTTATATACCTGCCCTAGTATACTATATATATATATATATATATATATATATATATATATATATATATATATATATATATATATATATATATATATATATATATATATATACACACACACACACACACACACACACAAATATATATGAACATTAAAAGAAAGATGTTATATATATATATATATATATATATATATATATATACATACACACACACACACACACACAAATATATATGAACATTAAAAGAAAGATGTTTAGCAAGTGGGGTTTGTATGGTTAAAAAGCAAAAGCACAAAGATTATGCAGAAAGGAGGATCTGTAATTGATAAATCTCCTTGCTAAAATCTGAATTAAAAAAAAATCATTCAAATTCTACTCTATTCTCTCAGTCCTTTTTACATGGAGCCAGTTTTTTTTGAGAAAAATAAACTCAGACACAGATTGGCTCAAAATTACAAAGAAACTAATAGTTAGAAGCAGTGTCACGGTATCTACTTACAAACTTCTCTAGAGAAGGTACCTACTTGTAAAACATGTAGAAAAAGGCAAAATATTTGACTCTTGTGTGTTTAATAAAGGAAATAAACCCATTTCCCCCCACTAAAGGTCTTTATAAATCTCTTTGAAGGAGCATTACAAAGCAGAACCAGGCAGTGATCAAAGAGTTATAGAGATATATATACATACATACATACACACACACACACAGGCATACCCCACTTTTAAGCACACAATGAGACCAGAGCGTGTATGTAAAACGTAAATGTACTTAAAGTGAGTCAATACCTTTTTCACTTCCCAATTGCATGTACTGCATTGCAATAGTAATAGTAATTTACAGGCATAACTGATACTGTAACTGCAGATTTCCAGTGATTGATTTAGTGATTTCCAGTGGGCTTTTATTCGGTTAAAACAAACACTAAAAAAAAAAAAAAATCTCATTCCAGATTGTGCCATTTATCTTTAATGTTTTACTCATCTGACAACCTTATACTGGGAGGAAAAGTAAAATAAACCTGCCCACTGGGCCAATTTCTGTTAAAGGACCACTATAGTGCCAGGAAAACACTCGTTTTACTGGCACTATAGTGCCCTGAGGGTGCCCCCACCCGGCTCTGGGGAGAGAAAAGGGGTAAAACTTACCTTTATTCCAGCGCTAGGCGGAGAGCTCTCCTCCTCCGATCCTCCTCTTCTCCGCCCTGTCGGCTGAATGCGCACGCGCGGCAAGAGCTGCGCGCGCATTCAGCCGGTCACATAGGAAAGCATTCATAATGCTTTCCTATGGACGCTGGCGTGCTCTCACTGTGAAAATCACAGTGAGAAGCACGCAAGCGCCTCTAGTAGCTGTCAATGAGACAGCCACTAGAGGATTAGGGGGAAGGCTTAACCCATTCATAAACATAGCAGTTTCTCTGAAACTGCTATGTTTATGAAAAAATGGGTTAACCCTAGCTGGACCTGGCACCCAGACCACTTCATTAAGCTGAAGTGATCTGGGTGCCTAGAGTGGTCCTTTAATACAGTGCCAATTTGTATTTGTTAGCAGCTTAGTTGCACACGTTGTTTAGAAACACCTCTTCATCACTTTAAGCATTTATGGTTTAACTCTGAATCCTCAGAATTGTGGCTATTGCAGCTAAGCTGCTAAGTCATAGTTATAAAAAATGGCAGGGTAAACCCTTTCACTGGATGGCGCTGATTGCAGAAATATATATATATATATGTATGTTCAGCTAGGAGCAGGCATTATAAATTTGAGATGATTAACCTGTGCCATGTCAGACGGTGTGAAAAGTTCTTGCCCCAATGACACTGAACTGAGCTGCTCCGGGCGAGAATAGAACCTTCCATTTATTGTTCACTCGCAAATAGAAGAGGCACGGGAAGGTCTGTACTCGGGAGGCACTTTTTAAAGCGGCACTGTCATGCTGAATCCTGTTGTTTTTTTTTAACCCCCCTTTGGCCTCCACATCAGATGAAACAAAGTACAAATAAGGGAACACATACGAGGAATCCCATCTCCCGTGACACATCTATATGTATATCTAGATATCTATATATATTCTTAAAATTAAGGTTGGGAAGAAAGTATGCTTGAGAGATAAGCTACAAAGCCAATAGGGGGGATAGAAAACTGGAATTTTAGAGAGGATATTACAGTATATATATATATATATATATTTTGGGTCAAAAGGTTTGAGTTCCGAGGTTCCACAGTGTGTGTGTGTGTGTGTGTGTGTGTGTGTGTGTGTGTGTGTGTGTGTGTGTGTGTGTGTGTGTGTGTGTGTTATATATATATTGAGCGTAAAAGTGGAATTGTGGTTGATGGAAGATATATCAGGCCTGATTTGCTAAACAGCAACCAGAGAATTTTCAGTTAAATGCCCCAGGGAGAGATGTTAAAGTTTGCAATCTACATTGCTGAGGTTCTGCAAAACATGGTATGGGTGCCTGGGGCGGAGTATTTGGAGAGCAGGGTGGGCCAATGCTCCAACAGCACTAGTTGCTGTGTAACAGACCACAATTTAGATCTGACTTAAGAGTTAACTAATTGGCACTCACCTGTAGCTAGTCAATTAGTAGACAGGCCTTTAAAAGAAGAGGGCAGCCTGCTGCAGAGTGAGGGAGAAAAAGACAGCTAGGAGAGTGAACGACAATTGTGTTTACTGCAAAGCCATTTCTTTTGTTTGGAAAATTGGTAAGTGGGAAAGCCACCCAATTACAGATAGTAATTCCTGTCTAGTAAGAGCTCAAGTAAGAGCAAGGGATTTTGTTTGTTTGTTATTACTTAAAGCACCTGTTTTCTTATTGAATAAAAAGGAAAACCGAGCTGAATGTGTCCTGGACTTTGATTACCCTAGAAGGCTGTGGTTACTGCAAGATCTGTGACAATCCTACCTGTAAAAGAGGTGGTTTGTTACAATATATATATAAATAAAATTCTACACAATGATAATATTACGATCATATTTAGCACATCTGGAATTAGGACTAGTGGAGGATTGAAGGAATAACAGCAATAGACTAATAGGTCCCATTCTCCAACAATTCGGAAGTCGAACAAATATTCACAGTAAAAAGTGTCTCGGTAGGCAAACGATCTTCGGTACCCGAACATGCAACAAAGACCAATTAGTAAAAAAAAAAAAAAAAATGGCTCGGTATCCAATCATACAACAAAGAGCCATGTCTCATTTTCAAGTCTAACAAGTATTAGAGGCAGGAACCACTCAAATAAATGTAAGGTGCGTGTGTGTGTGTGTATATATACATACACACATTATATATATCCATGTTTGTATATTCCTGCTTACAAACAGTTTATCAGATAGCGGTTTGTACTGACTTTGTATGTGTTTGTATATATACATACACACACACTTTGGGACTCGAACGGCCTTCAGGAAGAGTGTGTGTGCCGAGCCATCTTTTAATTAATATATATATATATATATATACATACACACACACACACACCTCGGAAACCAAACTTAATCCGTTCGAGTCCCAAAGTGTGAGTGTGTGTGTGTGTGTATGTGTGTATGTATGTATGTATGTATGTATGTATGTATATATATATATATATATACATACATATATACATACATACACACACACACATATACACATATATATATATTAAATATATACAAAGTCAGTACAAACTGCTATCTGATAAACTGTAATATACAGACAAGGTTATCTATTTCGACTGCACGAAAAGCGTTTTCAATTACAGCAGAGGAAAGGGTTCTGATCAGTAAGAACAAACAAGATATGGCATTATCGGTCTAAAGAGCTTGATTGAGAGAGGCAACATATCTGTACTAACTTATACAAATGTTAAATCTGCAGGTAAATATGACTGCTTCATAAGGGAATTCCTGATTATTTACAAAAAGCTTTAGGGAAATAACTTTTTCTCAAAAATATATATTTTTAATTAATATTTTTCTATTTCAGCTAGACCCAAACACCGTTTTCTTCCAAATAAAATCGGAATGCACAGCACTGCAGCAGATCAACTAAAACACAAAGGTGGTGCATTTTTAAAATCAATTTTTTTAATTTAATGTCTTATTATGTCTATCTTTAAATTCAATTTCCCGTAATTCCTTGAATGCACATAAACACGCAGGTCACATGCAGGAACATTTGCATTTGAATCAGACTAAAGTGGAGTCAGAACAATATGTCCATTTGATTAATCTGTTATGTTATTTATTGTTGATTACATTTGAACTGACATTCATTCTTAATAATTTTACCAGAATTTTTACATAGGACATTTTAATGTCAATAGATGCTGGATTAACAGCATAATATTGAAGAAATTGTAATAAATACCATAATTGTTATAAAACGTAGTGTAATTTTTTAAATTTTATTTTATGCAGTCTCATTTTCATGCTGAGACACACATTTTTGTGATAGGCTCCATTTGGAGATTTGTCTCGCTGAAGATGAAGCTCCTAACTATTTACACTTTCAGTATTTGCCTGTGACTGTGCACATATTCATAATGAAAGACATTTTATATAACAAGTATAAAACAATCAATGTTTTTAAGTAAAATGTGAATTATCTTTCCTAGCACATTCCTGACAAAATTGTCGACTCACACAAATGGAAATTATGTACGGAAGAACCAAATAAAGACTTTGATCTGTGTTCCATTACTTCTAGTATTCCATTGAAGACTTCTATGCAGTGTATGTGAATCTCAAGTGTGCCCATTTTATGTTAAAGGTTTTATTAATGGGTCTAATAAAGTGTAAATATGTCCCCAACATATTATGAAAGTGGGTAAAATAAAAAATAAATATAAAAAACAAAAACCTAAAAGGGGTCAGGGCAAGAGGCAACCATAAAATGAAGGACAGGTAGTGAGTCTGACTAAATGGGAACATCTCTCCTCTCCGAACCTCCTTCCTGACAAAAGCAGCATCAACGGACACAAAAATATAAAAATTAAGTTTGGAACAGCCACTACCTGAGTGGAATGAACAGTGAACATGTCCAGGGGAGGCTCGTTAATCAGGGTGTAAGCTTTCCGGACAATAGACTTGAGTCTAGGATGACAGTGAAAACTGAAGCCTTTTGACCCAAAAGGTATTCTGACAAAAAAAACAGAGGAAATACATTTTCCCAAGGGCCTAAAGGACTGTAATTTATGCAACAATTTCTCCTTGTCATCTAAAAATGGAGGAAACAGCACTTTTCTGGTTAATATTAGTGAAAGAGACCATCTTAAAATAGATAAATTATAAAAAATAAAAAACATATGTCAGTCCTCAGGACTGTGCGAACCTTAAGACAAAACTCATAGATGGGACTTGGAAGAGAGAGACAAAAGTTTAGAAATGACCCTTTGGAAACAGCCAGAAGAAACTAAATCAATACCTTTTGGGATAACAGCTGCAAATCCAATAACTGTATAGGTTCAAAATGAGCATATTGCAGAACCTTGAAAACCAGGTTGAGACTCCAAAGAGAAGTGGCAGGTCACAACAAAGACTTTATTCATATCAAGGTCTGAGTTTCAATGCAAAGCCAGCTTAGGGCATAAAAATGCCAAAAAGGCTGCAATCTGACCCTTCAGGGTACTTAAAGGATCAAAAACCAACAGAAGTCCAATGGTACTCCTGGGCAGAACGCCAAGCCCGGCATGTTAGCCATACATTGTGCTAAATGTGTATGGTAATCAATTTAACTGAAAAACTTATGGCAAGCAAGACCATATTGTTACATATGTTTAAAGCTTCAACAAATCAAACTTCTATTTCTTGGATGCAGGAAGAACTGTTGGCTGTATAGGAGAGCCTAAAAAAATGAATTAGTGTGCTAATGCATTGTTTCGTCCACCTACAGTAGGAAGGTGTCATGCCTATTAAGCAAGATTCATGTCCATTATAAAAATAATGCCAATTCCAGTGAATGCATGGAATGCTTACACAGTAGAGGTGCCATAATAGATATATGAGGTGAAATACATATATATTGGTTAAATCTGGGTTGTGTCTGCAAAACACCTTGAAATGGTACAGCAATTAAGGCAGGTTTCATTTTCGTGTTTGTTAACCAAACAGTTTAGAGATATGTAAATCTAGTATGTGGTTTTAAGTGATCTTTATTACAAGGACTTAACCAGATATGCTGTCAGAGACCGCAAACACACTTGCAATGTATATTGCAATTTCAATTAAAGGGACTCTCCAGTGCCAGGAAAACAATCCGTTTTCCTGGCACTGCAGGTCCCCCTCTTCCTCCCACCTCCCAATCCCCTTCAGTCACTTACCTGAGACCCCCGCCGATGTCCCTCGGCGGTGGTTTCGGGCCGCCGCCGCTCCTCCTCCTCTTCATTACGTCGCCCGGTGGGCGAGACTGATCCCGCCCGCCGGCTGTGGAGACCTAATACGCATGCCGTACATGCGCATTAGAGCTCACCATAGGAAAGCAGTGAAAATGATTTTCGATGCTTTCCTATGGGGAACTGAGTGACGCTTGAGGTCCTCCCACAGCGTGAGCACGTCCACCGACGCTCTAGCACAGGTTTTCTGTGCTATGGACCAGGAAGTGCCATCTAGTGGCTGTCTAGTAGGCAGCCACTAGAGGTGGAGTTAACCCTGCAAGGTAATTATTGCAGTTTATAAAAAACTGCAATAATTACACTTGCAGGGTTAAGGGTAGTAGGAGTTGGCACTCAGACCACTCCAATGGGCATAAGTGGTCTGGGTGCCTGGAGTGTCCCTTTAAGGGTCATTCACTGAAGGCGAAACAGAAATTCCAACATAGTCAAAAGATAAACTGAGTCAAAGTAGGGACAACTTTGTCTCAGTATTTCTCCTACGCTTGCTTGTCAGTGGATGGAGCTACTGCCGTCAAGCCATGTCATTTCCCCGAGCCGTCACCAGTGATGGCTGCAGGGACATTCGTTCTCTCTATGGAGGACCCTGCACCAGTACAGCACTACCGTTGGCCCCTGGCAGCTGAAGCAACAGGAACTTAAGAGGACTGACAGGCAGAAGATGGCAGCGCCTGCGAGGGACAGGTATGGGTAAGTAAAATTCATGTTTGCCTGCCTCCCAAGCCACTGGAGCCCAGTGGGGATGTCACCGTCAGCGGTCTTTGCAATTTATATAAAGTATTCCTTTTTGGGGCATTATGTAAGAAATGTATAAAAAGTTTGACAAATTAATTGCCAGGATTCACAGAGAAAATCTGACCTGATTAACCCCTTAAGGACACAGCATCAGAAGCTGGACATACCCTTAAAGGGACACTGTAGTCACTATAAGCATTTCATCTCTTTGAATTGGTTATAGTGCCTGGAGTACCCTGGCACTGTCCCTCCATTCAGTGTTGCACTATGTTCGTGCAGTATGCCACAAAATAAGAATCCCTGGCCACCCACAGTCCGGCCCCTTCAGTATGTGTAGCTAAGGCAGAGATTACACACTTCCTTGTTGTCATACCCACTCATACCGTCAGTTGGAACTCTGACAGGCTAAAAGCAGTCAGCTGACACTCTCAGCCAATCACAGCTGCCCATTTCTGCTCAGGCTAATACTTCTTTATTAGCAAAAGCAGCACAGAGGGGATGGATTACCGGGGACTCATGTTTAGCATTAAAACATTAAAACTTTAAAAACTGTTTAATGCTGACAGAAATGATGGGACCAGAAGACTCCAGACACTATAACCAGTTTAATGAGATGAAGCAGATACAGTGCCTATGGTTTCCCTTTAAGGACACAAGCAATTTTTGCATTTTTTGCTGTTTGTGTTCAAATGCAATTTGCATCTCTCTGTACCAACACATATTATATACCGTTTTTTAGACAACAAAAAGGGCTTTAATTTGATGTGACATATACATATATAAATTCTCAATTATTACAAAAAAAAAAAATGCACAATAATGTGGAAAAAAACAAGTTTTGGTAATAATAATGTGTGCATAATATGTCCAGCTTAGGAAAAGTAATTCAAAATCAATTCATTTATGTGTCTTGATTTACAAAGTGCATAATATGTGTAGGATTTCAGTTTATTTTGAAAGTTACAGGTCACAAACTACAAGTTCTAAAATAAAATTTCAATGTTAAACAATTTTATAAGTTGGTATGTTTGTTTAGGAAGTTTAATACCCATTACAGGAAACAAAATTGCCACACAAAAGAGTATATTTATATAAAGTAGACATCACAGGCTATTTACCTAAGGTTAGTTTGACACTTTTTGCGTAGCCATTTCACCGCCAATCTCTGCTAAATATTGGAGTAAAATTTAATTTTTTCTCTATTTTGGCATATACACATATAACAAGGTTTTTGTAATTTCGTAAACCTAGTGTGTGCTACACATGTACAGAACCCCATATTGTGTTTAGCTACATCTGCTGAGTAAAACGATACCCCCATTGTATACCTTTGACCCTATTCTGTGAAGCTACAATGCCATATAGGAGACCATGCTATTTCAGTTTCTATAGTTGGAATTTTCATAGATGGTCATATGTCTGATTGTGTGGCATTATAGCCATTTGACTGTTCAAATAACCCCACATGAAGGCCTGCCATTTGAGAAAGCAGACACTCCAGGGTATGTTATTAGGCATATATTATACCTTAACTTGCCACCATTTTTTCATCAATTTATTTCAAATTTTGTGGTGAGAAAAAAAAATATTAAATATTTTTACATACATGTTGCATTTTCGCTGGGTATTTCTTACATTTGATAAGTGCCACTGTTATAAATTCCCCCTAAGTATGCTCAGTTACCTCCTCTGCGTAAAACAATAAGCCCAATGTATGACCTACACACTATTTTGTGAAGTTACAGTGCTGTGAAAGAGACGTGACAAGTTCAGGTTTTTAAGTGTGAATTTACATGGAGTTTTAATGGGTCCGTATTCTATTTTTAAATGTGTTAGCAGGCTGCTTTTTCCAACTACCCCAAAAAGGCTTACTATTTCTTAAAGAAGACGCACAAGGGTATTTCAAAAAGCAAATTTTGAACCTTAATGTGGGATAATTTTTCCGTTAGCTTGTTTAAAATGTAGTGGTAATAAGCATTTTTTTTCTGGCTTTTTGACACACAGTGAGTTTGTACTGTATATTTTGCAAACCTTATGTGTTCTACGGCTTTATAATACTTTATATGTCGCTCAGCTATGTTGTCTGAGTACAGCAATACCCCCGTATGTACCTTTGCCAGGTATATGTGGACGTTGAAGGGGCACATTTCAGACACAGCCATTGCAGGTTTTTTTCAAACTTTGAATTTTTACGCTGTGTTGTTACCCCACTTTAGAGTTTTTTTTAGCAGGCTTTATATTCCAACTATCCCATAAAAGCATTCTATTTCTTAAAGAAGACATCCCAGGGTATTTCAAAAGGCATATTTTGAACCTTAGCGTGGGATAATTTTTCTGCTAGCTTGTACCAAGTGTACTTGTAATAAGCATTTTTTCTGCTTTTTTGACACACACACTGAGTTTGTACTGTGTATTTTGCAAACCTTATGTGTGCTACGGCTTTATAATACATCCTATCTTGTTTAGCTATGTCGTCTGAGCACAGCAATACCCCCATATGTACCTTTGCCATGTATATGCGGACATTGAAGGGGCACATTTGAGACACAGCCATTGAAGTTTTTTCAAACTTTACATTTTTACTGTGTCCATACCCTACTGTGGAGGTTTTTTTGTAGGTTAATTATTCCAGCTACCCCATAAAGGCATACCATTTCTTAAAGAAGACACTCTAGGGTATTTCAAAAGACGTGTTTTGAACCTTAGCGCGAAAATTTTTTTCCGCTAACTTATACCAAGTGTAGTGGTAATAAGCATTTTTTATGTCTTTTTGACATACTCAATGAGCTTGTAATATATATTTTGCAAACCTTATATGTGCTACAGCAGTATAATACATCATATGTTGCTTCGCTATGTCATCTGAGTACAGCAATACCCCCGTATGTACCGACATTGAAGGGGCACATTTTACTTCACAATGGCATACCAGGGTGTTTCAAAGGGCATATTTGAAACCTTAGCGTGGTATCATTTTTTCGCTAGCCTGTACCAAGTGTAGAGGTAATACGCATTTCCCCCCTTTTTTTAAACATTTTTTAAAAACTTTTTGAAAGTTTTATTTAGCTTTTAACAACTTATTTTACTATTTTAAAACTTTGTTTAAACTTTTCAAAAGTTTTTCTCACTTTCAATTTTTTTTTTTAACCCCTAACTAGCCTAACCGTAAATACCCCATTTTCCCCACTAACTTCTACCCACCCTAGCTAAATAAATAAATATTTTAAAATATTTAAATTAATTAAATACATTTAACCCCTGAGGATTAAAAAATAAAAGTTAACTCTCAGGGGTTAAAAGAAAAAAATCAGATCACAGTGAAAATCAAAGGGCAGGGAAGGGGTTAAATTTTATTTGAAAGAGGTGAGGGAGGGGGTGGGATTTTATTGCTTACACTTTTTTTTTTTTTACTAGGAGAGACAGATCAGCACCACACGGAGCTGCAGGGAAACAGATCGGGTTTCACTGCAGCACATGTGATCGCTCTGACTCCCGGTCAGAGCGATCACATGGGCTGTGAAAGTGAAACTGCCCAAGGTAGTGTGCCTCCGATATGGAGACACACTACAGGAAGATTAACCCCATCATTGCCGCGATTGTGGCAATCAGGGGTTAATTTTGATTTTGGATGGATATTTTCCGTCCAGCGTCCTTAAGGGGAGTGCTGCAATGACGGAAAATTTCCGTCCTTAAGGGGTTAAAATGAGATCAGAAACACCTGTATTATTATTATTGCCAATTATATAGCACCAACTTATTCCACAGCCCTTTACAATATTATTAAGGAGACTTAAACAACAAATGAGATAAACTATTACAAATTTTGACAGGAACAATAGGTTGATGAGGAACCTGCTCAAACGAGCTTACAATCTAGTGGAGGTGGGAAATAAAAACACAATAGAATAGGCATAGGAATGAAGTGACAGTGTAGAAAAGTTGCAGAATTGGAAGGAGAGAGTATGTAGAAAATGGATCCACTAAATAAATTGAGAAAATAATGACTGCTACTATGGAAGTCGATAGACTATTCTGAATAGGTGTGTTTTTAGAAACCTTGAAAATGGGGGAAGAGTCTGCTGGAGGATGGCAGGTGGTTCCATCCATAAGAATTTAGCTGCCCGCCAGAAGTACCAGAAGTTCTGAAAACGTTAGTTAGCAGTACAGTTACAAGCTAATGTATGATTTTCTGTTAATTATCTCAGTTTTATCAGTTGGTGTAAGTCATTTGTTTTGCCATCTATTTTTCACGTGTGCACCTGTGACTATTTTTATACGTCTGCCTATATCTTGTATAAAAATCACATTATTAAAGAGAATTATATCATAACAACTCCCATGGAAAAGAGGTCTCATATTCAATTATATATCACAACACAGTATGTTTAATTCAGAAGTTTTATCTGCTTCTTGTTAACTGAACTTTAATCACACACAAGAAACTGCTGCAGGCTCTAGCAAGCAATTACTTGAGCAGGATGTAAGCTCTAATTTAAACACACTGTGCAATAAGGGAAGCTTATAGACATCTTTTTCAGGAACTGTGTAGCCAAGCACTGTATGTCACAGCCAGGGAAGGTGGCTATTGCTGCATAAACAGAAAGTGATTTAAAGGGACACTATAGTCACCTGAACAACTTTAGCTTAATGAAGCAGTTTTGGTGTATAGAACATGCCCCTGCAGCCTCACTGCTCAATCCTCTGCCATTTAGGAGTTAAATCCCTTTGTTTATGAACCCTAGTCACACCTCCCTGCATGTGACTTGCACAGCCTTCCATAAACACTTCCTGTAAAGAGAGTTCTGTTTAATTAAGATTTTCATATCCCCTGCTATGTTAATAGCTTGCTAGACCCTGCAAGAGCCTCCTTTATGTGATTAAAGTTCAATTTAGAGATTGAGATACAATTATTTAAGGTAAATTACATGTTTGAAAGAGAAACCAGTTTTTTTTTTTTTTCATGTAGGCTCTGTCAATCATAGCCAGGGGAGGTGTGGTTAGGCCTGCATAAACAGAAACAAAGTGATTTAACTCTTAAATGACAGCGAATTGAGCAGTAAAAATGCAGGGGAATGATCTATACACTAAAACTGCTTTATTTAGCTAAAGTAATTTAGGTGACTATAGTGTTCCTTTAAGGACGTAGTCAATACTACAAAACAAAATGTAAACAAAAACTGGAATTTGCGCTATATGTCTGTTTAACCGTTATTCACCTCTTTCATATTAAATGCACCCACACCTATTATATATCATTTTGTTCAGGAGAAACAGGGCTTTCATTTCATATCAAATATTTAGCTATGAAACCTAATTTATTATGAATAAAATTAAAAAGACTGTGGGAAATTTTAAATGTTTTTAAAAATTTGCAGTTCCGCCTCACATTTTAGCTGTAAATGTCATAATACGGTTAGGTTTTACTGCAAAAAAATGCACATATTTGTAATCAGCGATGTCGCACGAGTACAACAGTACCCCCCATTAACAGGTTTTATGGTGTTTTGGAAAGTTACAGGGTCAAATATAGAACGTGCCATTTTAAAATTGAAATTTGCCAGATTAGTAATGTTACCTTTGAGACGGTGTGGTAGCCCAGGAATGAGAATTACCCCCATAATGGCATACCATTTGAAAAAGTAGACAAGCAAAGGTATTGAAAGTACCCCACTTTCATGTTTAGTATTTTTTAGTAGCCACTTAGTCACAAACACTGGCCAAAGTTAGCGTTCATATTTATTTTTGTGCGAAAAAAGCCAAAAACTAATATTTGGCCAGTGTTTGTGACTAAGTGGCTACTAAGAAAGACTGGACATACCCCACTTGCAATACCTTGGGTTGTCTACGTTTGCAAATGGTATGCCATCATGGGGGTAATTCTCATTCCTAGGCTACCATAGGCTCTCAAAGGCAACATAACCAATCTGTCAAATTTCAATGTCAAAAAATTAAATGCAAGCCTTATATGTGACTCTCTAACTTTCCAAAACACCATAAAACCTGTACATGGGGGGTACTGTTATTCTCAGGAGACTTTACTAAACACAAATATTAGTGTTTTAAAACAGTAAAACATATTACAACAATAATATAGTCCATAAAAGTGCAGTTCGTTTGTAAAAAATGCAAAAAACTTCACTTTTACTTAAAATATCATCATGTAATACAATTTACCAGTTTTAAACACTAATATTTGAGTTCAGCGAAGTCTCCCGAGTAAAACAGTACCCCCTATATACAGGTTTTATGGTGTCTTGGAGAGTTACAGGGTCAAATATAGTGCTTGTGAAATAAATTCTCTGCACTTTCTCCCTGTGTTGTCAGGCATGTCAATCAAATTTTAATTACCGTATTTTTCGCTCCATAAGACGCACCTCACCATAAGACTCACAACAAAGAGGAGTTAGGCGCTCACTAAATAAACTAAAGGTGGGCAGCAGTGAACCAAGCAGGAATTCCCAATACCTGCTCACAGTAGTAAAACAGAAGAGACAAAAGTGGTAAACCGCGCCCAAACAGTGCAAATAATAATTAAAATATATATATACAGAGAGTCCTCTAATTAGGAATGTATAAAACCTTCAAGACAAAAAAGTACAGAACAATAATAGTGCAATATGTCAAGTGAAATAAGAGTATATAAAAGCTTATAAAAGACTCACTCACACTTTGCAGAGCTACTCAGAGCTCTGCCGTATAGCGCCTAGACGGTATAATCCCCGTCTCAGGATATCAAGTGATGGTATAATGCGGTATCCAATCCTCCACAGTGGTATATGGAAAGATAAAAATAGAAATAAAATCCAATAGTGTAGTATATCTATTAAAAAGTGTGCAAATAAAGGAAAAGTATCCTACTTACAAATTTCAGAGCAAATATCTTGCTCTGGTATAGACAGCATGTGGTGGTATGATCCCCACCAAAGGATATGTCAGGATTCAAGATGTATCAGGAACAACAAATAAAGTAGTAAAAACTATAACTTTATTGTTACAAAATAAAAAAATATGTAATAAAAGAAGTATCAGATCTCCATAAGACGCACCTAGTTTTTAGAGGAGGAAACCCAGAAAAAAAAAATATTCTAAACTGTTCCATAGTGTTTCTTACTATGGGACAGTTTGTTCAGAATATTTTTTTTTAAGGAATTTTTTGTTCCTTACCACCCACTCCCCTCTCCTGTTCCATAATGATCTTTAAACCCCCCTCCCCTGTCCTATAGTTATTTTAACCCCCCTTTCCTCTGTCCCATAGTGATTGTTAACCCCTCCTCCCCTTGTCCAATAGTGTTCTCATCCCATAGTGTTCCCCCCCTTGTCCCATAGTGCACTTTCCCTCCCATAGTGTCCACCCCTCCCCTTGTCCCATAGTGTCCCCCCTTCCCCTTGTCCCATAATGTCCCCCCTTCCCCTTGTCCCATAGTGTTCCCCCCTCCCCTTGTCCCATAATTACTTACCTGTCTTGTAGCGTGGGCCGACTTCACAGCGCGCTCCGCGGTACAGGAACTTCAATTTCAGGTTCCGGTTTCCAACGGGACTGAAAGGAAGTGTGCACACACTGAGTGTGCTTTCCCTTTCAGTCCCGCCGGAAACCGGAACCTGAAATTGAAGTTCCTGTACCGCGGAGCGCGCTGTGCTGCCGGCCCACGCTACAAGACAGGTAAGTAAAGCTTCACATTCGCTCCATAAGACGCACAGACATTTCCCTTCACTTTTGAGGGGAAAAAAAGTGCGTCTTATGGAGCGAAAAATACGGTAATCAAATCACATAATTATGTTAAAAGATTACTTAAATATACACGTAGAATTTTAATATATATGCATTTATGGGTATTTAAATTCTAAGTGTATACTAATGTAATCTTTTATGTAATTATATGTATTTATCTATATATATATATATATATATATATATTTGCGGTTATTTGTATTTTATATATAGATAGATATATATAGAATGTCATTCTAAGTGTATTTTGTTACCTATATATATATTAATAACAAAAGAATGAAATTACATATGAATATATAATTTATATTAGATTTTGTTTCAATATTTTATTTATTTGATTATTTGATTATTGTAATTATAGATATATACACATAAATATACACATATATATATGTAATGTCATTCTAAGTGTATTTTAATATTAATATGTATACTATTAGTATTAAAATATAATATATATATATATATATATATATTATATATATAAAAATACTTTTAATTTAATTTTACACATGTAAAAAAAACATTTCCCACCAGCAGGGGGACTGTCTGATATTTCAGACAGTCCCCCTGCTGGCAGATCCACAGACAGCTATAGGGGGCCATGTGATTGCTCTCTGAGAGCGATCACATGGCCCCCGGGGGCCTCATTTGCCAGGGGAGGGCAAATGAGGATCGTGGCGAAGGTAAGTAAATCTTACCTCCTGGGGCTCAAAGCCGTTACGGCGTTCTATGCTGCCGCAGCGGCTTTAAAAGCCCTTTAAAGCCGCGACGGCATAGAACGCCATAACGGCGTTAATTGCTGCATAAACAGAAAGTGATTTAAAGGATCACTATTGTGTCAGGAAAACAAACTCGTTTTCCTGACACTATATAACACTTATGTCTCCCCCACCGTCAGGGTCCCCCTCCCGCTGGGCTAAAGGGCTTAAAACGGGGAAGCACGTGCATTCAAACAGTCTATAGGAAAGCATTTCTCAGTGCTTTCCTATGGACGTCCTGCATGCTGAATGCGATTTTCGCATCCAGCGTCGCAGAAGCGCCTCTAGCAGCTGTCAGGAAGAAAGCCACTAGAGGCTGGATTAACCCTGCAATGTAAACATAGAAGTTTCTCTGAAACGGTTATGTTTACATTTAAAGGGTTAAAACCTGGGAGACCTGGCACCCAGACCACTTCATTAAGCTGAAGTGGTCTGGGTGACTGTAGTGTCCCTTTAACCCCTTAAGGACACATGACATGTGAGACATGTCATGACTCCCTTTTATTTCAGAAGTTTGGTCCTTAAGGGGTTAATGGTAATTGAGCAGTAAGAGTACAGGGGCCTGATGTATATTCCAAAACAACTCCAATAAACGAAAGTTGTTTTACTGCTTAGAGAAAAACAATGAAGCATTGCATGAAAAAAGTGAACACAATTTATATAGGATTTTCAATTTTATTCGGTGATGTAATTTGTGATCTAATAACAGATGTTGGTCTAATCACTAGTTTCTAGTGGTACAAGTTCTCATTCCCAATCACCAAGAAGCTGGATACAGGGAAAAATCAAGTGGGACGGCGGATGATGAATAAGAAAAGTACACTCAGCACATAGCTTGTTTATGAACATAACAACTGCTTGTGGCGCTCTATCAAAGATTATGGCCTAAACGTCTGTCATACTGGAATGTCTGTGCTAGCCAAAAGATGATCATTACTATTGATTATGAATTGTTTATCTCAAATACCAAATTGCACCATTGAAACAATAATAACTAGTATTTATATAGGGCCTTTCTCCCAGTGGGTTTTTCAGCACACGCTCTCAGAATTAACCAAATCAGCAGCTGTATAGTATTAGATGTTATAGACGTAATAGATGAAAAGTAATTAAATGGGTACTATAAATGTACATGTTTAAAGTTCAAAGTTTACTAAAGCTATGCCCAATTCCACAAACCAACTGAAAAAAAAATCAATTTCTTTACTATTAATTATGGAATATACTCCACAGGATTTATTTCACCCCTAAAAATACCATTTTTATCTATAGTTTATTAATGTAGTATTTGTAGTTACAGTTACATGCAAGTTAATATTTTGGCAGATAGAATTTGGTGGGTAATATTTAAACTGCAAAAGAAAAATATCTGCTTTGATCTATCCCCACTTCCCCCACCCCACTTGATCTTCCTAGCTGTAAATTCTGTACATCTCTATTCCTTAGGCCCAATTCCATAATAAACCAACTAAAACAAAAACACTTCATGTCTACTAAGCACTACCCACCCACCCTAGTTTCTTCTAAGTGTTTGGAATCAGTCATTCACCTCTGCATTCTCTTCATATGTGACCAGTTACTGAAACTATACTATGAATTCTCTCTACCATCACCTCCAAATTCCTCGGCTACCTTTTGTGTTATTCCCCCCATTTTAACATTTAGATTAGAAGCTCACTGGATATCTAGCACAGTACTCTGTATAAAAGATCTTCAGGGGCTGGATCTCACTCACAGGCAAGGTAGCCTCTCCCTTTTGTATCGGTCTGTTTATATTGTACTATCTTTTTCCCCAAGTGTACAGCACAGTGGACTGTTGCCACTTTATAAATGCCAGTAATAAATAAATAAATGATGGGACCTTGCAGAAGCTTCCAGCTTAAAGGCTTGCTTACAATACCAAGAAAGCAGAGCCTTTTTAGAGAAACACTACATTTTAAAGGCAGAACTACAAACCAAAAGCAAACTCAATGAACACTGTTCACGGTACATAAAAATTCCAATGTATCCAGAAACAAACATAAGTTTTGAAGTTGGTTCATAGTTCCTAGACGTTGACAGAGACTGCAATTATTATGATATTTATAGAGCGCCGTCAAATTCCGCAGCACTTTACAATGGGTGGACGAACAGACATGTAGTTGTAACCAGACAAGTTGGACACACAGGAACAGAGGGGTTGAGGGCCCTGCTCATGAGCTTACACGCTAAAGGGAGTGGGGTAAAATGACACAAAAAGGGAAGGATAGTATTAGACTAGTGACATTTGCAGAAGAGAAATCAGTCAGGAGCTAGTAACAGTTTAATTGATACGCTTTTATGAAGAAGTGGGTTTTTAACGATTTTTTGAAGGAGTGGAGACTGGTTGAGCATCTAACAGAGGAGGGAAGCGAGTTCCACAGGAACGGTGCAGCCCTTGAGAAATCTTGAAGGCGAGCATCAGAGGTGGGAGTACAAACAGAAGATAGACGTTAGTCTTCAGTAGATCGTAAGGGCCTAGACGGGACATACTTGAGTGTAAGGGAGGATAGATAGGTGGGAGCAGCATTATGTAGAGATTTGAAAGCAAGAACCAAAATTTTAAATTGAGCTCTATATTTTATTGGAAGCCAATGTAGGGACTGACAGAAGGGTGAGGCATGGGAGGTGCGGGCGGACAGGAAGATGAGCCTCGCCGCCGCATTCATTATGGACTGTAATGGCGCAAGTTGGGAGCACGTAAGACCACTGAGAAGCGGATTACAGTAGTCAAGGTGAAAAAGGACAGTGGAATTGACCAACACCTTAGTCGCATCTAGCGTTAATTAGGGGTGGATGCGCGCAATGTTTTTGAGATGGAAATGACAGGATTTGGCGATAGATTGAACATGAGGCTTGAAGGAGAAGTCGGAGTCAAAGAGAACACCTAGGCAGCGAGCCTGCGTGGTGGAGCTGATGGTAGCACCGTTGACTTGGAGGGAGACAGACACAAGAGTAACAACACTTGAGGGGGAAAGACCAGAATTTCAGTTTTGGTCAAGTTTAGTTTAAGGAAGTGGGCAGCCATCCAGTTAAAAACAGCAGAGAGGAAGTCAGAGACACTAGTCAAGAGGGACGGGGAGAGATCAGGAGAGGACAGGTAGATTTGCGTCATCCGCATGGAAATGATATTGGAAGCCAAAGGAGCTAATAAGTTTACCAAGGGAGGCAGTATAGATGGAGAACAGTAGGGGACCAAGGACTGAACCTTGGGGGACACCAACAGAGAGGAGATGGGGAGAAGAAGCAGAGCCAGAGAAAGAAACACTGAAAGATTGCTGGGAGAGGTAGGAGGAGCACCAGGAGAGAGCAATATCTTGTAGACCGATATTGCAGAGGATGAGAAGAAGCTGTTGATGATCAACAGTGTCAAAAGCCGCAGACAGGTCAAGGAGAATTAGGATAGAGTAGTGACCACGAGATTTTGCAGCGAGTTGATCATTGGATACTTTGGTCAGTGCCGTTTCCACAGAGTGCTTAGCGCGGAAACCAGACTGAAGCAGGTCTAGCAGAGAGCTGGACTCGAGGAAGTCTGTCAATCTCGCATACACAATTCTTTCAAGGATCTTGGATGCAAAAGGCAGTAGCGAGATAGGACGATAGTTGGATGGGAAATTAGGGTCAAGATTGGGCTTCTTTAAAATTGGGGTTACAGTTGCATGTTTGAAGGGCAATGGAAATATACCAGAGGAGAGAGAGAGATTGAGATTTTTAGTGAGAGGTGGAGAAAGAGAAGAAGAAGTACGGATGAGATGCGAGGGAATTGGATCTAGGGAGCAGGTGGTGGGGCGGGAGGACTGGAGCAGAGCAGAAACCTCTTCCAATGTAGCGGGTGCGAATGAACATAGAACAGCAGAGGGAGTGAAGTTAGGGGAAGTATTGTAAGGGGAAGAAGAAAGATGAGAGATCTCTTCTCTGATTGTAGAGATCTTGTCAGTGAAGTGAGTTGCAAAGTCTGAGGCGGTCAAGTTAGTAGGTGGAGGAGGAACAGCAGGGCGAAGAAGAGAGTTAAATGTGTGAAATAGTCATTTGGGTTCGCAGGAGAGTGTGGTTATGAGGGTATTGAAGTAATTCACTTTTGCAGAGGAAAGAGCCAAACTGTATGAGCTCAGCATAAATTTATAGTGGAGAAAGTCAGATGCACAGTGAGACTTTCTCCAACAGCGTTCAGCAGTTCTGGAGCATTTTTGGAGGTATCGAATGAGCTTGGTGTGCCAGGGTTGTTGTTGGGGGGGCGTTTAATGTACAAGGTGCCATGATGTCTAGTTGAGAGGAGAGGGTGGAATTGTAGAAGGAGGTTACAGAACTAGGACAGGTGAGGTTTGAGATAGGTAAAAGGAGAGTTTGGAGATTAGTGGAGAAATGCTCTAGGTCAAGACATTGGAGGTTTCTGTGAGAGTGATGTTCAGACGGTGGTGTCAATTGGGTCTTAGGTATGCCAATGTCAAAAGTCAGCAGATGGTGGTCAGATAGAGGAAAGGGAAAATTGGAGAGATTAGAGGCAGTACAGAGGTTGGTGAAGGCAAGATCAAGAGTGTTTCCTGCTGTATGGGTTGCTAAATTGGACCATTGCGTAAGGCCAAAGGAGAAGGTTACAGAGAGCAGACAAGAGGCATCAGGTCAATTGGGGTTATTGATTAGGATATTGAAATCCCCAAGTATAAGGGAAGGAGTGCTAGATGAGAGGAAGTGGGGAAGCCAGGAAGAAAAGTGCTCAATGAATAGTCTAGGATAACTCAATCAACTAAAAGAACAAAATAAATTGAAGGGACACTATAAGCACCAAATCAACTTTACCTTAATGGAGTAGTTTTGGTGAATAGATCATGCCCTGCTGTCTCACTGCTCAATTCTCTGCCATTTAGGAGTTAACTCACTTTGTTTATGCAGCCCTAGTCAGATCTCCCCTGCATGTAACATACAAATTCTCCCAATACATTTTCTGTAAAGAGAGATCTAATGTTTTAAATTACTTTATTGCATAGTATGTCTAATTTAGAATGCCTTATCTCATACTGTTAATACTCTTCTAGACCTTGCAGGAGCCTCCTGTATGTTCAATTCACAGAACATGAGATAAAAACTTCTAAAGTAAACAAACTGCTGTTAGATCTGATTAAAAATTAAAGGACCACTATAGGCACCCAGACCACTTCAGCTCAATGAAGTGGACTGGGTGCCAGGTCCCTCTAGGGTTAACCCTGTCTGCTGTAAACATAGCATGTTTACATAACCCATATGTAAACATGCTATGTTTACATATGGGTTAATCCAGCCTCTAGTGGCTATCTCATTGACAGCCACTAGAGGCACGTCCGCGCTTCTCAGTATGAAAATCACAGTGAGACGACGCCAGCGTCCATCGGAAAGCACATTCGGCGGAAGAGGGAGGAGAGTCCCCAGCGCAGAGGGAGCCCAGCGCTGGAGAATGGTAAGCCTTTAACCCCTTCCTCTCCCTAGAAACCGGTGGGAGGGGGGCCATAAGGGTGGGAGGGACCTATTAATACTATAGTGCGAGGAAAACAAGTTTGTTTTCCTGGCACTATAGTGGTCCTTTAAACTATTTTTTTTTGGCTGTGTGAGTCACAGGAGATGCATGACTAGGGATGCATCAAGAGAAACAAAACATTTATCTCCTCCTAAATGTATAGATCTTCAGTGTATTTCTGCAATCTCTTCTTTATTTGATCATCTTCTGTTAAAGGGACCTATAGTCACCAGAACAACTATAGCTTGTTCTGGTGAGTAGAATCATTTCCTTCAGGCTTTTTGCTGTAAGCACGGTCTTTTCAGAGAAAATGCAGTGTTTACATTACAACCTAGTGATAACTTCAATGGCCACTCGTTAGATGGCTGCTAACGCTGCTTCTTTGGGCAGTGCTGTAGAGTAAGCAGCACTTCCATTCAGTGTCTCCACCCTCTGTATGCAGACACTGAACTTTACTCATACAGATGCATTGATTCAATTCATCTCTATGAGGAGATGCTGATTGGCCAGAGCTGTGTTTGACTTGTGCTGGCTCTGCCCCTGATCTGCCTCCTTGACAGTCTCAGCCAATCCTATGGGGAAGCATTGTGATTGGCTCAGACCACCACGTCTGCTGTCAACAGACAGGGGCAGGTCAGAGACAAATAGGAGCAGGTCAGAGGCAGACAGGGGCAACGCCAGCACCTACAGACTTGAATACAAGTAAGGTTTTACTATATTTAGGGAGGCATGGGGGGCTAGATGGTGGTTAGAACACAATAGGGTCAGGAATACATGTTTGTGTTCCTGACCTTATAGTGTTGCTTTTAGCTAAAGTTGTTTAGGTGCTTAGAGTATATCTTTAACAAACAACAAATACATACAATAATATATATCACAATTCTTATAAGCAACAATCATTGGAAATATGTATTTCCATCTACAACTTTATTTTACCAAACTTCTGTTTGACAAGAACCCGAAAAGGATTTTAAATAATGTAAAACATTTCTGAAATTAAAGTGGTTCTAATGGTGTCCACTGGCTCATAGTCTTTGGATATACCACAAGCTGAGACATTGACCCACATATGAACATAGCAAATACAAATGTATCTAACCCTCTTTTATGCCTACTGCTCAGGAGAGTGATATATAGTACTCCCGACAAAGGCTAATGTCAGTGATTCAGATGGAGCTTACCATTCACCATCACAGACATAGAAAAATCAGAAACGCATTTACTTGTGTAAAAAGATTTTAGAAAGTGATTACCAAAGCTATCTAAATGCGTTGACTAAGTGAACCACCTCTTGCCCATGATTTGCTGTATCTAACGTCAATTGTCCTGTGCTTGTATTTATATGTTCACAACCAATCTGTTTGGCAAATACGGCTTAAAAAAGATCAAATGACTGAAAGATTACAAATGTTGACTATTTCATGTTCAACATAATACTATCAGGGTGTGATAAAGGAAAAAAAAAACAAAAAAACACACGAAACAAAAAACCAAACAGACCCAATTTAACAAAATTCACAAGTGTTCCAAGTCAATCCTACCTGTTTAAGTGCCTTTTTGGTGTGTTGCTGAAAGGAAGACACTAGCTTGCTCTGCACCGTACTGTTTATAAGGCTTGAATCTCGGTTGGAAGACTCTTCTTCTGCGACTTGCTTCAGGCAAACTGCACACAGAATAGCAAATAGAAAAAGCATGTTACTCCTTATAGAATAACAATGGTTCAGGAATCCCCTCCCCCTCAAAAAATGTTGCATTAACGAACCAGCAAATTATGCATTCATTTTACTGAGCACAAACTGCATTCATTATCAGCACTTATTAAAAAATACTGTCTAATATTTGGAAAATAAATCAGTACGGTTTAATAGTGGGAAAATAAATATGCCTCCTACCTAATAACCCTAAATAAATGATGGAAAAAACGAATTAAATCTGGATCACTCATTTGCTGAGCTGGCACACTGCATCAAATTCATGGCAACAGCAATGCCTTGCAGTTCAAAGGCAGAGCTGTGCTTGTGCTGCATGATTCGTTTCGATGATGTCGACATTAAAAGTCTGTCGTTATAGAGGGGGAGATGCAATCCACACTCCAAATCTTCAGTAAAAATATATATTCAGCCAACAACATCCAAGCAAGTGGCCCTGAAAACATTTCAGCGCCATATTGCTATTGTTAAGCCTAGGTACTACCGATGTATACATTGCTAAATTATGGCCTTGATTTAATATTTTTGAATAAGCTTTTCAAATGATCAATTATTTTTGGAGAATATTTGAAAATTATATCAACTATACAAATACACCAATATATTAACAACAAAAAATAACAATATTAAAATATGTTTCTAAATAATAAATCATTTTTAAAGATTATCCAAAAACATTAAAATTAATTAAAAAGCTTAAAAAAATATATTAAATCGAGGCCTATTTGAGATGGTGAATATGTAACATATTTTTCATGGCTAGATACAAGGTGAATAAACAAGTTATTGTTATTAACATATTTAAAGAGTTTCTTGACAGTTTCATGTTCCTTCACCAAGTAAACATCATTTCATAAAGAGGCAATGAGACATAAATACAGTATAAAGTGAGAGAGGTAGGAAACCCTCCTCTGTGTCTGGTTAAAATCTGGAAGTTGTTACTAAAGGGAATTATAAAAGATGTTAAAGATTTATGTAAGATATTACTTTAGGAGACTGGAATATCCCTTTAAGATCATTAAACTCCTTCACCTACCTTCATTTTCCTCCCCGTTACTGCTTGCCTCGGCCATTTCTGTTCCATCTATTTCCGATTCACAGCCAATTTCCAACGTTCCGTCTGTGGTGCAAGAAGAATCTTCTTTCTGATGAAAGTCAAACACATTGCAATCACTTAATAATCTTAAAAAAGAACGCAGCAATATGGGGCATTCATTTTAAACTACTGATCATTATTTTGTTTATAGTTACAAAGCCTTTTAAGGCAGCAAACCAATCTAGTATAATGTCAGGAATACTTTTGTTGGACTCACTAGCTTTTAGCAAAAATAAATAAAATAAATAAATAAATAGAAGAATAATCACAACTCTCCATATGACTGCCTGCCATGAAAATATATATAAGTATGCAGAGGTCACTAGGATCCCCTAATAAACAAAAATAAGCAGTGATGCAGTGACTGTTCCCCATCTCTAAAGAAAGTGATGGGTTAAAATAGAAAATAGGAGTTCTTTGGACTTCAATGAAAGAAGTGATGTATGGTAGAAACAAGACAACATAAATACACAGAAAATGTAGGTGCCTATTCTCCAAATGCAAAACTATGTTTTATAATAATGATCACTAGTAAAACAAAAAAACAAAAACAAAATACAACAGGGGATCATTCTGACACTTTAATGGAAATACAATTAATCAAGTAGTCTTGATCATGGCATAACATAACAAAATCAAAAAACATTTTGCAACAAAACTAACAGAGATACGGTACTTCATATGCTTGACCATACCTTTATTGAAAAATTAAGCTTGGTTTGTGTAACTTGATTTATTTTTGTGAATGTTGAATATGTTTTTATGTTAACTTGAAAAAATCTGTTTAATAAAAAATATTTGAAAAGAAAATGTAGAAGAGGACTGTGCACAGGCTTGAGGTGAAGGGCAGGTACATTGGATTGGGCACAAACAAGAGCCTTTATCTCTGTGCCCCCCAATCCAATGAACCTGCCCTTTAAATCATGCCTGTGCACAGTCCCCTCCTTGGCTGTGGTTTGTCCTGGTAGTTTGGTCACCTCTGGGCTGGAGTTTCATTGCATGTTCCTACCATCATCTGTTTTCATAAGAAGGAGAATAACAACTAAAGCTATATAGTAGTGGGGGCATATGTGTGGCTCCCCATTCCTCTTACTGAATGTGTTTTTGGGGAGAGTTATAAAATAATTATTAGAAAAATATAAATATTGAGTATCCAGTAAACTACCTATTAACCAGGTGGAAGCCTTGGGATCCCTCATTTCCCCACACTCTATGCCTGCTGGGGTGTGAAATATGTCAAGTAGAACAGCTTCATGTGCCCACCCACTACACTCCTTTGCAAAAGGGATTCTCCGGTCCTTTGCATTAATATTGACAACACCAAACTTCAGTTCATGATCAGTGAGAATGGGTGTAAAACACTGCCCTCATTTATTAAACATTTTTCTGTCGGTCAATACATATATGTGGATATGGGGGTTGTCTTTCCAAAGTCTTTAGGGAGGAAAAAAAACGACCTTTCTTAGGGAAGATAAAGAGAATTTTTTATTTATTTTTTGTTATATCACTGAAGGTCTATGATTTATAATTTCTCGAACTAGTTTAGTTTCTGAAATTCCGTATAAACATTCACACAGTAGACCCACTAGCCTGGCACAAATGTTGATTTATGCATTTATAACATTAGATCACTAGGCAAATTTTGCCTCTGATTGGCTGGGTAAAATGAACCATTAGAACCGTTTGAGCCCTGAGCACATGGATTTGTACATAAAAGCAAAACAGACGTAAGTTTATGAAAATTGTAAATTTCAAGTAGCAAATGAATTGCATATTCAAAAAGGTTCATCTGGAATAAATTGAATGAACATTCATTGTATGTTTTAAAATAAATATAAATAAATTTTAAAAAAAAACGTGGAGGATGTTTGAGGGGGAAAGAATTTTTATTATGACCAGATAATTACTAATATAGGGGTTGCAATTATGCCTCTTCACAAATGAACATGGAATATTGGTGTTCTTCTAATGTAACTTAATATTTTTTGGAATTACGATCAGTGACTGGGCAGAATTACAAGTTGGCAAAATATGAAAAATTCTCAATTGCATCTTTTTACCTTAAGCAAAAACACATCAATATATAACAAGCATATACATAATCAAAAAGTAAAGGGAAAAAAAGGCATTGAATGCAACTTACTTTAAGAGCGTAGAGTCCTGACTTCCCAGGGATTTTGAAGAAGGTTCCATCACCCACACGTGTGTTAGTATGAAGCATTGCATTTAGACAAGCCAACGGAGAAGTGCCACTACAATGCAAGATAACAACAGGAAACAAAAACGCATGAAAATGGGTGTAAAACACGTGAGCTCAAGTACCACTTGCAATGCTGTCTCCTCCTGTTTTTTTTTTTTTCTTTCTTTCTTTTTCTGCTCATTCTTTTTTTTTTTTTTTCAGAAGTTCTCCCGAGCCTGAAAGCATCTACATTACAATACATGACCAGCATTGGCAAACCAAATCAAATGCATCTGCTACATGGGCTTCAGGGTAAAGAAAGAAAAGGTCTATACATTATAATTATACATTTTAAGAAAGGGATCACCATCCCCCCCCCCCATCCGAAAAAATAAAAACAAAACAATTCAGGTCACTTTAGAAACCGTAGTACACAAATATTTAAGTAAATTCAGTGGTTAAATAACACAGGAAAGATGTGGTTTTTAAAACGCTGCAGACATTGTGACTGATTCACATGAATGATCAAAAGTAAATGAGCCAAGTTCAAGGGGAGTTGTGTCCCATAGGATGAAAGGAAATAGCAGAATGGTAAGAAAAGGCCCCGGAAGGACAGACTTAAGTTACAAGTGGTTATGTTTCTGCCTTGGGGGAGGTGGAATTCTTTATCAGGAGTCAAAATTAAGTTGCTGTCACATACAAGTATTTGAAGCTGCGGGCAGAATCTTAAAGAGAATGTGCAAAAGTAGCTAGTTTTTCTAAAGAATGGATGGATAGAAAAAAATGTTAAAGTTAACATTACACATGCAAGCAACAGAAAATCTGAAACAGACAATCCCATCAACAACTATTTTAATTGCACAGTGGTAACATCTTCACATTAATCATTTTTATTAATATAATAGTCATGAGAGAAATATGTAATAACCAAAATAGACAACACAAGAGTGAATTCCCCTATGCATTGTAATTAATATTTCTTGAAAAATAAGATGAAAAATACATTTCATAACTGTTTAATGTACAGAGATTTGGCACAAGTGATATCATTTAGTTTAGTATATAAATACAGTAATGCAGATTCTTCTTCTGTAAATCTCTATTTATTAAAATTTTGCTGTTCAGCAAAACTGTCAACAACTACTGTGCTGTCATTCTAAAAAGATCAGGCAAAGAAATCAAAATAATATTTCTGCCACTTTTACAGAAGTCCCAAAAATCCATGTTTTCTAGCAATAGGACCAACAAAATGATTTGTGTATATGTTTGTCATACCATTCCCCGGGATGTCTTTGCCGCATTGTACTTAAAGACATTCAGAAAACTTAGAAATAAGGTTTTGAAGTTCATGTCTCATATTATAAATCAGGGTAATATTCTCCAGCGTGTTAGTACTATATAAACGGTAAAAGACTTTCCTTACTGTGCAACTTGATTAATGGCTGAGCCAACACTCAAATTACACTTGCTTTGACCTGAAACAGACACTGTTAAAATATGAGATACTGGTCCAACATCTGTAAAGGGGCAAGCTTTATAAAACAAGTCTTATAGGCAAAGAAATATATTTATTTTTATTTATTTTTTAAAAAGAATCTTCTGATATCCCTACAGGAGGTAATCCGGAGCTGAAAGGTCAGGCGAATATGGCAGCGGTAAGATCTTTGCGCCAAAATGGACCTGCCATTTTGAAAATAAATTGCCACTAATTTCACTTGTTGTTCCTTTGTGGAATTACCCATGACGAATCTCCTAAGACTCTGTTATAATATGTACCTGCAGCAAAAAAAAAATGGAACTACTAACATATAAGTTATTTACCGGTCTGAATTTTTCCCATCGTGTGTGTGTGTGTGTGTGTGTGTATATACATATACACATACACATATATACTATGTGATGACTTTGTCTTCTCCATAAATAACCACTATACGCACAACTGTGTCACATAAAACATCACTCTTAATTTCTGAGAGTACATTTTTTTATTGGCTATTAAACCTTCTAATGATATGTACTTTAAATAAACATTAGAATTGCCAAGAAATCCCAGTATGAACTACTGGGGATGTTTTCAATAAGTTAATTTGTGGTTATGGTCAACATCATGAATGAAACAATCTCCATAATTGTTGCTTAATGAACCAAAGTAGTATGTGGTCTTCCCTGACAGCCATAACGACTCAAACCCAACCTAAATAAGGAATAGCTATAAAATGTAATATTGAAAAGCAAAAGAAAGTGAAGGAAAGGAAAATAGATAAAGTAAAAAGTTCAAATTAATTAAAGAAAACTGAGCATGTATAAGGGTAGGATAGCACATCTGGGTAAGTGGTGCAGACATTTGATCCTTTAACGATCTTGTCCACATGTTAACCTTCTTACCTATGCAGGAACTATGACATGTGAACACGATCTACGTGAATTCTATCTGTAGAAACACAGCAAACCGGATGTCTACAGAGTTATAAATTAATGAGGGAGATGTATAGGCATGTTAAACTATCAGAGTTAAGTAAAAAGAGTCTTATTACATCTTAAAAGTCACCCAGTCTACTTCATTGCAATGAAGTGGTCTGGGTGCAGAGGCACTGTAGTTTTCACCATGCAATGTAAAACATTGCAGTTCTGAAGAGTAGAACTCGTCAATTTAGGATTGAGGCGGATAAAAAAAATAAAAAATTATTATATTCAATGTTTCCCCATGACAAGTATTTGGATGCTTACCATGCAAGCTCATCAGTCTCCAATGCTCCTCTATGCAGAGTCATCAACAACTACAGCGCTGAAAAAGGTCACAGGGGGCGCGAGCAGCAGCACTGAAGAAATCTTGGCACTGCGTGTATTAATGTCACTTTATATGTAACCTTTTTACGCGCTTGCTCTCACCAGGTAATAACTGAAAATGTAAATTTACAATAATATGCAGATTACGGCAACTCCATTACAACAAAATAGAACAGGGAAGAAGCTCATTTTAAATGTGAATGATTCCTCTACAGGCACAGTTGTTTACAGAGGTAATTATTTATTTATTTTTAGCTGCCAAACGATGATGCCTGACAATATAACATGCTTCCAAATGTTCCCATCAGGATGGTGGATGAAACTCTTGTTTTGCAGACTTGATCAATTGACAGAGTGGAATCAGAATTAGAAGTCATTGTCAAATGATGGGACAAGTAGTATAAAGTGTAAAGTGAAATGCGCAAGGCTACTACATGGAGTACAAAACTCCCATAAAATATAATGTTTAAAAATCTTAGCAAATAAATTACATAATACAATTAAAAGAACAAAAGTGCTGTAATTTTAATTGTTTTTCATTAACAGCATTTTGTCATTAAAGGGAAATTGTAGGTTACTAAATTCATATTTCTTAATACAATTTGTATTTAGGACATATTTTTAATATCTTGTTTTGATGCAATTCCTTTTTAACTGCTTAAGTGCCTATATTATCATAGCTGTAACTTTTTTTTTTCTGCTGCTAAGCTGATCTGCCCTGTTTTGTCGGGCACTTTTTTCCTTCTTTTTGCTTGGTAGTGACCAATCAAATGCTACTCATACAGAAGCATTGTGGAACTGAAACAGAATATACTGCACAACCCCAGTTATAAAATAAAAATCCAAAAACTTTAAAAGGGACACTCATTCTGGTAAATGGCATTCCTGGTTAAATGATAATGACCTTTAAAAACCCCGACCTCAAAAAGTCAAGACACACAATTACCCATATTAAAATCATAGAGGGGTTCCAGTTCTAGTACTCAATGTTACATAACTACATGGTGGAGGTACTGGATAGCAGCAGAAGTAAAGCACTTACCCTGTTGTAGAAGGTTCTCAATTTTTAAATAAAGTGAAAATAAACATAAAATGCCCAATGATCCAATGTGGGTTACACAAACTTGTTTTGCTACCAGTGTAGTTGTGAATTGAAGTCCTGATAGGTGACCTTCAGTTCAGCCTTGATGACTATTCTATATATTTATTTAGAGTCCCAACACCCCAGATCTGGATCACCATGTTAATGGCCTGCCCTAATCAAAGCAGTCAAATTCCCTAAAGTACTGAAGGAACACAGGGAAATTCTAAAAAAGTCAACCCAGGGTATGAAGTGTAGAGAACCTTAAGGAATAAATAGGTTTCATGAGTATTTTGTTTGTTGGTATCGGTCCTGTTTCATTATCCTTCTAATCAGATTTTCTTGTTTTATATCTCTGAGGACTATTGCCAGTGAATCTCGGTGAGTCAGGAGTAGCTTTACTGGATTTCACCATTGGTTAAATCATTGCATAATGTGTTTTGCCTCCCCTTTTTCTCATTGTCTATATAATTCATTTTACACTGGAGATTCCTTTTATAGTATGCTTTACCCTGAAGTAAATTTCAATTACAATTTTCAATTCCAATTAAAACAGTCAAGGTGCTCTGTAGTCTTTTCTGAATAAAGTTACGCCAATTATAGAATACATAATAATAATGGGAACACAAAAACAACATTGGGTAAGCTTTCAATTGTATTTCAGATAAAGTATTGTGACAAGCCATTTATTTTTTTGTTGACAATCTTTATTTAGTCGGCAATGTTTACATAGGAGCAGAACAAAAGATAGTGTTCTCAAAAGGTACATAGTAAGGCATAGGAAAAGCTCTTTTGCTGAATGTATGTTTACAATCTTGTGCCTCCTCTTAGAGGGGACCACTTGCCTTCCATAAATAATGGAAGTGCAACTGCATACCACGTGTAAGGTCTGAACGTGAAGCATACAAATCTCTCACTGCCTGTAAGGAGAGGGTAGAAAGAAGAAAAAAAAAAAAAAGGAGCCAAAATTTGGCAAGACACATAGAAGGGGGTGGGGAGGGAGCAGAATAGAAGACAGAAAGTATAATAATAATAAAAAATGAAAAGAAAAAAAAACACAACAATTACCCACATACAGGTAGTGACAAGCTAATTTTAATGCATTCTGATTTTCAATTATGCACTTCTTTACTGAATAAAATTATGGACAGTTCCCCTATTAATCACACATTATAGGTAAAGTGATAGGGATATCCTTGTACTACCTCCAAATAATGAAATAAAGTAGTTGTTCCTCCTTTACTTGCACTCTACAAGAATCACCATAGCGTTTTTGGGGTTTTTTGTTTTTTAATGTTCCGTTTCTGTACTTACACACATTTTGTGAAACATAACACTTTAAGACATTATTTCTAACTTTTACATACATAATTTTTTGTGTGAAATATGCAATTTTCTAGAACAGGATTTTCTAAGTGGTGCATATACACCCCAGACCAAAACCCTACAAAATTCCTAAAAATCATTTCAATCTCTATAAAGCAAGAAATAGCAATGCTTAAATTTTACCCATCCACGGACATCCCAGGATCATACCAACTGAAATCTGCAATTGATACTTAGCCCAGGAGCCGATTTTATTCAGTGCTTGCCAGGTCATCATACAATCCATTTGGCTAGAATTCCTCAATTACTCCAATGCCTCACATCAGACTACATCATTTTGGGCTCTGTGTTTACCGCCTCAGTGTTCCATAGGTGTATTTAAGTGTGCTATGTAGTATTGTGTGAAAACCAATTTTCCACAACTGGATTCTTCAGCACCATAACTCCACAAGTTTAAAGAAAAACTATTTTACTTTCTCTGCATGGACTAACTATAAACACAGACACAAATGGGGGTTCACGGGTTCCCTTCCCCCACTTAGCCCTTCAGAATGGGTTAAAACTCACCTTATTTTCAGCTATACACGGATCCGCCGGTGCTGGCCCTGCCTCTCTTGGTGACATCAAGATTGCTGATTTTTTGCCAATCCAATGCTTTTCCATGGAGAAAGCATTGGATTGGCTAAAATCAGCAAGGGGGCGGGGCCAAACACTGTTTTGGGCATTCAGCACCTCCTCATAGAGATGCATTGAATCAAATCAAAATTCGTGGGGACGCTGAACGGCAGAGCTGCTTCCTGTGCAGTCCTGAGCCAGGAAGCCCCTCCAGTGGTCATCTAAGGAGTGGCCACTTGGAGGTGTCCCTAAAGGCGCTGCCTTTGTTTACATGAAAATGCCTGAAGTGAGCATTAAGCTGTAGTTGTTCTGGTGACTATAGTGTCCCTTTAAGTAAACACCGCAGTGGAAACCTGACGGCTGAGGCTGGTTGATGAAGAAGAAAAGGCAGGGGCAGAAGCTAACAAGTTCGCAGCACGTTGGCTACTATAGCCCACTGCCGCTCTGGAATAAGCCGACATTACAAGCGCTGTCTGAAGGTTCCCACTCAGCACGGCCCACTGCATGCATCAAGGATTTCAGGAGTCTTGTCCGAATGACTGCTCAATGTTGGACTCACGGAGGCACAAAACAACACATCATCCACACTTGGAGCTGGTGGGACTCTCCTCCATGACTCAATGGTACCTTGAATCAATGGCCTCCTATCCAAAGGCATCGGCTGAGTAGCGCAAGTTTTATGATATAGCCATCCATGTATTAAGCTATAAGTGTACAGGCCTAGTATTTATGCATGTTTCTTCTTTGCAGTTTTCATCCAATCACACTATATTTAATTAGTTTATGTTTATTCATATAAGTAGATGGACAGTACTAAACCTTAACACTGCATATTTCTATATCTGTTCTAAGGTAGTTACACAGTCATTACACCCCACCTGATTATATGTAAAATTTAAATCAGCGTATCCAGTGGTATCATCTTTTAACCTTATCTCCAGTTCTATACTACAGCAAATATTCATCTCTCTTAGCTAACCTACTAGAACTATGCTCCAGATGTATTTTCTCATTTAATATAAACAGTGCAGGAAACCCGACAATTCAGGTTAATGTTGTTTACACCCTAATGCAATGCCTACGATTGCAGACCGTTCATTGTTATTTTATGTTAATTCTGTCGTGTTATAGGAACGCGATAACCTTCTATATTGCAAAATGGACGTTTCCTTTTGATCCTACCTAGGACGGTTTATTCTCTAGTTGAATACTCAAGCGTGCCTATCTTGTGTAACACAGTGTTACGTTACTCATGATTAACTATCCTAGTTACTCTACTGAAGTGTATCCATACGTACCTAGCCTGTTTTCTCTGCCATGATAATTGTGTTGCAAGCCAATCTGTACTCTTTGGCACAACAAAATTAAAGAATATATATATAAAAAAACAAAACACTGGGAGATACTAAAACAGCGTGGAGGAGAGGCAACAATGGAGGTGGAGGTATGTCGCTGAGCTTAATGGAACTGTGGTAAGTCATAACAAAGGCATTACTGTGATTTATTTTACAGAACTATTAAACCAAGATTTAAAAGAGAACAAAAGCAAATTCAAATATCAGTCTTGTATCCCTAAAAGAACGTACAGTTAGACAATTAAAAAAAGATATATATATATATATTTTTTATTACTTGTGATATGATATCAACACATTCTTGGGTCTTCTATTACTTTTGCTGTGTAAACGAGATGGATTATGAGTCCTGTAGGTATTGATATTTCAAGTTTAGAGCAAATTTTTCCTGTGGGGTTATGGCTTCAAAAGCATTTTTCTCGAGGGTGGGATTGCAGGAAATCTTTAAAGCGGCTAATTGCCCACTAGAAATGTTCTGTTTTAAGCTAATTGACCGTGTAGTTAAATTAATTATAGATCAGAATTAAGCTAACATAATATGAGCATCTGCTGTCATGAATTGAATGCTTTTTGGTTTGTTTGTTTTTTTTCAAACTTTGACAGAAGAAAATCAGGATATTAAAATCACTAATGTGAATTTTACCTCTTATCCTCATGACTTAAAATCTACAGTAATGGTGGCTTGTTCACTTGGAAAATAATATATATTTTTTAATGTTTTCATCTGTCTTGCCCCAAACAACGTACGCTCACTAGATTGAGCATAAAATTCTCTCTCTACATTGTGCTAGCAGTTTAGGAAATTAGGAGAAAAGCTTATTTAAATATAAGCTTTTCTCACAGGTGTCAGTCAATGCCTCAGCCTGCCAAAGCATTAACTAAAAAGGAAGAGCAGAAAGAAGTCTTCCAAAGGAGGTCCCTCTGCCCTCCTAAGCATAGCAACCACAGTGCATGTGCTATGGCTGCTATAGAAACTCCATAGTCTGCACTTCTAGAGCCAGCTGGAGAGTATAGGAATGGATTTGCGGAACCAGCAGTGCCCCCGCCATACAAATCTCTAAGCTGTCCCAATCATATCTGGCATCTTGGTTCCACTGGCAGTGGTGCTATCGGCACATGGCATTTCTTGAGGCTCCCCACAACACAGAGTGGAAATCGTGGCCCGAGTTATATCCTGATCTGCGAAAGGCATACAGCCGCAGGGTGCCTGTCCACATTAAGGGAACTAGAATTCCATATTGAGATGCAACCGGAAATGGGACAGAAAACGTCCAAGACAGTGGTGCAAGTGGGTTTGAATTATTCAGGGTGCCTAAAGAGATAGGTGAAGATCTATATCTCTGACATCCTTAGTCAGTAGGAATGTATGTATGTGGCAAAAGGGAAGGGCAGAATACCAGCTAGGGGGGCGTTGTTGAGATAGCTGATATAGCCCAAAAGACACATGGGTTACTTATTCCTGATATCCAAGAGCAGACCTCCTGGTCCCAGGTCTATTGGAGAGAGTTACAGGTTTCGTACAAGTGTATAAAGTTCAAAAATATTTTTAGCATTTTGCTTTCATATAATTTGGAAAAGGTCCAGTAATAATTTAATAAGAAAATGTAGGATTTAGTCATATTTTATGTCACTTCACATAACCCGTGCCTATAGTTAAAAAGGGTACAAAAGGTTTCCACGACCGTACAGCAAAACTTGCAGTCAATGCCGATTAAAATTTATGCTTTATCATAGAAAAAAATATATGGAGAAACCAGCAAGAATTAGTATGCAGCAAGTACTATAGAAAGTATTTTCATTTTCCACATATTACAAAAGGTCAGTAGTGAAAAGGATAATGGCTGATACAAAGTTTTGTCCACTTCAACATTATGGTACTAGTAACAGTTAATAGAATGGCGACAGGGGCAGTAAGCAAATGAATTGATTAAGCAAAGACTATTCAAATGGCTTTCCAGAAAATAACAATCAAATGGAACATGATTACTGTGTACAAGTACATGGAGATACATTTTTTTTCTGGAGCCACAGTTGACTCGAGACTCGAGGTAACCCATTTATCAAAGGAAAGAACTTTCACTATAAGTGAAGTGTAGCTGAAGGCCTCATTACAACTGGGATTGGTTGTTTTGTGGAAAGAAATGTCTAGCTTTTTAAGTCCAAAGAAAGAAATGCTGTTATCTGTGCAATGTATTAAAATATATTGTTCAGTTGTAATCACATTTAATATGTTGGTAAATAAGTATACATATGTTTATTTCCACTGCAAACCTTAGACATTTTCATCAATATGAATATAAATTATGTAATTCGTTTTCTAAATGGAAAATTCTTGATGCTATTGTTTAAAATAAAAAAAATAAATTGCTTTCTCTAGCAGCAAAATTGCAAACACTTTAGTTGGATAACTATACATTACCTTTCATTTTATTACCATCTAGTTCTGTACTGCAAGAACACATCATAGTTTATCATTTATGGTTTTTAGTGCTGTGTCATACACTCACATCAACCACGCAGAGGGGATTTGGTTTAGAAAGAAAGACTCTGCCCCTTGAAGAACACTTAAAAAAAATTAAAAAAAAAGTGTTCATATAGACACTTTACATTACTGCTTATATTAAGGGGGACCTGTCACTTTTAATTATAATTTTATTAAATCTTAGGAAGACTTAAGTGTCAGGACCAGTTAAAAATGTGATTTACTCACCTTTTTCAAAGCCTCCTGGGTCTGGTCACAGCTGGCCTGCCTATGCTCCACCCCCTTGGCTGAGTTCATCAAACTTCATAGCAAAATGCTGCGCCAATTAGTATCTCCTCATAGAGATGCATTAAATCAATGCATCTCTTTGGGGAACATTCAGTATCTCCATGCAGAGTGTGGAGATGCTGAATGTACATTCTGTACGTGGTGTAGCAGTGATCCAGGAAGCACTTCTGAGGCCATCTGAGTGACTGCCACTGGAGGTGTCCCTAGGCAATAATGTAAACACTGTCTTTTCTCTGAAAAGGCAGTGTTCAAATAAAAAGGCCTGCAGGGACATGCTATACTCACCAGAACAACTACATTAAGCTGTCACTTTAACCCCTTAAGTGTCCCTTTAACCCCTTAAGGACCAAACTTCTGGAATAAAAGGGAATCATGACATGTCACACGTGTCATGTGTCCTTAAGGGGTTAAACCATATCTTATAGGTCTAAATATGTTGAGGTATGAAAAAATTTAATTTACTGGAACTGAGCCTCTCCATCTTGGTTTTCAGTCAATACACGGCTATAAGATCTGCCCCTTCAGTCAGTGAACATAAAGGTGGAAACATAAACAATGAAGTCTATTTTCTTTTGCAAATTCGACTGATTGTATTTGGCTGAATTATACTGCATTCAGCTGTTAAAATTCTGTTGTGGTTCACTAAATTCTCAGCCAAATGGATCACTTCGCTTTGCAAAAAGATCTCATTTGTATATAGATATTCATTTGAAAATAGCTCAGCCAATATGCAGCAAACTATCTACATTTCCCTGCTACAAGACAAACATATTGGTAATAAGAAAGAGGAGGCTGGGGGCTATTTAGGAGTGAGTTATATTTATACAATTAAAGGGGAACTATTGCATTCCTGGAAATAAGGCCACAGAATAGCACTGAAAATCATCTATAATTTGTGTTCATGCTCTGATTTATTTTAAGGAGTTTGCAAATTACACAATCCAGTTCTTGTTATTCTTGCTGCTGACACTTCTGAAGATGGGCTTACACTGACAGAAACGTTCACTGTATCTGTATGCGTAGCGTTTCCTACTAAAATCCTACACATACACCTTCAAGCACCTTAACCACTACAAATAACTGAAGTGATGAAGGTGTTTAGATTAATCCTTTAATGAAATATCCACCAAGTGTAATTTGTTGCTCCAGATAAACACATGAAAAATCATCTAACACCATGACCAAATTCTTTAAAGAAAATATTCTCCTCTCTAGAAGTAGCAGAGTTTTTCATCGCGCAACATAACCTCTATTACTTATATTTAATGTTCTTGTTCAATCTAAATCTGTTCATTGTTTTACCTGTCTGTGAAAGATTTCCAGTTTCATAATTGAATGATTTAATTCTCAAATAATGTGGAATACAATGAATAGCCCACCTTTGAGTGAAGCTGATTCACTTTATTCAGTTGGAGATCACAAATGGATACAAATGAAGGACCACTTTTGCTAATATCTCATTGTAACCTCACTGTGTGTAGCAGCTCAGAATTGACAGGGAAAGCAGAAACAATCTAACAACCATTACTTATTGTAAAATGAACTAACCTGCGTTAATCAGCTAAAAAAACATTCATAATATTTCAATTCAATACTGAATACTTGAACTGTTAAAAGTAAGATAAAGAAAGGCACGCTGCTAGACCAGCACTCCTCCAGGCATAGAATTTTTTAAATTGAATTTTGGAAAGTGAAGTAAGCCATGATGTCATAATTTAGAAACTCCTTTTGCAATAAGGAACATATGGAACATACCAATGGCCAATGCTGCAAAACTTCATTCCTCTTAGCCCGATCAACATCTGAAGTCTATCGAGTTAGCAGAACCGAGCTAACAGTCAAACTGTTATTTATTGCATGTGCAGATACACTGCATTCCTTCATTTTCCGACTTCTTGAACATGTATTTTATACGCTAGTGGCAATCCTAGATAACATGGCTTAGTAATGACAAGAAACACCAGGATACATCGTGACTTTAGATGTTGCGTGATGTGCTGTACCCTGGCGCCTGTTTAATATTCTCTATATTATTGTTAGATCATTTTCCTATGTTACCTTTCTCTTGGCAGCCATTACTCTGGCTGTTTATGATAAGCACATATGATCCATATGGACACTCAGTGAGTACCTTAATTGTTTTATTAATTCACTTAATGTTGATTGTTTTATTGTGCACATCACTTATACTAACTATAAATTGTTCACTATTGTCTGTGTGTGTGTTAGCTCAGAAAGACCCATTTGGGTTGAAAAGCTGCTAGATACTTTCTTAGAGCATAGGAGTGCCTGGACCTTCTTTATTCTACTTGAAATCTACTGTTTTGCATTTGTGCTAGCCCCTGGCCTGGTAACACCAGTTTTTGCACATTTGAATGAGTGTAGTGCCTTTGATATTTTGTTAGGATACATTTAGAGAACTATACTAGTGTTTAAAAGTTTGGGGTCACTTACAAATGTCCTTGTTTTCAAAAGAAAAGCAGATTTTTTTATTTGTCAAAAATCTTTCAGAAATTGTGTAGATATTGGTAATGTTGTAAAAAACTATTATATATCTACATAGGCCCATTATCAGCCTATGTACAGAGGCCCACCATCAGCAACCATCTGTCCTGTTAACCCAAGTTTATTATTTGCAAAGGCGAATTGAACATTAGAAAACCATTTTGCAATTATATTATCACAGCTGAAAATTATTGTGATGATTAAAGAAGCAATAGAAATGATTGAGTATCTGGAGCATGAACAACTGTGGGTTAAATTACAGGTGTAAGATGGCCAGAAACAAAGAACTTTAGTCTAAAACTAATCAGTCCATTCTTGGTCTGAGAAATGAAGGCTGTTGCATGTGAGATATTGGCAAGAAACTGAAGAGCACATGCAATGCTTTGTATTACTCCCTTAACAGAATAGAGCAAACTGGACAGAAAGAAGAGTGGTAGGCCCTTGTGAACAACTGAGCAAGAGGACAAATACATTTGAGGGTTTTGTTTGAGAAATAGACACCTCACAGGTCTTCAACTGGTAGCTTAGTACCCGCAAAACACCAATGTCGACAGTGAAAAGGCGAGGATGAAAGCAAAGTATAAAGGGCACTTAAAATTCATTATTTCTAACTTGTTAATGATTATATTTCCTATTCAAACTCACTGCATGTATGTTTTCACTGAGAAGAAAAAAAAAATCTGGTTACCCCAAAACTCTGAGCGCCAGTATGTATATTACACAGGCTAACTGTAGTATTTTCCAAAAATCCCAGGAATTATAGGCAATGATGTGCAAGGAGACAGGCACGGGTGGCATCCATGCATCAAAACCTAAGCAATAAGCATAGTTGTTATGCTTGGAGTGTCTCTTGTTAAGGGGACACTGATCATCCAGAAAAATATGATTGTGTTGCTGTCACGTTCCCAAGGCGGGAGATGCCTAGGTACTGTTAAAAGAGGTGGGATTAATGAACTAACCAAAAGGCCAGGGTGGGCAGCAAACAAAGAAAAGTCACAAACAAGTTAAGGTAACACACATGAGAAGAGTAAAATAAGAAAGGTAACAATAACCTTCCAATAAACACTACTAAAGGCAGAATGACAAAATAGTGATTAATAATTGTAAAGACACGTACTGACAGGTGACACTTAAGTATACAAAGATTGTGTACCTTTAATAAAAATGATACACATATACAAACATGGCTCCCAAGGAAAATGCTACTTGATTCTTCACCAACATAAAAATACAACCAAAAACCAGGATCTTCTCTAAACGTCATTAAGTTCAAAATTAAACTTATGGCTCCATTGTCTCAATAGTATTTGTCATACATACAAACAGCTGATTTACAGCTATACACTAAAGACAAATCAAACTGAATAAACAGAAACATTTCACTGCCACTCATGCCTCTTAGTGGTTTTGACAACCAAAAAGACATGTGGCATTTACTTGTTAAGGTAAACTCCAGAAGGTGTTGTTATACTGTAAGCATGATTTCACAGTAGGCAATGAGGAAAGGGGAAAAAAAAAAAAAAAACCTGTCTTGAACTAGAAGAACAATTTCATTTTGTTAAGCATTTAATTTACACTCTTCATCTCCAATATGATGAAATGTCATCAGAATAGAATCCTAGGAGCGGAGAGTAATCACATTACACTTACAAAGCGCAAACACATCAGGGACTGTGATACAAATTAATGTACCAATGGATGAATTTGACCCATTTGAGTGGAAAGGAGTGAAACAAACAGTGTTTACATTTTCCAGCACCTAAAGTGTTAAACGGTTTCCAATAAATATAAAGATCATATATTATTAATATATAACATACCAATGTAAACTGAAATATTTAAATAGTATTAATTTAATATCTGTGGCAACAAAGCACATTTGTTTTAAAAGCTTAATATTCAGAAGAAAAATAATAAACACATTAATCAATAGTAATATCTTTATTATAATTTTGTTGCTGGTGTGTCCCTACCCTGGCTAAGGAACCCAAATACACGAGAAGTATAGTTATAGAATCTCCTGTACATCACATCTCAAAATGTTGACTCTTGCATAGGTATTGCACTCAGGCTAGGGATAGTAGGGGCATTAAGCATTGGTGATGTGAGTGCATAGTTAGTAGTAAATTCAAGAAACAAATATGTTTGTAAAACTGAATAACGGGCACAGTCTAGCTTAGAGGGACACTCTAATAAAGCTTAATGAATTGGTTTTGGTTTGTAGATCATTTGCAGATTGCAGTTCTAACTACACCTCCCCTGGATGTGACAAAAGGTTTCCTACTCACTTCCTGAAACTATATTAATGTTTTTTTTTGTTTGTTTTTTAAAGGACCACTATAGTCACCCATACCACTTCATCTCAATTACGTGGTATGTGTGCAGCGGTCTTTTAGTTTTACCACGTGATGTAAAACATTGAAGTTTCTAAGAAACTCTAGTGTCCGTTTTCCCGATAGCCACTAGAGGTGTTTCCCCTGTGAGGAACTAGTCAAACTTGTTTTTTAATCAAATGCTACGCCTAAAGATTTGCTTGACGAAGTGCTGCAAATAGCCATGCATGCTCACTAGCCTCCCAATACTTCTCTATGGTTCATGAATCTTGATGATTCCACCAGGGTAGGCAGACCAACCACGGAGAGATCAGCATGAC